TGGAATGTCTTCTAGAAATACAGCACCAGATGGAATTTTGAACTGACGTTTATCATTGCTTAGAAAGAAAATAGGTGAAATCATGAAATCATGAATTATCAAGTACAAATGGTCAATGAGAAATCATATATGCATAATAAATATCAATATAATTCAGAAACATGTAGAGGTCTTTTAGTCAAACTCAAAAATGAGCTGTATTATGTTTTAAATCAACTTTCAAGACCAATCTATTATGGTGTTTTTTTTAAGATACAATGCATATTAACACCATCAGATTACCAACACTGTATAATTAAAAATTCTTAAAATTAAATGTTAAACTTTATAAAGATTAACATAATAAAAATGAAAACAAATGAGGTGCTAATGCCAGCTACCCCTTAAAAAATGGTTTTTAATTTAATCAATAACAATTTAAGGAAGTAAATTAATTTATTGTGATTAAAATTTTAATGAATCTACAACAGGATACCTAATTTTTCCATTGATACACCATGAAGTCTGGTCAAGTAATGAAACTACAACAAGATACCTAATTTTTCCATTGATACACCATGAGATCTGATCAAGTAATGAAACTACAAGATACCTAATTTTTCCATTGATACACCATGAGATCTGGTCAAGTACAAAATCTAGCTTAAAATAGTTTACTCACAGTTTAACACCAGACGTATTATTTTTTAATCTTTCCTTCTAATAATAAAAACAAAAAAGGTCACCACCAATTTTGGCTTATTTTTAAATTCACCAAAAGAACATTATTTTCTAAATTTAATAAATGCTTATGGTAATAATAAAAATAATAATACCTCTTTTCTTGGCTTCGACTCCGTGAGCGGTGTCGTCTTTTCTTGTTTTTTTCCTTCTTCTTTTTCTTTTTTCTACCATCCTTCGATTTTGAGCTTTTATTCTGATATAAATCATCCTCCTGCGAATCTTCTAAATGGCAGAAGTTTTTTAAAAATAAAATTTTGTAAGCTATATACTATATGCCATACAAATTTATTTATTTTTTAATATTAATTAATAATTGCGCTTTTATTCGAAGGAGTTACAAGTGTTACCCCCCCCCCTTCCCCCCTTGGCTGCCCACTCTAACAGATCATTTTTGAAGTAATTTTAGCTCAATTTCAATTAAATTTTTGTCAAACTTTTGTTTCCTCATCATATCAACACAAATTCAACGGATGAACAAACAAATTCAATATTGTTAATAATTTCCTGAAAGTTTTCAGTAACTTTGCATATTGTTTTTCTTTTTTGGTTGTCCAACAAGTGAAAGAATTGAACTACTTACAGAAATAAAATAAAGAATATTGGCTGGAAACAGGGCCGACTGGAAACATGTGTCAGTGGTCACCAAATACTCAAAGTAAAAACATTACAGGTACAAGTAAAAACAAAAGAAAACTATATATAAAACTGTCATCAGAGCAGTTGTAACATAAGCAAGTAAAACTTGGACCCTAACAAAAACGGCAGAAAACCTGTTGAACACATGGCAGAGAAAAGTTCTCCAGAAAATATATTGACCAATATAGGATGAATATGGATGGAGAGGACAGTACGAAACAACCAGGAATTGTATGGACTATATCAGTATCCTGCACTAGTAACAGAAATAAAAAAGGGCAGGCTACGCTGGGTGGGACACTTAGATAGAAAGACAAGTGGCAGAGGAGTGGAGGGGGTGCACCACCAAAACCTCAGAGGAAAACAGCTTAAAGGGCAACCTATGCTTATATGGGTGGATGATGTGGAAAAAGATCTACAGCACTTGGGAATCCAAGCATGGAAAAGAAAAGCATGAGGCTGAGCTGAAGGAAGTGTGAGGCGGGCCAATGCCTTCCTATGGGCTCTAGCGCAACAGGGGTGGATGAAAATGTCTTAAGATAAAAATACAATCTATGAGGATTGGCCTAGTCAAATTTTACCTTAGGATTGAACCTCATAATGATAAAGTTAGCTTAAGATAAAAATGCAATCTATGAGGATTGGCATAGTCAAATTTTACCTTAGGATTGAACCTCATGATAAAATTAGCTTAAGATAAAAATACAATATGAGGATTGGCCTAGTCAAATTTTACCTTAGGATTGAACCTCATAAGGATAGGATTGAACCTCATAAGGATAAAGTTAGCTTCATATTGACAAAATATGCCAATTACATTAAAATATTTTTGCAACTGCAAATATAAAATACTTACTGTCTGATGCAGGAGATTTTCTTTTCTTGGAATATTGAGGAAGTTCTTCGCTAATGGAGTCAGTCACATTATTAGACCTAAAATTAAATTTTCACACGATTATGTAATTGTTTTATTGAAAACAACACAGCTCATTCACATATCCTTATAGTAGTAATGCAATGGTGTTTGTCATAAGTGGTGAGATGGCATTAATTATGAATGATTTTGTAAAATGTTTTTGGATGGATGTGTTCATGAGATAGTGTAGGGTGGAAAAAAGGTATTTCAGGCCATGGGAAATACCAGGCTTCGGAGACCCGGATGGTCCAAGGAAAGTGTTTGGAGTGTGAAAAGGTTTAATGAGATGTGTGTGTTATTTGTTTGTCATAGAATTCACTGAGACACAACTTACACATCATTAGTCAGAAGATGGTCGCACAATGGTGCGGCCCTGCACCAGGAGGTACAGCGCTGCTACTGAACATCCATTCAGGCATGTGTTTGCTCTTACAAAAGTGATATTGACTTTGATATCGATTTTCCCAGACTGCTCTCAAAGGTTCTTATGTTGCCAACTTATAAGGTAAATAGCAAAGTATTTTCAGACTTATTAATAAATTAAAACTTGAATCCTTTTTTCAAATATCTTGGGATGTCATAAATAAATTTATGTATATTAAACAAGGATAAGGAAATTACAAAAATTACCTGAAATCCCTATTTAATTCTAATGTACATTGCTCTGAAAAATTTGGTTTTTGAACTGCAATTATAGCATCCAAAGTGGAAGGATCGATTTCCAGTTTCAGATTTGCCAAATCTTCATTTTCTAAAAAGAGAAGAAAACAATTTTGAATAAGAACATAATGAAGCTCTGCCCCATCAAAGAAGATAATTCTTCATGGAAAAACAAAAAAGCTGTAACTGTATCACACATGTATTAGTTGAAGGAAGTGGGTTACCCTAGGGCGATGACAATTCTTACCCCATATCTAGAGGGATAAAATGAAATTATTGTACTGGCTGATATTATTTCATGAAATTTTAACATTCTGTTCCTATGGCAAAATAATTGGTAAGGGGTCGTCCATTAATTACGTCAACATTTTTATGCAATTTTTTACCCCTTCTTCCCCCCTTGTCAACAACAGTCAAACTTTCAGTGACCCCCCTATTTAATTATGTCAACATTTTAACCCAAAATGAAAAGATAATTAAATTTTGAATTATAATATAAATCGATTTATAAATAAATTTTACTTTGTGCTGATCTATTTTATTGACACAAAATTGTAGGAAAAACATTTCATTACATGTTTAGCTTGTTAATCAAACAAGTTAAAGAGTTTTTACACTATAATTTTATAATGCAGAATCAATTAAAAGGTTGTTAAAGACTAAATATCATTTTTTTAGTGGAAGTATAAATATCATATTGTCAGTAAAGCTGACAATTATAGTATAGATTCTAGCTGCTATCATCTTCCCATGGAGTAGCCAGATGTTGCTCTATTGTAACAATGGGCATCAGGGACATCATTGGGTAGGGCATGGGGGCCATTTGCCCCACTCCCCTGAATTTTCAGGTTTTATTTAAATTGCTATGTACTGTGGCGCCTCCAGTAATAAACATATTAACAAGCTAACCAAATTTGGTTTTGCCCTCCCCCCCTCTGAAAAACAACTGAAACTGAAATGACGCCCCTGATGGGCTTAGTCTATAGTAGCTGATTTATCAATTTAATCTTGCGGAACTGATATACCAGACAAGTCAATACCATCCTCATCTAACCATTCAGCACTTAAAATAGAAGCATTTTCGGTGTGAGCAATAATTGCCATAAACACTCTTTGTCTCCTGGCAGCTACTGGCATTGGTCAAATCCATTTTTATTGAGTAGCAGGTGGTAATTTCTTATGCTGAAGAGGGCATTGTCAGTGCTGTTGAACATGCTTTTTCAACATGACTTGTGATGCAAAATAGATGTTACAGATTTGAAAATCCGTTCAAGCAGTAATGTTATTAGTGTTACTCACTTTACTTTCCGCTAATTCTCAAAATATCGTATTCCTACTCTAACAATATCATTTATCTTGACTGCACATGGCACATAAAAATTATATGACTATTTACACTCATTAAAGTTTTTAAAATAATGTAATAACCAGTCAATTTTAATTTAAAGAGAAAACATGATTGTTGACGTCAACTATTCTAAACCCCCTCCCTTCCCCTTGTCAACAACTGTCAAACATTTCCAACCCCCCAATTTTGTTGATGACGACATAGACATAATTAAGGGATGGCCCCCTAGTCCAAAGTTACCATCTAATTATCCACTTTCTAAGTCTTACTTATTACCTTTAACTTGCTGAGGCACAATAGGAATTGCCTTTTCGGCTTTGCTATCAATTTGAGATCCTTCTGCTTTATCTTGACTCTGAGATTTTTCAATAGGAAACAAACTACCCGCTGCCGCTGCTGGAAATAATGGTTTAAGCCTTGTGCCTGAAGATGATGTGGTCATAGCAGTACCTCGGCTATCTTCATTCATCTTTGACTTTAACCTTTGATACTTTATAGGCTACTCTTTATATTAGACTTGAATCTGTAGCCTAAGACTAAAACATAAGAGCAATAAGTCTTCTAAGTACTATGAGTTTGATTAAGTTCATGTTTACAATTTACAAAATAATACCGGAAACTCAGGAGTAGCTTTCGTTTTCAGAGGTTTCTTCCAATCCAAAATTTATGTTTCTACATAATGGATTGGAAACAAATGTGTAAATAGCCGTTTTAATGGTTGAAACTATATTGAAGAATAAGTCTCTACCTCATTTGCCTCTTCTGGTTTGTTGAGCTTGAAAAATTAAATCTCATTTAAATCAGAGGAGAATAATACAAAAATGAAAATGCCAGTAGTTTCAGAAATATGGAAGGCTAAATTAGATAAGCCATTCAATGCCATGGCACTGGCGGTAATCTTTAGGTAAGTTAACTGTTAAGTACTTACACTTACTTAGTTACTTAGTTAACTTACTTAGTTAACTTAGTGTTACTACTAAGACTCTTGTAAGTCTAAACTCAAAACTAAGTAAGTAGTAATATAAGTCTTAAGTAGCCTACCTAAGTTACTACTTAAGTGTACTTTTGATTAGTCTTAGGCCTAGGCTCTTACTCTTACTCTTAGCAAATTAATTTAAATTTAAGTAATTATTACTAAGTTAAAAGTAAGGTAGACAGGCCTAAATTTAAATTGAAATAAAAATTTAACAGTTGCAGTTAAATAAGCCTAGGCCAAGTTATTATTTTAAATAAAAAATTAGGTCTGAGTTGCTATTCTTGTTCATAATAGTAGTACATACAATAGTATGTAGTTATATATTTTAAAATAAACAGAAACTGGTCCCTCTCCCGGACTCCCCCATGGACAACGACGAGGCCATGACAGACAGTTTCGGCTCATAACAGCAAGAAAAAGAACACAGTACAGGAACTGCTCATTCCTGTCAAAGTCAAAGACAGTCAGCGAAGTAGCTATTCGTATCCGGGTACCAGAAGTGAGAGGTTGGGATTAAAAAAACTATTTAAAATATTGTTGGGTTTGTAAGACAAAATGAGATATCAAAATGGCCCCGGACACGCAGCGCCGCCATTCGCACCCGGGTCCCATTAGACCAATGCTATTCAGATGTCATTTGTGGTAGTTTATTTTAGTTAAACTGAAGAAGTAAGTTTACAAACATATAGTCCATTCAATTATCTTTCATTTGATACCTTATTTTGTCTTATAAACCCAACAATAATATTTTAAATAGTTTTTTTTAATACCAACCTCTTACTTCTGTTACCCGGATACAAATAGTCGCAGCCGACAATCAGGGACTGGAACAAGGCTTCCAAAAAGAACAGTTCAAGCGACAATCCTTGACACATTTGCGTCTACTCCCTCAGTCTTACCCTCGCTGTGTAGCCTACTTTGCAACCAGTGAAATATCCTCTTCAATACCAGGCACAAAAACATTGCGAATCCCCTCTACGTACATAGGAGCCAGAATGATCAATACATTGAATTGATCATAGGCCCTTAATATTTAGAAGAAGAAGTAATAGTAATAGTAACGTTTAGTATAAGTATAGCATTCTTACTACTAATTTTTCTTCTTATGCCTTTTAACCCCGTTTGGGGCATAGGCAGTCCACAAGAATTTTCCATTCATCGCGGTCCTGTGCTTTCCTTTCCAGTTGCTTCCAGGTGTATCCCATACTTTTTTGCGTGTCTGCCTCTAGCTCACATCTCCAGGTATTCTTTGGCCTTCCTTTCTTTCTTTTTCCCTGTAGATTCCATGTTAAGGATTGTCTGATGGTATCTGGGGGTTTTCAGAGAGTATGCCCTATCCACCTCCATCAATGGGCACCTGGTATGTCCTTTCTAGTGAATCTTTGTTGGTGATAGATAGGGAAGCAAATAAATTTTTATATATTTTGGTCCTAATTTTGAGAGAAAGAATTGGCCCTGATCTTAAGTATCTGTGATGAAGAGGCAGTAATGTATTCTCCAAAATTGTATTAGATTTTAAATGCATATAGCTTCAAATAGTTCTTCAAGTGAATTTAGTTTTATTTTAGTGATATTATTTTCTTGATAAGTCTATTTAATTAGTGTTGGGTGAACAACCATGAATTCCCTCACCAGCAGGTAAGAAAAGAAGAGTCTTTGGTTAACTTTTTTATATAGAATTAAGCCATGTAATTTCATGATTCCCCCTCTGGAAATCGACAATCATTTTTTCAACTATGTTGCGGTATAAAATTTCCCCTTTTGATATTAAGCCAATGATGGTGGTATCATCAGCAAATTTAATGATTTATAACTGTGTTGCTTGGGCTCTGGATATCATTGATATATATTGTATACAGGACAGCTGGAAAAACATAACCTTGTGGTACTCCGGCACTGATTTCTCTTGTTCATGATAATTGACCATTTACTTTGACATATAGCTGCCGATTCGTTAAAAAGTCAAAATCCATGCCTGAATATTAACAAAGAGTTGGTAGGAAAATAAATAGAGTAAAATATAAGAAACAAAAAAAATAAATGGTAATTGAATGTAAAGAAACAAAAAGTTTTAAAAGACTAAAGAAAAAGACATTCTTCCATGTGGTGCGATGATTTGGAACTTGTGTATCAATAATAGTTGTTTTTTTTCCCCAACCCCACTCTTCTTGTGTGCTGGTGGAGTGAAAAATATTTTGTAATGGACACATCCTTTGACACTTTGTGATCAAGTGAGACAGAAATTTGATTTTCTTGATCAATTTTGCAAAGGTGCTGGCCATAGCTTTCCAATAGTCACTGTCCAGTTTTGCTGATTTAACACATTTAACAAATAATGATGTAAATGACATTGCAGCAAGTACTGGAGAAACAATCTTATATCAGAAATAAACTCTTAGAGGGTGTTAAAAATGACATCACTTGTCTAAGAGGGTAGGTCTTGAATTTTTGCCGATGCATGATAGGAGAGTTTAATTTGTGAGGGGGGTAAAAAATCAGCCAGAGTAATTTGATGTCATTTATGGAGGGCCCCTTAGGAAATTAATCTGTTGAGGTAAGATGACTTAAGGGCAAGTCTTACAATGGCTAAATTCAAATGACTTTGTCCTAAAGTGGGAAGGTGATGGCTCAAAGATGGCTATGACAATGAAGATTGCATAAATTGTTATCTTTTCAAAACACCAAATCAGTGGGGATGGAAAAATGTTTTGTGCATCAGGGTCAGCAAGGAGAATGACCTAATTTATTTTTTTAAATCTGTTTGGCTGTGAGAATATGGAGAGGTTAGTTTATAATAAATTTAGTTCTGTCAATATTGTCACTCACATTGGACTAATCATTCAGCATTTGTGATACTTTTTATTGGTTCAACCAGCACCCACTTTGTGGCCCGCGAAGTAACGAAATATTCTTTATTCTTATTATTTTCTTAATAGTTTTTCCCCCTGTTCTATTTTCTTTTGGCCCCCACAAGTCTCTCTTATTTTCTTGTGGCCCGCACAAGTTTTTCATAAAGCATTACGGCCCACCTTACATTTTGAGTTATGCAGGCCTGTTGTAAGATATATTATTGAATATACATTAAGCATATATATTAAATCATAAAGTTTATCATTGTTTTATTTATAGATCCAGTGGGTTGAGCTTCATAGTAGGCTGTGAGGATGGCATGGTTAGAATATATGATCTCTCAGCAAAGCATCTCGATGAGAAACCAAAGGTATTTTATAGACATATTCTTTTCTTTTGCTGTCTTAGCAGCAACCCCTAAGGTTGAGTTCATTTTATATTCTATTTTATCATGACATTCTTTACTTTGCTTTTTATCTATTTTTTGTAAAGTGGGGTGGGGATGTAAAATGTATAAGTAGAATATTAGTTTTTCCTTAAAAGACAATGGCAATGACTACTTTATTAAATTATTTACTCTTAGTATACTAATGAAATATGGATATATAAAAGTGAAAATTTGTGGGTTTGTTTGTTCCACAAAGGCTTTTACATGGATTGATGGATCTTGACCAAACTTTGCACATATATTATCATATATCCATCATTATCCAGAATAAAATAATTATGAACTTTTTATAACATTCCGTTTGGGGCCAGGGGCCCTGAATTCATTTTTTTTATATGAGCTATATAAATAAAATTAACAACAAATACTCCTACATGAATAGTTAAATCTTGACCAAACTCAGTACACATACACTTGATTATCCATATTCAAATACCGAAGGGTACTGAATTCATAATATCCATTCCCATGAGGTCTGGGGCCCCATTTCATTTTTCCTTATATAAGCAATATAAATATCATATATGGCATCCTTCCGTCTTTGCGTGACGATGGAGTAGCTATATTGGCATACACTTCAACAATTGGCTCACTAGGCCAATCCTGGAATGACAATCTCGACTGCATTTCACACAGGAGAATATTGATTCCTGGTAAGATTTGGCCTTCCGTACTGTTCTATTTGTTGCAAGGGCTTCGTTTCGGGCATCTTCTGACTTTTTTACTCCTTCATACACTACTGTTCGCCATTTGTGGATATAAATATCAGTAGGCTTAGTAAAAACTATAAGTTTTTTGCGAATTGATGAATCTAGTCCTAGGTTGGTAGCAAACACTTCCATACTGAAATATTGGTGGATTTAAAATGAATACTATCCAATTTGAAAACGAGATCCCATCAGGATTGGGATCTCAATGGGGTCGGGATCTCAATTGGGGTTGGGATCCCGATTGAGATCCCAATGGCCTCCGGATTCCAATGAGAATGGGATGCCATCGGGATGTGGAATCCCATTTGTAAAAGGGATCCCATCGGGATCAGGATCCCAATAAGAACGGGATCCCATTGGAAATGGGATCCCATCACGATCTCAATTAGGTCTGTATCCTATAGGGTTTGGGATCATCCTCTTGGAAAAGGGATCGGGATCCCATCAGGATCAGGATATCGACAGGATAAGGATACCAATGGGATCGGGAGGCAGTCCCGGGCAACTCCGGGTATATTGGCTAGTAACTTCAATAAAGCTGTGACATATTAAATTGAGAAATCCTCCAGGGTAAAAGTATGGTAGTTTTTCTTTAATATTAAGTTGGGGGGTTTACCCCCCCAAAATGCTTCATTGAAATTGTATGACTTTATTTTACCCTTTTTTAAAAATGATTGCTGAAACTTTCACGACCAGTATGTTTAGCCATTCTATTATTTCTTTGTATACTGTGACAATACTGTTTTCCCAGACAGTTTTGGAAACAAAAAGTGGTCCAATTCAGTGCTTGACGGTTCATGATGTCACAAGATTTTATCACAATGATCTGATAGTTGGTGACTCCTGTGGAATGTTGACAGTTTTTTGCAATCGTCAAATTTTGTCTCGGCAGTCCTTATCTTCAGATAGTATTATATGTTCCACAGTCGTGGAAGACAATGGTAGGATTTCAGTTTATTCATTTATTTATTATTATAAATTATTGCAGTTCAAATGGATCATTCAATATTCTTTGTGATTGAAGTTTTGAAGATAGATTTGGTTTATTGTGACCTGCTTAAAACTTGAATAATTTTGTATATATACATTTTTCTAGGAGGGAGTCCGGTTATTGTTTGCTCCAATGACTCTGGTGTTATAACAGGAGTTCAACCAACTGAGGAACTATGGAGAATTGATTTAAATAGTTTATCAAATAAAGTAGGTTTTTTTTTAAAATTAGAATCACCTTTTACATTTATCTCTGAATAAATATTTATGTATAATTTGTAATATAATATTTAATGTCCAGAATTATTTTAAAATTACTTTTTGTTAGAAGATACTGTTTCTAATGAACTTTTCAAATGATATTTACAGAATCCATCTTCAATCGTGAAAATAACCTGCCTTTTAGCAATACACATAACGGATGCAACAGGAAACAAGAGGCAGTATTTACTGGTGGCTGATAATGCCAAGAGAATCCATGTCATTAGCAATGGAACTCTTGTCTCTTCTCTCAACGCCCCAACAAATATAACAGCAGTGAGTCTTTTTGTTGAGCTGATGATCTCTTGCCCTTATTTGCTACTTATTTTACATGAGTTTTTTCTTTTGTTGACACTTTTCTTTTGGTCTATCTTATCTTAGGTTATTTACGTTACGCATATTCCACTCTAATGGGTTCTTTCAAAATAAATATTCATTTACTACTATATTCCACTCTAATGGGTTCTTTCAAAATAAATATTCATTTACTACTATATTCCACTCTAATGGGTTCTTTCAAAATAAATATTCATTTACTACTATATTCCACTCTAATGGGTTCTTTCAAAATAAATATTCATTTACTACTATATTCCACTCTAATGGGTTCTTTCAAAATAAATATTCATTTACTACTATATTCCACTCTAATGGGTTCTTTCAAAATAAATATTCATTTACTACTATATTCCACTCTAATGGGTTCTTTCAAAATAAATATTCATTTACTACTATTGCTTCTATAAATAGATCTTTATGACATTACTATTTTGCCATATTCAGATGACACAAGGGCGATTTATACCAGCGAACAAACTTAGTCTACCATCTGGTCAGTCTTTGTCTTCAGATGCAGAACAAGTAGCTCTAGGCTCAAGCAGTGGCTCTGTCTATATCCTGCACAACTTAAATGTAAGCTATTATGTGTAACTTACAGATTATTAGCGTCCTTTGTCATAATATATGGGGTTTCATTAATTTCATAATTATTTCTAGTTTTTGCATCTTCATCATAATCCTGATCCAGAGCCATTTTGCCAGGTGTCCTAATGTTAATTATATAAAACTTAAAGAAAACAGATTATTAAGCCTCTTCCTACTACAAACCAACTGACAGCCATAGTTACTAATAGTGTTCATCTTCCCACCCCAGATCATTCAAAGACTCCATAACCTTTTCCCAGCTTTATAAGCTACGTCACCTCTGCCTGTCAGATGAACATGTTTTAGATAGGACAAATGAAATGATGGACTTCTTCCACTCCAGATCTTATCCCTAGAGTGCCCTTTTTTTAAAACTCAGTCTTATGAGTACAATCACAGTTAATGAGACTTCTAAATGTTCTTTAAACAAAAATGAGGGTCGAACAAAACTCATTCCTTACCTACCACCCTCACAATGTGATTGCCAAAAAAATATTGTAGAAAAATTGTCATAAACGCTTTGCAGATTCTGACACAAATAGAGTGTTCTCAGCTCCTCCATTTATTGTCTGCAGAAGAGATAAAAATTTATGTGACCTCACTGTTCAGTCGCCTTCAAGCTGACCCTTTTCACTAAACCGTGTTCAAGAAGCTGTGGTAGGACTTGCCCTCATGTTCTGGAAACTAAACACATTTGCTTCCCTAAGGGACCTTTGCAATCAAACAGGGCTTTACGTGAATATTAATTGATATGTGATTGTTTGCCAAAAATGCCGCTTCTGTTATAAAGGTGAGACAGGAAGAAGGCCATCTGATAGGTTGGTTCAGGGAACATCTTCGGGATATTGAACAAAACAAGCCATCGCCGGTCTTATCCCAATTCAATGAAGGTGAACACAAGGGCACATGAGTTGTATCCATCACTGTTTTAATTTCTTGCACCAATATACCAGCGAGAGTAAAGAATGAAAAAAAATTAATTCAGATTTTCTGCACCATATCACCAAATGGAATGAAATAAATACTGACTTACTAGGGATCCTTCATTTCCCTCCATTTCTATTCTTAATTTTTGATGTTTAAAATTTTACCATAAAGATGCTTAAATTCTTTAACCTTGATAGTACACACCACAGAATAATGTGGGGTGCACTTTTTGGTTTTGAACAACTCAACTTCTGTTTCTAACAATAACATAGAGCACTTCCTGCTCTAAACAATGAGCTACATTGACTTTACTTAGAACTTTGAAAACATATTTTATTTTTTATTTAAAATTTACCTGCTATTTATTATCGTATCCGGAAATTTGATCCAAAGAAATTTCGTTGACGGAAATTTGGTCGAATCTTCTTTTCAATTTTTACGTTACAATTTCGCATCAAATTTCTTTTTGAACGAATTATTTTGTTTTACTAAATAGTATAGTGCGTTCAAAAAGAAATTTGACAAAAATTTTAACGCGCGAACGGAAAAAAAAGAATCGACCAAATTTCTGTTCGCTCATATTACCGTCGACGAAATTTATTTTGATCAAATTTCCGGTAACGATTTATTGTATTGTATTGTCTGCTGAATTAGGCATCTAGCCCAAATGTCTGCTTGATTGTCTTGTCTTTTATTTTCAAGCTAATCATATCTTGTTCCCCTATTTATTTAGCTTAAATGAAATAGAATAATAAAAAAATTTGGAAAATCAAAATATTCCATTAACTTTAGTATATGATATCTCATAGAAGTAGGAATTGAGGATTATTTTTAAAAGTTTAAACATTCACCCTTATATAACACTTTTGAAAACTATATTTTAGATCACATTGGATGATTATGTGAATACTAAACACCCCATCACAAATCTCTGCACACTGCCTCAGCCAGAAAACTCCACAGACCTTTTGCTTTGTTCTGGCCATTTTAGTTCATTGCATCTTTACAGAGATGGCCAGGTAAATATAATCTTGTTAATCCAATGGTGGCCAACCTTTGTTGGGCAAGGGCGGCATGGAAATTCATTTTTTATGACAGGATGCATGGTAATAAATTTTTTAATAAATTTATAATTATAGTGAGATGATAACCAACAGATAATTAGTTTATGGAGCAGATAGGGGAGTCTGTTAGTGTGGAATGAATTTTTAATTTTGTAGGGATTATTATTAAAGTCTGAAAATTTTACTCTGTGATTTTTAATTTTCAAAGGCATATACCAATAATCATTAACAGTTCCCGGAAGGTCTTGCAGGCCAGATAAAACATGTGAACACATGCAATAGGTTGCCCACCCCTGGGTTAGTTACTAATTAAATTATAGTTTCTCATCATTTGCGCATTCATTTTATTTTAAATCATTTCCCAAATATTTCTCTTCTTTATCCTCATAGTTAAGGTTTCCAAGAGCTGTCTACTGCACAGCTATCAAAGTTCAATATTTTATGGCAGGTGGTGAAATTACTTTTTAAACACCGAATACCGGTATGATACTCTGGTTACAAACCTGGAGTGTTTTTAAAATGTGTTATCTCCAATGGTCTGCTGATTAATAACCAAATTAAGGAAGAGTTAAAATGTTGGTTTTTTTTTTAAGTTTAGTTTTAGGTCAACTGCATAACAGCCTGCCACACTTGATTTAAAAACAAAAACCATCAATATTAAATAATCCTATCTGCATAAGCTCCCTCCACACAAAAACCAATAAAGTTTGGTGGTAAACATTAAAAAATGAATCTGCTATCTAAGCCACCACTAATTTCTTACTATTGTTTCAGCTTTTGATGGAATACCCAACATCTGACTGGGTTAGCAATATAGCCACTGCTGATATAGACGATGATGGTGCTCTGGAAATCATAATTGGGTGCATGGACAGGACAGTTCAAGCTTTGAAAATATAGGTTTACCAGTTTGTAACAAACCTGGTGAAGGATGTAATTTTTGTGTTTTAACAGAAATGATGTATTGTAAATGAGTCACAGGAGAATGTTAATATCAATATTTTATGTAATATCTGTAAATAGTCACATTTCATTACAATAAACTAATAATGATTAAAGAAAAAAATGTATTTTATTTATTTTTTTGTACAACAATGTCATGTTATGAAAGGTGCTGGCCAAAAGAAAAAAAGAAATTTTTTTTCTGGATAAAAAGTCTGAATTTTTTTTTTCTTTCACAGTTGATAAGAGGAAGATATCTTAATTGGCAAGAAGAAAGCTGAAAAATAAATAAATGTAATAAAATCATTTAAAACTGGAATAAAAAGCTAGGCTCAAATAAATACATCACAAATATATGGGTATCTCAACATTGCAGATATATACAAAATAAAAATAATATTTTTTTTTTTTCAATGAAAATATACCGCATTAGGGTTAATTAATTAAGATGAGCTTAGAATGAATCATGTTCAGTTGAGATCAAATTAGCTACTCAGTTGAAGAAAGTAAAATAAAGCACCCGACTGGTCTAATAAATTAAAAATGTAATTAGAAACAACCACTAAAATTTTGAATGCCTGACAAAAAAAAAATGATGGAGACAGATTACAATAAGAAAAGAATTGATAGAGAATTTGAGAGTCTTTCTTTTATCATGTTACTATCGCGATCAACTTTGAAAGCATACAAGATCACTATGACACCTAATGTTTTCTGCATATTAGGAGGATCATTCAGTTCATCTTCTTCATTTTAGATAAAATAGATTCAAAATTATTTTAACCATCACTCTAAATGTACAAGTGAAATTGTAACAGAGTTCTTTTAAACTCGTACAAATTCCTCTCCAAATGATAGCCCAGGAATTTTATAAGGTTCAGCTGATAAATCTAATCAATTAATTATGTATGCTGCATCTATATAAAATATTTTCTACACTGACCAAATATATCTTTCTTTTAGGATTGAGAATTTATCATTGTCAGCCATTTGCTTATGCTTATGGCTTACAGTATTAAAGTTTCAGGTATCACCTATATGAAAATATAAAATGAAAAGATTAAAATTGTGCAACTAAAATATTTCCAACCATTATTTTTGTAAAAAAAAAAAACTTTAAATAACTTACAACACAAAACAATACAGATTTAGATTGTCTTGGTTTCAAACGGCATAAAATTTAATTAATCAAAGAGCATTTTAAAAAGAATAAGTTCATACAGTGATAATGAATAGAGCTCTCTAAAACATATTGAAATAATTCTGTTGTTTTAATGGAATACAACTGTGGAGAGTTACCATTTTTATCTAACCCATTTCTTGCAATTTTAAGATAAAAAGAAATAAAGAAAAAATCAGAATTTCAAAGAATCATGTTTAATATCCAAAAAAAATCTCTGTCTCATACCTTTCAAGAATATGTAAATATTAAAAGCCCACAATCATGTGATTCCAAATGATTTTTAAAGCACAATAAAAAAAAAAAATTGTGTTAAAAAAGAAATGCATGTGATGACTAATAAATTTCCATTAAATGCCTTTGAAATTTGAATTCATTGAAATCTCGATTTCATTTGAGAAAATATGAGTTTAGATTTAGCATTTAAAGCATTGCAGAAAATAAATGTTGACTTTGTAACTGTAAGGACACATAAACTGCCAGGCAAGCACACATTAACTGACAGGCTGGAAAACCAATAATATTAAAGAGCATGCACACATTTTATGTTCTTAAAACTTGCCACACACAAAAAAAAACAATTGTTGAAGTCTCTCTTTAAATCTCTTATCCTACTGTGTTTTTAGTTATATCCTTCCTCATTAACCACTGGGAGACTAACATATCTAGCTTTAAAAAAAGAAATTCACTAAGCGTGAGTCATTCATAATTTTAATGCAAGTGAAAATTTAAAAATATAAATCATGTTGTCTAAAGTAAGTGTATGTTTATTTAGATGCAAAATAATGTTTTTTACACGCTTAAAAAGAGTCTTAAAGTTTTGTTAAGATTGCTGGAGATTTTGAGATTTCCAGTTAAGATACTTAACTGGTTGTAACAAAGAACATATAATATTGAAAACAAAAGAACCCCTGAAATAATTTAGGATAAAGAATTAAATTTAATCCATTGTGAATATCCTAGAAGCAATGTCATTGACAACCCAGTCCATGCCGTTCAACAGATTAGCACCTGTCACTGCACTGCAGTCTTGAATCAACCAATGATGTGTTTTGATGGAATCTAGATCCAAAGCCTGGAGGAGCAAGTGAAACACAATTTTTATTTTTTTTTAATCCCTATGATGCACAGCTCTGTTTATCCCACACATATTTATGGCACAATATCGATTTGAGTTTATTGGTTTAATTACTGTAACATTTTTGCCAGATTTTGAAACTAATTTTCTTTAGGAGATTGCATATTTGTCTGCTTAATTCTGGCCCTTTCATCTACTAAAATAGATTTTTTAAAATTTTAAATTGTATTCAATTTTCAAAATAAAATTCTGGTATTTTTTACATAAATAAGTATTTGCAAGGATCTGGAAGTGGTAGGATATGGATGAAACTGCTAAGAAAAATAACATACATAACCATATGACTAACCTCTCTAATTTCCCTTGCAGTCAATGAACCAGGCAAATCTTGCTTGTTTGCAAACACTAACAAAGTTGCTCCAGAAAGACGCTAAAGAAAAGGTGTAAGAAAATAAAATTAATTGGGATCCATGTAACATAATGGTGAGAATAATTTAATTCTTGGAAAATTTCACTATCATAAAACATAATATCAAATAACCACCTTTTTATGCAAATAAATACTGGTGCAGTTAATTTTTGTCGAATGAATGTAATTATTTCTTTGTAATTTCTAACTTTGGTTAACTAAGGTGTGGTAAAATTCTGTAAGTGCTAATATTAACTAATATTAATAATATTATCTTTTTATTAAACAAATGCTCTGTAATAGAGATGGATATCAATTTTTTAGACAAATTTCAGAGATAGAATTCTTTTTCCATCATGCAACCTCTTCAACCAATAGGCTATGAAGTTCTTTCTTGCAATCACTGAGTCTCATGCGATCAGCACTGTCTACAACCCATATCAGTGCATCTGTACTTTCAAAATAGTTTCTCCAGTAAGACCGCAGAGATTTTTGTCCTCCAACATCCCAAATGTTTAGTTTGAACCTGTAAAGATAAATACTGATTTTAAAAACATTTTTTTTTTAAAATTAAAACTTGGGGAAAAAATTTGTTGCTTTGTTTCTAATTCTCCCTTTTCATGAACCATTAATACATAAATATGCTAACTTATTAGAATAGCATCATAATAAGATGACCTACCCTCTGTGCTCCAGTGTTTTAATGTTGAAGCCCAAAGTAGGTGAGATGGTGTCAATATCTTCCCCATTGAACTTTTTTAGGATGGTTGTTTTACCAGCATTATCAAGCCCGCTAATGAAATAATTAAGGAACTGACATCCAGATGATGGAATACATCCTTTGCCAATAAATTATTATAATAGTTAGTGTTGGATTAATTTTCTTTAATAAATTTCAGCTATAAGTTGAGTAATCCCCACCTTATAAGGAAATTGCTTTTGTCAACCATGTAGAGCGAAGTGCCTATCTTTTTTTCTGATATTGTTTTGTATTTTTGCTAAGGAAGGTTTTATGCCGAAAGGTCCATTCTAGTGTATTGCCTTTAAGTTTGAATATACCTTATGCTAAACAATTTTTTACCTGGATTGAATATAACTATATTAAAATTAATGGTCAATTAACGTTCTCTTCGCCATGGCTTGTGTCTGAGTAGGATTATCTCCCTTTTTTTGGATCTTCTTGTTGTTACTAGAGTTTAATTTTCCTCAATACAACGATGGAATGTTGTTGTAAATTATAATTTCATTTGTTGGTTAATTATAATATTTAAATTTTCCAATGGGTTTAATTATTGTATTAATTTGATTTTCTGACAACTTTTGGATTTTTTTTTTTTGGTGGAACCTGAAATAAAGTATGTTAAAGTGTATTCTATGAAGCTGTAAGTTGGGTTTTCATTATTTTACAATTATTTTGTATTGTCTTTCTTCATTTTTAGAGTTTTCTTACCAGTTTCAGTGTGTAACTGTAGCCGCACACTGACATATTTTAGTTGAGGGTTATGTTTAGGGTTAGGTTTAGTGGTAGAGTTAGGTTTAGGGATAGTTTTAGGGTTAGTAATAGTGTTATGGTTTGTAATTTTAGCAGACATGAGTTTTTTTTAACACAGCCGCCATCTTGGTTGCATGACCTGTGACTTTTCATTGGTCATGACAACCAAGATGGCGGCCATGGGAAACGCCCTGGCGCAGAGACTTTAAATTTACCAAATTAATATTTTTCAGCTTTACTGTCCAAGTAAAATAAAAATGTGCAGGGTATCTTTTATCATTTCCTTTAATACCGGTACCATGCTTTGACCTGACATTATAACTGACTATCCCTCTCTCTTCTATGAATAATCAAAAGGAATATGAAGATAATCAAATGATGTTGAAATGACATGACATGTTAATAATAATGTTATATAATATGATATATTATATGATGTACTTAGACTTATTACTATCGATCTGATCGGTCCTGTCACTATTTAGATTAGACTATCACTATCTATATGGTGAGTATAGTGTCTGACTATGATCACTATTTATTATATTCTTTATCAGTATACACAATACTGTCTGGTAAAATTATATAAGCACTAACCCTGACTAAGTCACAGCCTATCTAAGTTTAAGTGTCTTATTCTAATGTAATTATAATAATATTTTCGTCACAAACTCCAAATGACTGAGTGACTGATTGTTAAATTCTAAAATACTTTAGGCTCCTAAGACCTATTTGAACTATTAAATGATGTTAACTTTTATACTTTTAAATAAAAAAATAAAGGATACAGCATAAGTAGCCTGACTTCTTTTTCTTTCTGTTTCATTTTCTTGAGAATGGTAAGAAGTCCCATTTAATGCTACAAATCTCTTTACATGAAATCAGCGTCTATGTTGTTATGATACTAAAAGGACCAAGAGTAGCTTCCCACAACGGAAATTGGATTCTTTGCATTTCGATTTTTTCTTTTTAAAAGGACAATAAAATGTTTATGTATGAATGAAAATAATATAACTTCATCGACATTTTAATCTAAAAGTTCAAGTCTCAAGACAATATTTTGTATAATGCTTTACTTCATGTTGCCTAAATTGGGTGATTTATATACCTCATGGTGTGGGGGGTGGATGGAAGGGGGGGGGGACATTCTAAATCTTCACAATTTTTACGGATATGAACCTTTAAAAAATCTAATAGCCTATACGAGTGACTATGTTACTTTTTCAGTGACGTTATAGCTGTGGGTCTTATGCAGAACCACCCTTCAGCCCCGTCCACTTCCCACGCCACTGGTAAGCAGAGTCTTCCAAAGACAAGACTTTATGTAGCCTACTTCCCATAAGGCACTACCTGACAAGAATTAATATTGCGCCCCCGTCAAGCTCATAAGCCTTTTTTTTTAAAAATAAAATGAAGACTTTGAACAAAAATTATAATCAAGGTACGCGTATATACTCGTTGCTTATTCAAAGCAATTAGATATAATCTGACTTAACATTTAAAAAAAATAATATTAAAAAAGACAACAACAATAAAATTAAAAATTAATTACAAATTATTTGTCCGGCGCCCATTGCGCATGTGTCGTGTCTTTTAACAACCTCGTTACGCATCTTCATATGAGCTGTGAAGTTGCAGTGTCACACCCCATCTCGATTTACAAACATATTTCCCGCACCCTCGCGAGAATAAAAAATGCTAGGAAAAATACAAATAAACTTGATTTTCTTGGTCTTCCCGCATTTACTGAGCCTGCCAGTGCCGGCTCAAGGTACCAGCACCTCGGGCAGTTGCCCGGGGCGCCATGTATTTAGAGCACCATGTGCTTTTGGCGCATTCAACGATCTTCCAAAATTGAAAAACCGTTGCATGTGGGCACCATGAAAGAAAGATAGAAAGTGCAATAAAAAGATCTAGAGGCTTGGGGGCAAAAATGGCGTCGGTAGGCTAATAATTGTGTATACTGTCCAAATACACGTTAAGACAAACAAATGTATTGTTCATTGTTGTTGTTAAAAAAAAAAAAAAACTTAAGGTAATAAACTCGTTACCGAACCCTTAGTTTTTTGTTTGCAAAAACGTTTATGATCATACTTAAAATGGGCACCAAAGCTAAGCTTGCCCGGTTTCTTTGGCCAGCCCTTGTTTGCTTTTTTACAGTCACCAGGAGGTCATCGTACTGCCCAATTGCCTGACGAATCCTTTCTTTCACTTGATCATCGGAGATATGGTCTCTATAGCAGATGCCAAGAATGATTCTGAAACATCTAATCTCCATCGCCTTTATTTTCCTTTCAAGTTCTGCTGTTAATATCCAGGACTGGCAAGCTTACAAGAAAATAGAGAGGACTAATTAGCGCATCAGCCTAATTTTGGTGCTGGGGGCTATATTTTTGTCGTTCCATATTTTCTTGAGCCTCTTTAGTGCTGTTGTGGTCTGGGCAATCCTGGACATCAATTCGGGCTTAGAGCCTTCTTCCGAGACTATTGCTCCTAGGTACTTGAAGCTGCCTACTGTCTCTAATTTTTCCTCCCCGACCTTAATTTCAGTGGCGATGCCAGTGGTGTTATTTGTCATCAATTTTGTCTTTTCTGCAATGATTAGCATGCCAAAGGACGATGAAGTCTTGTCAAGACACTTAACTAGGTTGGCTAACTCTTCTTCATTCCCACTCAGTCCATCCGCAAAGCGTAAGTTGGTGATTGTTCTGTCACCAATGCTGACTGTCCCTACCTGCGCTTCCAGAGAATCTGCTTGCATCGGCCTGAACATCCATGTAGGAAAAAGCAAAGTCCATCTCCATCTGCGCTGGCAGACTGGTCCTCATTGGTGAAGACGTTGGGCCAGCGGATTCGGAGACATGAGTTGATAAACGTCTGTAGCTGTTTTGAACCAGCTGCTGTTGTTCGCCATGTTTCTGCTCCATATAGCAACAGGCTTAACTGTGGTGTTGAATATCCTGACCTTGGTCTGGAGGGTCAAGTTGCTGCATTTCCAAACCAAACATTGATGATATCTTGAAAGCCAAACGTCAGTTTCACAAATCTCACCAACCTTTTTTTTGCTGCTTTGTTTTTGAGATTTGAATATGTGCGCTAGTCCTGGTGTAACTATCTTTTTGCTAATGAAGCCTTCTTTGATAACGTTGTTAGTAAATAAATATTTTGGTTGTCTTTGTTTTTGTACATTTCACGCCACTCACCCATGATTAACATGGAATACTTTACTTAGTTATTCGTCTTTTCCCCTAGAACTTTCGTCCTGGCCTGAAAGTATTGTAGGCCCTACTGATATGATTATACGGCCCACAATCGTCATTTTGTCCGTAATCTCGGCCGCGGTGAAAAAGTTTGGTGACCCCTGGGTGTAGCCGAACAAAATGAACTAAATACGTCACGCACGTGGACTGTTGACCATAAAAGTCAACCCCATGTAATATTTTTGTTGTTTGAAGAACATAGACATTTTTTGTTTGGTTTTTATTTGGTTATTTTTTATTTTTCTTCCATAAAGATGCAAATATTTTTTCTTCGCACAAAACAAAGTTTATGAAACTAACTGACGTTGTCAATTTTTTATTTTAATACACCATATAGACATAGACAATATATATTTTTTTAAAAACGATACTTTTCTCATTTTAGGACTATCGGAAGTTCCGGTATTTCAATTGCGGGAAAATATCCGCGCCTATTCTCCCATGTTATTATCTCTGGACTAACAGAAATATATTAAATAGTTTGAACGTTTTTTTAAAATTAAAAATGGAACCTGGATTTGATGATGCTGGTATTTTTTACAGTGATAATTTTGGACCAGATGACCAGACGGACGAATCTCAAATTGATAGACAGCAGATAAAACGCCGTTTGAAGCAATTTATTCGTGAATTTCATGAAGGAAATTTCTCTTACCGCTATCGGTAAGTCAAAAGCACAGCTACCGATTATTGGGCGTAGGCCCTATTAGCTAATGCTATTCATATGAAAAGTTCTCATGCTTCAATTATTCTGAAACTAGGGTCTGCTGATACTCAGACAGAGACTACATACTACATTGTACGACCATACTCAGTATTATCCAGGGTTAGCAGTCAATCTATGTCAGTCTTAGTATTCATACTCAATTGATTATTGGACCCCGCTGTTCTTCAACCACCTAATTACTAATTAGGCATAGTATACTTAACCTATTTAAGGCACCCCTATTTAATTTAGAATGCCTTCTGATTCTGTTTCACTTTCACTGCTACTTCTGCTAAACCCCAGGATCAACAGGCACCACACTCCACAGCTGTGCTCTGTTACTGTTGGTGTTACAGTAGTACCTGTTCAAAAAGATATTCGTGGGACCCATTTTCTGTTCAATTAGGGGGCCCTGAAGTCCTCAACTTTACCACACAAACATTATTATCAATACAGCCTATTACTATTAGTGAGACATTTAACTTTTATGAATAGATAGTAGTTAAAGTGTTAACTCAGTAGTCTGGACTAGTTGTGAAATGCCTAGGCCTACCCACAACAATTATTACTTCACACTAATTTTGAACAATTTTATAACCTGGTACAGAGCACTCTTCTTTCAAGTTTCTGATTTTATTATGGCAGTGTCTACACGCCCGGCACGCCGTAATTATGTCTCCCGCACTATCTGTCCGGCGACCAAGTCACATGACCGCCGGAAGAATACGTTATCGAGATATTCGTCTGGCCACCAAGTCACATGACCGCCATAGCAAAGTGGCTCGAGATATTTGCCCGTCAGCCTTGTCACGTGACTGCGAATGATTCAAAACTATTGTTAATTTTCTTGTTTTATTGTTATTTCTCTACCAAGTAATTTACTAAGTATCTTGCAAACAATAGAATAAACCCTACATAATAAATATAGGGCCGATATATTGGTAGCCTAGCCTACTTCTTATGCAATACTAAATACTAATCCTGAAATACAACTTTATTGATAAAGGACCATAGGAATATTGAAGTCTACTGGTCTTATTCTATTTGGTTCATATTTTAAATTTGGAAAGTTGGAAATAATTTTGCCCGTGTTGCCCTTAAACGATTGCGGAGTCTTGCGAACCGCATCTACCCAGAGTCCCAGTGTGGCTTCAGGAGTGGGCGCTCAACAATAGACATGATATTTTCGATACGCCAAATGCAGGAGAAATGTCACGAACAGCATATGTCTCTTTATATTGCCTTCATAGATCTGACCAAGGCATTTGACTTGGTAAGTCGAAGAGGCATTTTCCTTATCTTGCAAAGAATAGGTTGTCCCCCACGACTGCTCACAATAATACAGTCATTTCACTAAAACATGCACAGCACGGTCACTTTCAATGGAACTGTCTCTGAGTCATTCCCAGTTAGCAGCGGAGTAAAACAGGGTTGTGTACTGGCACCAACGCTCTTTTCAATTTTCTTTTCGATGCTTCTTCAATTTGCCTTCAGGGACTGTGAAGAGGGAGTGTTCGTCCATACTAGATCTGATGGTAGGCTGTTCAATATCGCCCGCCTTCGTGCAAAGACCAAAGTAAAAAAGGTGCTGATTCGTAAACTGCTGTTCGCTGACGACGCCGCCTTAACATATCACACAGAAGAAGGTCTGCATGGGGCTGGTTAATTGCCTATAACATGCTTATAAAGAGTTTGGACTTTTGATTAGTCCACAGAAAACTCATGTAATGATGCAAGAAGCACCGTCTCCTCCAATCATATCTATTGAGGGTCATAATCTTTCGGTTGTTGATCATTTCATATACCTGGGATCCAATATTTCTAGTTCTCTCTCCGTTGATGAAGAAATAAATATCAGGATAAGCAGCAGCAACTATGGCTAAACTGAATAAGCGGGTGTGGAATAATCTCAATCTAACTGAAAAAACAAAAATAAGTGTCTATCAGGCATGCGTGCTTAGCACGGTCCTATATGGTAGCAAAGTGTGGACCACATATACCAGTCAAGAGCGGAAACTCAACAGCTTCCATCAAAGATGTCTGCGTCGCATTTTGCGCATTCGTTGGCAGGACAGGGTGCCTAACGTGGTGGTTTTGGAACGTGCACACAATTCACACGTTTAGCATATTCTCCTTTCTTATCAAGAGACGCCTTCGCTGGTTAGGTCATGTACGGAGAGTGTAGGAAGGACGTATCCCAAAGATACTGCTGTATGGAGAGTTGGCAGAGGGGACAAGACATATTGGACGACCGCGCCTGAGATTTATTGACGTTTGCAAACGAAGCATGAGGGAAGCCAATATTGAAACAAACGAATGGGAGTTCATTACCGAACATCGCTCCAACTGGAGAACAGCAGTGTTTGAAGGAGTAAAAAAGGCAGAAGATACTCGAAAGGAGGCCCTTGAATCAAAAAGAACAATTCGGAAATCAAGAATTTACCGGGATTCAATATTCTCCTGCGAGAGATGCAGCCGTGATTGCCATTCTAGGATTGGCCTAGTGAGCCACTCGTCAAAGTGTAGAACTATATAGCTACTCCATCGTCTCACAAAGACGGAAGGATGCCAATTTATATTATATTTTAAATTTAGGCTTCAACCAAGCTAGAGCTTTACTTTACAAGATCTTTAAGCAAGATAAGGGAGTTTTTTCTTTGAAGAGTCGGAAGCAAATAGACTAGTAATAGTAGTAGTAATAGTACTACTAGTTAGTATATAGGCCAACTAGTTTAATATTTAAATATTCAGCTGACTAATATATGTACACAATATTGGAATATCAAATGCAATGCAACTATTTTTGCCGGCGACCACTTGTTACATGACATGTCTACCGCCGAAATAATATCTTCCACTAGTCGTCCGGCGGTCACGTGACATGCCTGCCGGATGTATATCTCCAGCACTATTTGTCCGCGTGCCGGACGTGTAGACACTTCGTTTTATTAAATTGAGGTGTACCTTGCTCAAGCTTTATAACTGGCAAGAAACTTACAACTTAGTGTACCTTGTACTTGTAGCCTAGGCCTAGGCCAAATTTACCCGTAATTGTTTTGTCTACTATTAGTATTTGACTAGTTTAAGTTAACATCACAAATTTATGTCTAGTATATGTAGGCCTAAGTCTTTTATTTATTTTTTTTTACCAATTAGCCAAGTAGCTTAGTCTAATAGAAAGACTTTACTCAATTATGTACTTAACACTTTAAATAATCATGGCCAATGTTGGTTAGGGATGCGTCATAAGCTTAATACACGATGGGTACAGTACAGCTCAATGTTACCTTCCACCAATTGATCATAGCGTAAATTAGGATGACCGTAAAAAGTTAATTGTATCCCTAAGACGATAATAACCTTAAACTTAACTGCAAATTGTAATTTAATAGACATTTTTATATATATTTTTACAATAAATTGTAATCTATGCCATACAATTATTGCACATGCGCATAAAAAATAGGGCCCTAATTTACAGTTGACACAAGAGTCAATTCACTATAACCAGTCACTTTGACTTTGTAATAAGCCACAAAACATAGACTAAACTCTTAAATTAAGTTAGCTTGTAGTTGCTAGAATTATTTATTTATTAACCATCAGTTTAAATTGTATTTCAGTGACCAGTTGAAGCGACATTACAATCTTAAACAGTATTGGTTGGAGGTAGACCTTGACGATGTTGGCAGTTATGATGAAAATTTAGCTGAGAAATTACTCAAGCAACCTTCTGAACACCTACCTTTGGTATTAAATTTTTTGTTGTTGTGCTTTTTTGTAATTTCAAGTCATTGATTAAAGCAATTTGATCAATTAAAATATCTTTGAAAATTGTAAAATATATATTTCAATCCTAATTATTTGAATAGTGTCATGTTATTTCAATGCAGTGTTTAAAAAAAATATTGATTAGGACAAGATGGTGATGGTTTTTAACCTTTACAGCAAAACAAAAATGACATTAACATCACACCCTTTCAAACCATGATCAATGATTGGCACTGAGAAATAATGATAGAATAATTATTTTAAAAAATGTCCTTATCATGGACATAGATTATCCTGATGAGACCATTACACATTAAGATAAATATATTTACATATTTCATATATAAAAAATTCTTTGACCTACTGTATGTTAGAGGAATTTTAAAAAAAATGCTTTGATTTCCATGTTTAAAAAAAAGTTTATTTCCCATGTTTAAATACATTTTTATTAATTGTATTTTTCAAGTTTGAGGATGCTGCCAAAGAGGTAGCTGATGAGATCACCAGGCCTCGTCCAGAGGGAGAAGAAGAGGTTGAAGACATTCAAGTCATGTTGACTTCAGCTTCCAATGCTTGTGGTATCAGAGCTCTAAAGGTAATGCCATTTATGTTTAAAAGTTGAAATATTTTTGTTTACCTTTATATATGATAATACGATGCATAGTTTTGAAATAAGTTTTATTTCAACTAATGTATCTGTATGACTTTTGTAAACTAAAATTCAATTGTAAGGAAATGTTTGAAAAGTTTAATTTCTGTTAAATATTAAACAAATCTTTTAACCATGTTGTTTTATTAACTTTTAAAATTCATTACCTTTTTTTTAAAAATTTAACAGAATTATTTCTTGTCGTCGAATACATGATAATTATAGTTTTAACTCTTAATTCTTGAACAGTCAGATCAGATGTCTCGTTTGGTAAAAATACCAGGGATTGTCATTGCTGCGTCAGGAATAAGATCAAAAGCCATTCGTCTGGCGATCCAATGCAGGAGTTGCTCTAATGTCATAAATAACATTCAAGTTAAGCCTGGACTTGAGGGTTATGCATTACCTCGGAAATGCAATACGTAAGAATTAAGTTATTATAACAATAGTTCCTTTTTCCCCCTCACTCTTTACTTCACCATTGGATCTACTGTTAAAATTTTTTTGACCCTAAATGTTTAATAACTCGTTTTCATAATAACCATTTGCAGAGAGCAAGCTGGGAGACCTAAATGTCCTGTGGATCCTTTTTTCATCATCCCTGACAAATGCCGCTGTGTGGATTTCCAGACCTTAAAGCTTCAAGAGGCACCTGAAGATGTCCCCAATGGTGAGCTGCCAAGGCATTTGCAGCTTTACTGTGATAGGTTTGCACCCTTTCTTGCTACACATACTTAAATATTTGTTTAAATGAAAGAAATAACTTAGTAACATAATTAAAAGAAATCAGACTCTCATGAAGGTATGTGTTACTTCTTAACCAATAACAGACTCGCTACATCTGACAAGAAGAAAAGCTCTTTATTTGTATTTACTGTTAAAGATTTCTTAAATCCTTATGTTTTCTAATAAAATTGTACCTATAGGTTATTAAATAATAATAATTATGTTATATTTGTTTAATATTTAAGTACATTAAGTGATAGAAATATTTTTATAAAAATTTAGTCACATCTCTATTTACGTTTTCTTATGTATTCTTCCACAAAGAATGTGAAATGGTGAACATGCTCTATAGTCATGTTGTTCTCATCTTTTCCCCAGGTATTTGTGTGATCGCATTGTACCTGGCAACAGAGTTACAATTATGGGCATTTATTCTATTAAAAGGAGTAGCAATACCTCACGAGTAAGTTGTTGACAAAAACATGCCTTAAGATTTTTGTACAGCTTATATTTTTTCTTTCACATTTGTAGAAACATTTTTATAAGCTTCGCAATCACTACTATATCTCATACTTATCTGATTTCAGAGAGGCACCAGGGATAAAGTCAATGTTGGCATTCGACAACCCTACTTTCGAATAGTTGGTGTTAAAATTGACACCGATGGCACTGGTAGAACGGCGAGTAATCCTGTGACACCAGCTGAAGAAGAAGACTTTCGTCGACTCTCTGCCTCTCCAAACATTTATGAAACAATTGCTAAAAGCATTGCACCATCAATTTATGGCAGCTTGGATATGAAAAAAGCTATTGCTTGCTTGCTCTTTGGGGGCTCAAGAAAAAGGTACACTACGTCTTTTTTCTTCTTCAAGCTTTCATATTAAAATATTGTGATGTCATAAAAACAACCCCCACCACCACCCAACACATAATGGATGATTTATAAAAACAAAATTAACATTTTTTTGTATTAATTAAAACTGATTTAAGATTTTTATCATTTGAAGACTGCCTGACGGGCTGACAAGAAGAGGTGACATTAACTTGCTGATGCTTGGTGATCCCGGTACAGCCAAATCCCAGCTGCTCAAGTTTGTAGAGCGTTGCTCACCAATTGGTGTAAGTTCACGAGATTTCACATTTCCTTTATTTAATTTATGGTGAAAAAGTAACTCGTCATTAATATTTTAAAAGAAATAATAAATAAGTATAATTTTTTTAAACCTAGTATTACATGCTAAACTGACAAAATCAGTTATCTTTAATTTTAAAATTACATTTGGAAATCAGATATATACATCTGGGAAAGGAAGCAGTGCTGCAGGATTAACAGCTTCCGTAATTCGAGATCCATCATCTGTAAGTTATTCTAATACTAATATAATTAGCGGTACTTTATTAAATTTAAATTTAATTTTTTCTAGAAATAATTACTTTTTAAAAATATTTTTAATGCATTTTATATGCATCATGCAATATGAAGGTATCTCTAATGTACCTTATCTTCTTCAGTCTAATTTTACAAATTGTTGTTTTGGTTACCATATACAAACCTGTTTACTGGTACGATTTAGGCGTACAATGTATGATTTTGAGGCGTATACGTTATATATAATGTATGTTTATTTTTTTACTGTTAAGAAAATCTATTGAACGATTTTGTTATGATATTGTACGATTTTAAGAGTTTGGGGGTAAACAGGTCTGCATATACGTTGGTTCATTATCAGTTGCCATTTACATTTGGTACAGTAAATAAAAAAAAAAAATCATTTTAAATTAGCACATGGAGCTATAATTTGGCCAAGCTATCACATCACTGTTAAGGAATTTAAATTTAAAAAAAAAATAAAATAGCTCTTAAACAATATTTTTTAACTTTTATTTGCTCTAGAGAGGTTTTGTTATGGAAGGAGGAGCAATGGTGCTTGCTGATGGGGGTGTGGTCTGCATTGACGAATTTGATAAAATGAGAGAGGATGATAGAGTAGCCATCCATGAAGCAATGGAGCAGCAGACAATTTCTATTGCAAAGGTGAGTAAAAAGCTGGAATATGGCATAATAGAGGAAAGATCAAGTAAAAAAGAGCTTGATTAAAATGATACGTGTGCTACAATCTAGAATAAATAACTTGTCTTGGTGATGATGAGCTTGTCTATAGAGATCACCATTTTAAAACGTAATTATTATGTTCATATGTCAATATCACCATGTTCATAACTTATTTTAGCCATGATCTTGTTAAAATATTCACAGGCTGGCATCACTACCACCCTAAATTCTCGTTGCTCAGTTTTGGCTGCTGCCAATTCAGTATTTGGTCGTTGGGATGACACTAAAGGAGGGGAGAACATAGATTTTATGCCAACAATTCTTTCCCGTTTTGACATGATTTTTATTGTGAAAGACCACCATGATGAGGCCAGAGATATGGTAAAAAAACCAAAAACATTTAGAGTATTTTCATTATTAATTAAACTATTGTCACTGTTTATGTAATGTTAATAAGTTATTTTAATTATGTAAGTTATTTTTACTCATGTAGTAAGGTTCTTGTCCTATTGCCGTCTGGTAAAGAAATTTAGCAGCAAGAGATTTTTTTTTTAATATTTAAAAAGTTTCTGCCCTACTTTCAGTGTGAGGTTAATTGCAATGGTTGTCATTTTAAACAAAAGTTTTTAAATTTTTTTAATACTTTTCTTAAAAAACTTACCTTAGTTTTTTTAATTCCCCCCCCCCCCCTTCCTCCTCTTCATATAAATGTTACTGATAAATTTAAAATATATTTAATTGCATTAAATTTAAAAACTCTACCCTGATTGTTTCTAATGTTGCTTTTCCTGTAGACATTGGCTAAGCATGTAATGAACGTCCATCTGAATGCCCTTCAAAACACAGAAGAAGCAAGAGAGGGTGAAATCCCTCTTAATACTTTAAAAAAATACATTGCATACTGTAGAAAGTAAGTTGGCTATCTTTTGGATGAATTTATTGTTATTTTTTTAACAATTTTTATTATTTTTTTAATAAAAAATTGTCATCTATTTTTTTAAGTACGGTACTTACATAGTAGTATTGAAAAATTTGAAGCATATATTTATATTGGATGTGTTTTACAGCAAGTGTGGTCCCCGCTTATCGGAGGAAGCTGCGGAAAAACTAAAGAATCGATATGTCCTGATGAGAAATAGTGCCAGTGACTATGAGAGAGAGACTGGCAAGAAAATCAGCATTCCTATAACAGTGAGGTTGGTCTCGAGCTTGTCTTATTTTAGCCATTATTAAGAAAGGGATGACGCTTAGGGAGTTTTCATTTATTAGACCAATTATTGGCTATTTTGTTTTTATATACAACTGGGCTAAAAGTAACAATGTTTTTTTATTTTAATTTCAATTGCATTCACTTTCAGGCAGTTGGAAGCTATAATCCGCATTGCAGAATCTCAAGCAAAAATGAGACTTTGCCCATTCGCCTCTGATGCAGATATAGATGAAGCACTGCGACTCTTCCAGGTGTCAACTTTGGATGCTGCAACATCTGGCAATTTGGCTGGTTAGTATTTTCTTTATTTATTAGAAGGTAAAAATGTAAGTTATTTTGGTCTTTAACGCTTCCAGTGCATCTTTTTGCAGTGACCTACTTTTTTTTCCCTGTGGCCCAAGTGCGTCTTTTCACTAGCCGATTTTTTTTCCCCTGTGACCCAAGCGCATCTATTTGCCACACAGAGGGTTATCTAATATAAACACAAAAACGAGGAAATAACCTTTCACCCCAGTCTTGGGCAGAATGTTTATTCGTTAGGGGAATAGTAGAATTTTATTTTGCCTTTTAAATCATGAAAATCGACCAATTACTGAGTTTTTGTGCGGATCTGCATTTGTTGTTTCCATGTGTGTTGTTGTTGATGAAGACTTGCGCCCACTTGATGAAACCTTTTGTTCTGAAATTATTATTGAACTTTTATTGGGATTAGATGATTCTGATGAGGAAGAGAGGGGCGAAATTCCTGAAGGAAGTAGATCTACTATAGCTCAACATCAACGCCTACAGGAGCCTGTAGGTTTGACAGGTTTTAGACCTAGTGCCAATGTAGTTTTTTTTTTTTTTTGGATAAAGATCGACTGGAGGGGTGAAACAAAGAGGCCCCATAACTCCTAAAACTCCCTATATCCACGAGCCAATGAAAAGTGTGAACGCCCTTATCCGTTTCTGAACCGATAATTCTCTACATGTTGTTATCAATTGTTTAAAACAAAAGTTTCAAAAAATGTGCAAACCTATCAAATTTTTGCTCATTCCAAAATAATGTCTGGGTCACAGGGAATAATTAGCAAAATAATAGCCGATACTGAGGCTATACATAGCAAAAAATTAGGTTGGTACTAGAAGGGTTAATTAAATGTTGGATGTGTCTTGGAATAGTTGATTTCTTTAGATCATCAATAAAAAACAATTGTACTTGTCATTAGGAGCTGAAGGATTCACCACAGAGGAGGATCAAGAGCTTTTGAGCAGAATTGAAAAACAGATAAAGAGGAGATTCGTTATTGGTTCGCAGGTTTCAGAACATGCTATTATTCAGGACTTTGCCAGACAGGTAAAATAGCGTGCATAGAACTAGTTTTCTTTATTCTTCTATTAGCTTCATCTGTCATAAGTGACATGCAAGTGTTAAAGAAATCCAATACTACAGTTTAATTAACATATTGAATTTCAAAACATTCTTTGTTCTGCTGCCAAGAGCATAGAATTGTTTGAACATTTTAAGGGACCAAGTAATTTTAGCTTTGAAAGCTTTAGCTGTGTCAAAGTGTAATCAATCTTTAATGACAGTTTTTTTACCATCATTAATGGATCGAAATCAACTACTACATATGGTCATTTTTTACAGAAATATCCAGAAAGAGCTATTCACAAAGTCCTCTCATTGCTTCTTCGTAGAGGAGAGATACAACACCGCATGCAGAGAAAATTGCTTTTCAGAGTCAAGTGAAAGATAATGCAAATACTATTTCATTGTTGGCTATGGCTGTTTATGTACAAACACTCCAATTGGGTTGATATTTAGCATACATTTTATGGCTAGCAAAAAATGTGGAAATTTGTCATTTTTATCACATACAAGTCATTTATGCTGGCTTAGTTCTTTAAAAAAATATTACTTTAATACTTAATGCACTACTGATTTAATTCCCTCAAGGGATGAGTTAAGAGTACCATTCAGACTTTGATTTACAGAAAACAAAACTGGTCTAATCTTAAATCCTTGATATATTTTAAGTTTACGGCTTATTGGTTATATTTTGGTATCATTTATATTGTGTATTAGTAATGCCAAATTGTTTACAAGTTTGTATAGTATAAATATTGTTATAATACTTTTTGTTTATATCATGTTTCAAATGCAAATTTTTCATAACCAATAAAAGTTAGTTCTTCATTCCTTGCATTTTTTATACCCTGAAACTGAAACATTTTATGTGGATGCAGGAGTCAAAGAAGGGGATAGTTTGATTGATAATAAGTAACATTGGTGATTTATAGATCAAGACTGAGGAGTAAGAAACATAACTGAGTAAGATTTCAAGTTTACAAAGTATAACAATCTGAACAGATACCTTTATTTCAATAGTTCATTGTGCCATAGAAATTACAAAATTTACACAAACTTGACAAAAAAGGATAAATAAATTTCAATGAAAGGAAAACATTTTTTTCCCCCCACTTCTTTCAAAAATAATTTGATTTTTTTTTCAACTGTATGATTATTAACCTATTTAATATATACAAAATAAAATGGGTTGCTGTAAATGTGAACAGGATTGGATTTAAAATTAAATTTTATTGAAAGTTTCCTAATAATTTTGGTCACAAAAAATAAATTTAGAACAACTTGCAAATGTAATGTAGAATAATGTATAAACACAGTTCATCAAATGCATAACACTATTGCCCTATCCTAGTGCATAGATTTTTTAAAGTTGTATTTACAATAGGACTACATATGCTTTTTGTGTGCATTAGGACAAATCAATCACAAATTTCAATATTTAAACAGTTTGTATTTTTACTTCAGTGGGAAGCCACACATTTCAATTACAATAAACATTTCTGTTTTTATTCACCTCCCATGTTTCAACACCACTGACTTTCCCTGTAATCATGTTAAATTAATACAAAATGTGGTTTAAACCTGTAGGTCTGAGATCGTAATCTAATGCTATCTCATTAATTAATCAGATTATGAAAAAAAATTGTACATTGTAAGTTACAAACCAAAAAAAGTTTTTCTTCCTAAACATATTAAAAAAATCCTATATTTTGCAATGCATTATACAAACATTTTATCATAATCTTTTTGTTAAGAATATTCTATGAAAACTGGACCTATTTAAAAACAATAGAAACCTTTATGCCGCATTGGACACAGTGCACACATTCATTACTGTGCTCCATTTATTTTAACTTTTAAATGTTTTGATGGTATTTATGACAGAGTTCATAGTGTTATCACGGAAGGGAGATAAATAAAATTAACTTAAAAAAAACATCCACCTAAATACTGCGCAGTTGATTTGGATCAGGTGAAATGAATCTACCGTTAAAGAGACTTAAGGTTCTAATTCATGGCACAGACTATAGGGAACCATGGATCATGATTTAAGAACCATTACCCTGAACTTCTAAAAATCAATAACATTTTAATCTGTTAAATATGTGGAAACAAGTTGACTTGAAAGCACTTGATCATTTAGTAACTTACACTTACAGACAGTGTATACAGAATTGAATCATCCCGTTAATTATTTGACATGGTTTATATTGAAAGAAGTTCCAAATATCTCTATTTCTACTATGTAGCTACAACACAACTTGAATGCCATGCACCTTATAGCAGCTGGCATGGTGTTAAAACAAGTATACACAAAAACCCAATAAAATAGCAATTATAAGGTACTGGGCAAAGCGCATAGTTGTGGAAGGTCATAAAGCCTAGATCAAGTGTATGTGGCTTGTCAACTCGAAGGCGCTCCACTGTTGCAACATTTGCCTTAAAATTTCACTGGCCCCAAAATAAGGTTTTTGGCTCGTTTTGACATGGAGATGGAATTGGAGTTTTATAATGCAGATACTGAAAGTCATATTGCAAACCACCCATGCTAAATTTCTGTCATTATGATTGTTCAGTTAACTAAAATATAAAATAATACAATATTACAATAACTTGAAACAAATGAATTGTTCAAAGAACATTTGGCGTAACAATGACGTGAGTTAAGTGATGTGTCAGCACACAGTAGAAAATTCATCAAACTTTAAATGGTGTCATCAATTTAAAACAAAAATAATGAAAAATTAATTTCAAATAGCTGTATGTCCAGCTTCCTAGATCACTGCTGTGACAAGGAAGACTTATCTCCATTAGGTTTGATTCGTTGCACATGATAAATACAGCTAACTCCTGCGCATGTCTTATTTAACAACAGGCCCTCACTTAGCACTTCCGCTTATCTGAAATGAATTTTTAGGTTACTAAATTCATCAGCTGTTGGTAAATCCTATATTCCAGGCGGCTCCAGTTAATGAGGAGCCTAGGCAGATGAATTACCTTTAATATGATGGTGTTTACAGTAGACATCACACGTATTATAAATTTGAAAGTTAATTTAGATAATGGTTGGTCCATACCATAGGGAGCAACACTACTGCATTTCACACTAAAGTCATCCATATATTACATACACACTGAAAGAGGGGGGCGGGTGTTGGACGGCTAGGGATTTGGGTCAATGCCATTTAAAGACTCTTAGCCATGCTGATTGATTCCTCATACTCATCAACATGCTGCTTATTCTATTACTAATTTAAAACCATAAAACAAAATTACTTGACGGTCTCTGCCAAGGAATCCACACTGATTAGAAAGAGAGGAAGACCACTGAACACATAGAGAAGAGAAATGACAAAAATGGAATGAGCTGGAAAGAGCAGAGATGGAGGAAAAAAGAATTGTCAATGGCATCTGGAAACAAGGCAAAGAGAAGGTATGGCTGGCTGTAATTTCATGGTGTACAGGCTGAGAGTGTCATGTAAATAGAAGTTGACCAGGACAGACTCTTGAAATGAAATGTTTGATACCGATCACCAGAACCATTTAAATAATAGAAATAGTTGTAGTATTTAATGCTACCTTATTCTCAATATACATTACACATTACCGTTAAATAGCTTGAGGGTGTGTGGATAGACGTTCATTTCTTTATTTGAGGTGCAACAGAAGGGTGAGGGTAGAAAAAGAAAGAAATTTTGCTTTTTTTGCTAACTGGTATGTGATATTAATATATGGATAACCCTAAATCTCTTGTTAAAAGTTTTGACCAGCCAGCGTCACTTGCCTCTTTCATGGAAGTTAAATGATGGAGAAACAATTGCTAGTCAATGGAATAATAAAGTTGTTTATCACAACATAACATCTAGAAAGGAAAGCAGACTAACTGTTGACAACCTTTCCACAGACTCTATTATTTGTATGGGATGCAAATGCTGTCACCAAACCATTTCAAAACTTTCAGTTTTCATCAAAGCATTTAATTTACTTTTAAAAGACCAAATGAATTATATCATGAATAATGTGCATAAGTAAACAACCAGCCTATGGAAACTACTCTCAAGTGTTAGGATATGATACCAGTTTGAGACACCCTGGTCCAAAGTAACATGTCTTTACACACACACAAAAAAGCAGCACTGACATTCTGTGAATTCACTCAGAAGCAGAGTCCTTTGGTGTCAGTTTGAGGGTGAGCTTCAGAACTTTGCGATGAGGATTTGAGTCTGAGCCGCTGCTTTCAGCGCCAGGTGAATAGAGCTGCAAGGGAATGCTGCTAAGCGGGGGTTCAAAGAGAGGTTCCTCTGGATCAGAAATATCCTGTATTCCGGTGCTTCCTGCCCGTGAATGTTTACTGCTGGTGCTGCCTCTCTTGGTCTTGGTCTCCTTCTCGGAGCCAGAAGAGCTCTTGTGAGAGTAGGACGCCATGACAGGGGGCGGAGGAGGGGTTGAGTGGGACCCCGAGTGGGGTGAGTAAATCGGGCTCATCATGGATGGGGAGTTGTACGCTGGTGGCATGTGCTGAGGTGTGGCGGACATGGGGTGAGGCGGAGTAGATGCAAAGGTGGACTGCCGTTTTATCTTAATCTTCAGCAAGCCTTTGGCTGGGTCGATCATTTTACTGACGGCCATGGCCTCAGCAGACGCAGGACTCATGAGACCAGTCCCTAACCTCTGGTGCAGATCTCCATCAGAGTCATCAGAAATATCAGAGTGAGGCGGCAAAGGTGGGTTGAGTCTAGGGATTTTGGCAGCTTTCCTTTTCGAGTCCTCAAACAAATCGGAGATGTCCTCATCTTTCTCCGTGTAGTTGACAGGTTTCCTCCGCCGCAGACCCACCCTGCTTCGCCCGGCCTGCTCATCTTCTTCTTCTTTCCTCTTTAGCTCTTCCTCAACTTCCCTCTGCTTTCGTAGCTTCTCCTCTTCTTCTTCCTGTCTAGCCCTTTCTTTCTTCTCTTGACGTTTTTTGGCCTCAAGTTTCTTACTGTACTGAATTTCTTCTTCCAACTGCAAGCGACGCAATTCAATTTCTTGCTGCCACTAATAAAAAAATAATTTAAACATGAAGGAAAATATTTTTCAAAGATAATTGTTTTCTTGAACAATGTAGTTCCAAGGAGACTAAATAAGATATCTTTTGATTCCTTGATTTGGTCAATAATTTTAAGATTCTTAAAGGTATAAGTGACAAAGCTCATCTTTAAGTCAAAAAGTAATGTATGCTACAAATTATTGGAATTTAACATAATGACTATAAATATATTCAATTTAAATTAAATTTTTGAATGATAAAAAATGAAAAGAAATGTTATTTTGTTATGTGAGCATGAGGGTCAAATGGTAAAAAAGAAAAACTAAACAAATGATTACGTCATAATCTGATGACCTATGACAGACTAATGTTTACCTGGGGTTTTAATCTATTTTTGTTCAACTCTTTGATCTGCTCATCCCACTCTTTCAGACGCTTCTCCTCCTCCTCCTTAAGTCTCTTCTGTCTTTCAGACTCTTCCATCTCTAGGCGTTTCCTTTTCTGTTCCTCCTCCTCTCTTCTAAGCCTCTTTTTCCTTTCTTCCTCTTCTCGTTTCATCTGCTCTATTGCCTGTCTTGCCCTTTGCTCTCTCTCCTTTTTCTCACGCTCTTTTTGTTCAAGTAGTTCTCTTTCTCTCCTTTCTTGCTCTAGTTTTTCCTGAACAAAAGTTCATCATGGAAATAACAATTTATAACTATATACAAATTGCATCACGTTATTAGTACAAAATATAAAATTTATTACATAAGATTTATTGAGAATATGAATGACTTGATTGATATCTATATTACAAGTACAAATAAATAAATAAATAGTCTACAAGATATATTCAATTATACCTTACGTAATTAGTATATATTAACTAATTAAGCTAGAATGATTATTAAAATTTTTTTTTTTAATTAGTTACAAATCGTAAAAAGTTGTATAAATTACTAACAGATAAATTATCCTAATTTTGGTTCCATTAGTATCTTTTTTTTTTTAAATGGCTGGTTATGAAAATATTGTAATTTTCAGTGTATGGTGGCTAACTCTATACTTGAGAGTGAAATCAAGTTTCATTAGGGAAATATGTAAATAAACAAAAAATGAAAATGTTAATTTTTTAATTCGAAAGGAGTCTAGTTTATACACAAATAAACTGCCAGAGAAAAAATGTAAATGGAACAAACTGAAAAGAATGGAATGAATAACAAAAATGAACAGTAAATTAAGAAAGATTCTTAACCAACCTCACTGACTTTTACTCTGTTTAAAAAAACATTATTCTTTTAAACTTATAAGTTCTCTCATGAAATTATGATGAAAGATTCAAGATCTTGTCAGACCTTATAGATCAGATTTTGAACTAACCTATAATGTGAATCATCTGAGTGAATATTTAAGAAATTTTATACTACATTATATTTGGTCTTTTAAGAGCAAAAGCAAAATGTGCCATAGGGCTGAGTTAGACGAGATAATTAATGTTTTTGAACCACCTTGTATATTTATGGCAGTATTTCAGGGGGTGCAAGGAAAAGTTATTTTAAATGAAGGGGCCAGAAGGTTTGTATACACTGATGCCCCGAGAAGGATTCTTATCTTCAGTCTATAATTTGCTTGGAATGGCCAATAATGAACTGTCTTAAACTTTGCAATCCCTTTCCAAACATCAAATATCACTGTAGTAATAGATTAGATTTTTTCAAATATTGGTTTCTTTATTACTAGATTTCACAACGGTAAGATTTTGTGGTCAAGGTGCCTGAATTGATTACCTTAATTGTTATAGGTTGACTTCATGAGGCATTAAATACCTGTTATTCGCTTTACGAGATCATTCAAACAATACCTAGGGGTGCAGTTTTTATGTCTACATTTTGAAACTTTTTAAAACAACATCACTCCTCACCTGTAATTTTATTTGTTCCATTAAGTTGTCCAGAAGTTGTTCCCCACTTTTTCCAGAGTTGTGGTCTCCCAGGCTAACCAACAGCTCCTTTTTTTGTGGCTTATAAACATGATGAGTTTCAACTATCGGCAGGCAGTGTGCCAGGCTGTCACCAAAGTATTCGTAGAGTTCCTGGCAAAAGGCAAATACGTTATGTAAAATTGCTGAAATGCATTAGCTGCTGGGTTATTTTTGAAGAATTCAGTTAATTTTAAGTAAATAGATGATAAACCAACATTCATTAATAACTGTAGCTCAGAAGTTAAAATGAGAAAAACTCAATACTTCTTAAAAATCATACATTTTTTTTTTATAGCAAGTCATAAATACCCTTCAGAATTTTTAATTTTTTGTTCTATCCTGATTTAATTTAACAGCTGTAACGCATCTGGTAAGATTGCAAATATTCTTGACTTGTACTGTCATTTGTACTTCTGACTTGAGCAAGCAATTTTTGCCCTGCTAAGAGTTCAGCAGAGTTTTTACTCAAGTTCTCCTACTCCCCATGAAAAGTTGCATCAATGGGCATCCACCCAACCATTTATAATATATAGCTGTGGACAACTGTGGACCAATACAAATCCACTAATTCTTGGCTATGAGGCCGACACCAGCACAACTGCACCCCATGGCTGCCATAATATTTTAATAAAAAAAATATAAACAAATTATTTTCTATTATTTAACATAAATTCCTAGCCCACTTACCTCATATATATCCTAACATAAAGTCACAGCCCACTTACACCAAATATATCCTAACATAAAGTCACAGCCCACTTACCCCATATATATCCTAACATAAAGTCACAGCCCACTTACCCCATATATATCCTAACATAAAGTCACAGCCCACTTACCCCATATGTATCCTAACATAAAGTCACAGCCCACTTACCCCATATATATCCTTGGCATTCTTCTCCTCACTGCCGCCATGAGCTGAACTCTTGGTTGGATTAGAGACATTGTTTTGGTCCTCGGTAAATGTTTCATTGAGCAGCTCACAAACCTCTTCTCTCTCTTTTTGGCTCATGGCTGAGTCTTGGAACCTACGTATATGCCTGCGCATAATTTTCTCAGCTGCTAGCTATAAAAATTATTGGATATCTAAATGTTAAGATCTTTCTTTCCAAGCATTAGTTGTATAAAAGTTAATGCATTTTATGGCATCATCCTTCATTCACAGAAGCAAATTATTAATTTATTGTAATAAATTATTGATTTTATTGTAGTAAATTATTGATCTTACTGTTGTAAATAATTTATCTCATTGTAGCAAATTATTTACAGGTATCTTATAAAATAATATATTTTTAAATCCTCTAAGTTAGCCCAATCATTATAATACATTTTTTAAAACCATTCAATCCTGGTGTTTTTTCCTTACAGAAAACAAAACACCATTTAAGATGTTGAGTTCCATGCAATAATGCTCTTGTAGTAATTAATTTTTTTTTCTATGCTTGCAAGTATCTTTTCACGTTACGATACAAACCTTTAAAAAGGAGGTTCATAATAATTCAAAAGTATTGTCTTAATTCTAAAATTTATTTGGAACAAAAATGGATCCATCAATCTTGATCCAGTTTATACTTAGGTTTGCTGTGGCTTTTCTTCCTACCCAGAATTATTACCAGTACAATAGATATTCTACCAATGCCATAAATAACATATGTTGGATTTTGCATTTGAACTGACAGCACAATGCTGATTTGGCAACATTTCATTCATTAAGCACATTAACCAAGAAGGATTCACTGACTGCCCATCACCTGCTGACTCCTGGCTGTCTACACAATCAACTGGTTTAGTTTTGGTCATTTTATTAATCAAATACTATAGAGGATCATCATGTTTGGGGTCAGTCTGTGCAAGGAAATCCATAATTACTGGAATAGGCAAAAATTTCAAAAATCCAGCCACTTGAGGGTCGCTATGAGGTCCACATCATGACAAGGAAGTAGTATGAACACAGAGGAAAGCAGGTTCTGAATCAAACACACAAGAGAAATTTCATACTGCAATAGTTTTAGAGAATGGACAACTACACAAATAAGGGCTACATCAGTGCACTTCACAGGCTTATTTTCCTTACTGCTATGCACACAAACAAATAAAAATCCAGAATGTTGCCATTTTTTAAACACCCACCCTAAGTGCCCCATGGACTTTGTATGAGTCTGTTTTGTTGACAGAATTTTCAGATGTCTTATCCTCTATTGCAGACTTGAGATGGGGCCAGTAGGCTGGGAGATAAGGGAGAATTATATCTTCTATTGCCTGAGGATTACAAGTCACAAAAAGAAATACATTTATTTTATGAATTTCACAGCCACAAATTATGGGTGGTATTTGGTAGTTATTATGATCAAAAGTCAAAACTGAATTAGACAATAATGACATTGCAAAGCCTTTATCAGGGGTACTCAAAGTCTGACTCTCGGGCCAAATGTGACCTGTGAGGCCATTTAAAAGATTTCCGAAATTGTTAGGCAAAATAATAGTTTTCAATAAAAGACTGAGAGGTCACATGCGTACAGGGGCGTAGCATGGTGGGGGCAGGGGGGGACAGATGTCCCCGGGTGCCAGCTAGTTAGGGGCGCCAAAATGTGCTTTGATATTATTTTATTGATGAAAATAATAGGTTTGAGAGTTGAAAAAAAGAAAAAGGGGCGCTAAAAATGGATCTTGTCCCAGGGCGCGAATCTTGTCCCCGGGCGCCAAACACCCTCGCTACGCCACTGCATGCGTAGAACTAAAATAAAATTGTACTATTTGGTGCACTATGATTAGCTCTACTACCACACAAAAGTTGACTCGTCTTAATGTCATACCCTTGTTTATGACCACTTTCAATAATTCCACGTACTTTTCTTTAAACTTGCTATGAACGAATAATAAAGTTAAGTTAATCTATCAAAAGTGAGAGTTTAAGATGAAAGAAATTTGAGATTAATTATTATTTAGTGCGTCAATAAAAGTCACCCGCCAGAACAGTTTCAAGTGACCAAAGTTTGGAGTGATCACAGCAAAGACTAATTCAAATTTAAAGTGAGTACAAACTCATTTAGCTTTGTAATTTGTTTGTTCTTTGACTAAAAGAGAATAAATCATTCACTGATCTTTGGAAGGTATTAATTTTAGTTTAAATTGCATAAATTGTGTGTATGCTGTATTGATTTTAAGACATCATTATTAATTATTGAACTGTTATTTAAATGCAAGCAAACTGATTGAGGGCACCTACTCACTGAAATAGTCAAGGCCTATTTTAAATATTAATGTTCACAATATTACACACCCTAAAAAAAGTAATATTTTCCTACCCCTTCCAACCCTCTATATGCGTAAGTGCAAATGAGCATGTGCATGAAGGCACAGAGGGGAAAGCCCCGGGCGGTGAGTCTGGCCTTCGACCATGTCCAAAACCCAGCGGACCCGAAAGTTTGAGTACCCCTGGCCTATATTTATTTAAGCTATATTGTTTAAAACATACCTTATGACCAAGGGCTATCAAAGTCATAATAGCCCCATAATGAGAGTAGAACGGTTTTGTCGAGTCATGTAGAACTTCTCTCAGGCACTTAAGTGTATTGAAGCGCAGATGGTTTTGTGGGCTGTTCCAGCGGCTGTGAAAAAAACAACAAGGGTAATAGTCTGTAAATGTGAGTGAAAATAGACAATTGCAAGGGTATGTTATAATCTGTGGATATTTAAAATAACTTTACCATGAATTTTTCCCCAGTAAAATTCTGGGCTGTCAACATTAAACAGAAACTCATCCCTCCTCCCCTTTAACAACAATGGGGCCATGACAGGCAGTTCCGGCTCATAACAGCAAGAACCCTTTTCAGCAACTGCTCATTCCTGCCAAAGACAATCAGGGACTGGAACAAGCTTCCAAAAGGAACGGTTGAGGTGACAACACTTGACACATTTGAGTCTATTGCCTCAGGCCTTCCAACCCCCGGTTCCTGATACCCTCGCTGAGTAGCCCTTGCAACCAGTGAAGTATCCTCTTCATGCCATGCACAGTAACATTGCGAGCCCCCTCTATATACATAAGAGTCAGAATGGTCCTGGGCCCTCAAATTATAGCAGAAGAAAAGTACATATTGAAATGGGAAGGAAGGAGACAGGCATTACCTTGTCATGATCCCTTTACACACAAAGTAGTAATATTTAAGTGTCATCACAAAGTTTCCATAGATTACACTAAAGCAGCCAAGATAGATTGTGAATAATTTCTACTATGACTTGTTGATAACTAATTCATTAAAAAAAAACAACAATAACCTAGACAACAATCAATGTCCACAAACCGTTCTAAACCCTAATGAAAAACTTACTTGACGATTTCTGCCAGAAGTCTGGCTGCATAATCTCTCAATACCCAGTGGTCATTGACAGAGTTAATAGAAGCTGCAAGTGGTTCCAGAACACAAAACTCAACACCTTGGACTATTGTCGACAGCTGAGAAGACAAATCAGGATAATTAATACTGGTTAACTTGATGAACCCCCCAACTGTAATGATGTTTAGAAAAGAAGGAGACATTTAACGATACCATCACATTTTATAATTAAAATAGCAATTACTTTTTACAATGGTCAATGGTAGTAAGGGGGAGAGACTGCAATCAGATTAAGTAAAAGGAAATGAGCGAAACAAATTCCTCTGGCTATCCTCTCGGATAACACAATGAAGCTAAGTGTTTATTTTTATTTTATATTGTTTTTAATGCTGTTTGTTTGCTGAAGAAAGCTGCTTGCCGATACATTCATTTTTTTTATTGCGTTCCTTTTTACAGGTTCTCCCATACTTTGTTTCGTTCATTCCCATCAATTTGAAAATAAACCTTTATATAAAACCTTAACTGTTACCTCTAGGAATGTTATTATCTAATCAGATGAGTATAGGCCGCAATAAATAATTAATCCCAATTTTTTGTTGTTGATTATTTAAATTTAAATATTAAGAAATAAAACAACAATTCATGGACTGACTCACATAAGGCTTGTGCATAAGATACAATGATCTGTTATGTAGCAAAGCCCTGACTGTGTTTAACAAAGTTGTCAAAAGTCCAATGTCATGACTCATGTTCTTGATCTGAACAACAACCAAAAAAAACACAAAAAAGAAGCTGCAACAAAAGTTCACTTACTTCTACTAAAGTTTGTTGAATTAGTGGCACTAATGTAGATGCTAAGCTTTTCAATTCGAAACTGAATTTAATGTAATTTTAATTAATATACTTTCATATGAACTCAAATAAAATAAATGTAGCTTTTTATGATCAAAAGATATCATATGAATGTTGGGAAAAATGCATTGTATGTTAAATTATAAATTACAGTGAAGTGATATCTTCTGGTCACTGGTTTAGGTAAAAAAAAAAAAAGGAGGGGCGGGGCAGGTTTTTTCTTTACATGGAGGGGCAGTTTTGGTCAATGCCAGGTTTTTTTATGGCGGTTTGGGCGTGTAAATGTCTTTCCCCACCAAGTGCAGCACTAAGCCTAGCCATGCATCTGCCTGGTTCTAGTGCATTTAGTTTTCTTGTCATAGTCTTATGAAAGAGTACTTAACAAATTATTAAAAAAGCACTTAAATCTGAAATATATTTTTTGCAATTAAAAAAATTTGATTTTAAAATTTAATTGTTCTTTTAAAATCTGAGAATGCCGTCTTTCTACAATGATCAGAAATGGATTTGATTAAGTAGAATTAAATATTTACACTAAATAATTCAAATTAAAAAAAACTCAAGTAGCTTAGCACTTATGGTAACAAGGACACAGTGGATAATGAAGCTAATGTAGCTTCTTATGGTAGTTTATAAGTTTATGCTGAACACAAAGGTTATATTCCTTTCATTAGATAGATTTTTGTGCCTTTAAAATCACATATGTCAGTGTGTTCATATCTATTGCAAGAACACAAGCAAAAATGTATTTTAGAACAATAATTAAAGTCACTTAAAGAAATAAGAATATGATCTTTTACAACAGATATGGTAGGCATTCTCATTTTAATGTTTGAAGCAGCTGCAATCCTCATCAATCGCACTCTCCAGTTGATAAAAAAAACTAACCAAGTATGCTATCATGTGAATGTCACACTCACCCCATTGATCACAAAATTAACCAAGTATGGTAAAACTGGCACAAGATTGGGATTAGTCTTCAGATCTTGAAGAGCTTTCTAAAAATAAAAGTATGAACAGTCATTAATGTAAAAAAAAATATATATATAAATATATATATATATATATATATAAAGAGAGAGAGAGAGAGAGAGAGAGAGAGAGAGAGAGAGAGAGAGAGAGAGAGAGAGAGAGATGTGACCAGGCCATTAAATTTAAGTGCTTTATAATTCTGTACCTTTTAAAACATTGCAAATTATTTATACTATTTTTTTTTATATCTTAAGAGGAAATAATACAATGTTTTCATCACTAAAATGTAAAATTCAACTGAAAAATCCGTTATCTTTTTAAATTATACTGAAACAACAGATATCTCCAGGATTTTTTTTTTTTACCTTTTTAACATCAGAACTGGCACTTAGCAAGGCTTTGGTCATGCAGTTGTAATATTTTAAATGAACCGTTGACATTTCACGACCACATTTTCCTAAAATAAAATAATTTAAAAATGGATATTACTTTATATTCCCATGTATGCCCCTGAAACATTGTAAATGACAAGGAAAACAGCCCAATCATTAAATGTATTCCAACAATATCTTGGAAAGATAATGGGGTTTAGCTTCAGTCTTCAAATATAGAATGAAGAAGTCATAAAAATGACCAGAGCACAGCCTGGAATTTAAAGTTGCTTGTCACAGAATGCCCTTTGCAGAATGATCCAACCCAAACGACAGCACCACATTGTTTAACCTTCATATCTTCTGGTCACTGGTTTAGGTAAAAAAAAAGGAGGGGCGGGGCAGGTGGTGGATGCCAACAAATGAAAATAGGTAGCTAGGAGGCCTTGACATACTTGGGGACAAAAATTTCTAAAAGGAATTTAGATACTTTGAGAATGAGCCTAGAAAATGCTATAATTTTAAAGATATTTAAATTTTCATTTTCAAACTGACTTTATCACATGCTCTAATTTAATAAAAATTATTGTGTTAAAACTAACTTTATCACAGACCAAATGGATAATTGTAGAGAAAATTAATGTTTAAAGTAAATGATATTTTCATGGTTTTTGTTAAAATCATGACTATGAATTATAGTCATCACTTTCAATGTTACTAGTGTTCAGTATAATATTGTTCAGTGTGTAGAGAGCATCATGATTTTTTAAAAATAACCATTATAACTCTGTATTTAACATAAATTCTTGAACTTAAATGTTTTTAGGCTGAGCATGCAGTGAATAGTTTATAAAATCAAGGGAAAAACAGGAATATGCAAAACAAAAGGTAGGTGTTTCTGGGGGGAAGGGGAATGTTGATAAATTTGTACACAAATGAACAGTACATTAAATACTGTCTCAGTGCAATGTCACAAGGTAACAAACATACTTATGTCCATTCTTAGGTAGGATACATACATACATACTGACATACACACACACACATACATATATATATATATATAATGAGTAAAACAAAGTAGGGTTAATCCTGAAAAAAGGAACGCAACAAAACAACGAACGTGTCGGCAGAAAGCTCTCGTCAGCGAACAAAACAACAGAAAAAAACTGGTATAAAAATAAATATAATAATGATATAAATATATATACTAATGGAGGCATTTGCTGAAACTTTTTTTATTTTTATTCTGTGTAAGTGTAACCATTATTATAGCTTGACCTATATTGTTTTATTTACAAAATTTGTTTGTGTCTCATTCATCTAGGTGAAAGCTTTATCGCAGTCCAAAACTCTTATAATTAATTAAGATAAGAAGTGACAAACCTTGAGAACTTGGATTGCCCCCTTGTGAGATCTTAATGACACCTTCCACAGCCAGCCAATGAGCTGAAAAACAGGTACCTTGGTTAAAATTTCTCCATCTTAAGTTTACCTACCGATAAAAAAAGAAATAAAATACAACCATCTCAACGTAAAATTACCTTTAATTGATGGCAATCCAATTTGCTTAGGTACGTAACTGCCTAGAGCAATATCTACAAGGTTTATTTCCGGGTCTTCTACACAGTGCATATCTGTATCTTTAATGTGCCTAAATGTTAGTGGATCCTGAGATCCGTGACCATGAACAGGCTGAAACAAAAACATAAACCAATTTTTATGGCTAAGCATATTAATTAAATGTCCTCGCATAAATGTATAAACCTACATAAGAAATTAGCTAATAATATATCTTTATTCGTAAGACAGCTCTGCATCAACGTATACATTGAATGCTTATTGAAATTAATTATATTTACTCATTTGAATTTGTGGTAAATTAACTATAGTAAATATAAATCTGATGCATAAATTGTAAAACTGTCATACATTTTTTCCCCTCTTTCTTTCATTTTTAATGGGTTAATATGAGACTTGAAAGATAAAAAAAAACATTTTAAAAAATTAATTCGACAAGGGATAATTAATAATAAACCAACCATGATGTTCAATTCTTTAGCAGCTCTGTTGAAATCATCAGTGCCGAGTCTGCGTCTTTTTGAATGTTTCAGATATTGAGTTGCAAGCTGTAAAGAAAAATTGTGACACTAAGACCAACACTGAAGTTTAGTCATTTAGTAAACCTGTGAGAATGGCAATGCTGTAAAGCTTAACCCCCTTGGGATGGCTGAGTTGATCTATCTTTTCTTTAGACAGCAGCCATTTATTAAAAACAACAGAAAAATATATAAATAAATTTTAAATAAAATAAATACTTGGCTCTTAATCTTTAGCCACGCGATTTTCTTATTGAATCAGGAAGCATATAAAATTTAAGACAGTTAAAAAAACTGGCCCGAGGCACAGTTGATGGTCGATTTTGATGAAAAAAGCAAGACAGAACATTGTGAAAAACAACCTATGAAAAGCTAAACAAATAATATTGAGCACATCATTAAGTATAAATCGTTTTATTCTGTTCAGGTACAAGATAGCTTAATAAGTGTTACTAAATATAAATTCTAGGGCTGCACAAAAAAAAAACCACAGAAAATAATAATAAGGGGAATAAATAATAATAGTTGTAGTGAATTAAGACAAGCTTTGAAAATCTTTGTTAAATACTTACCATAATGACCTGCCGAACACGATAACTGGCATCTTCTCCGAGGGAGACGGCAGCGTCATGAGGTATAGGAGACATGCGTGCTGACTCTGCTATGGCATTAATGGAAGCAGAGGTAAACACTGCATATGTTTTTTCCTCCATTAGATGTCGCCTGTCATCAGAAGCCATTGTTGCAGCCTATTTATTTAAAAAATATTTTTAAGTAGGCCTATATATTATAGGTACTAAAATGCAGTTAGCAAAAGGGCCTGCAATGTTGTCCACAGTATATAGCTCATGGATCCCAGTTTATCTAACTGCCATAGTTCCACATTAAAAAGATTTTGATTTTTAGCTCAGTATTTATTTAATAAGATAAAAGTTTTTTATTCTTTTCATTTTAAATATTGTCTATTTGGGGAAATATGTTCATGTACTAAGCAGGATAAGAATGAATAGTTCAGAAGAGCATACTAGACTTTTATTAACCAATCAAAAGACAGGACTTTTAACAATGCGAACATCCTTTTTCAAGTGTTCATCTTGTGATATCGGAAAGTTTCTTATTTGAAAATTTATTTTGTACCTTGTAAGTTGAATTTCAATAAAACTAGTGAATATTTTCATTTTAATATATTACATATTTGATTGCTAGATTAAGTTCATGACGCGAATAATTATAATGCTCAGTGAAAAAAACGAAAGTTATCATAAAAAATACAACATCATTCAGGATCAACTGTTGGTCGAGTCTATACACCCAAATTGACATCACTGAAGTTAGGGTGAGCAATTCTTGGCAAAACCCATGCTACTAAATACACTTTTACTGCCTATATTATATACGAAAAGGCCTAATAAAATATTTTAAAAAGATAAAAAAATCTATTTTATCACTTACAGATTCATGAAAAATTTATAAGCATAGGTAGGTACTTCGGTAAAGCAAGGGTCACGCCTTGAGAGTTTGTATCGGAAATGGATTCAGAGTTTTTTTATGTGCATGTAATTTGAATAAATCAAGAGTCCTTTTGGCCCATAATTAAGGTCTGACTCCGCCCATTCACATTGTGAGAAATGTAGACCTACATTCACCATGACACCATTTGCATGTTTATTAAAGTTGCCGTGAATTAGGGTTCAGGTTAGGGATACATTTTCATTTAGGGTTCAGGTTATGTTTAGGGATACATTTAGGGTTCAGGTTAGGTTTAGCGATACATTTTATAATTTTAGGGTTCAGGTGAGGTTGAGGGATACATTTTAGGGTTCAGGTTAGGTTTAAGGATACATTTACTTAGATTTAGTGACAGAATTAACTGGTCTTGTCAACCAAGATGGCCACCACGGGCGGTGATATCTCTTTGCATTTACCAAACGTGGTGCTATCTCTCCAAATTTAACTAAAAGCTAATTATATTAAAACAAGGGAAGAGTTATCCACACAGCTCTGTGAATAATGTTGAGCGTTATCGGCAGACCGAGATCTGCGAATAACGCCAAGCGTTATCGGCAGACCAAAATCTGCGAATAATGCGGAGCGTTATTGTTAGACAGAAATGTTCCCATAATTACGCACATTTCTAGAAATAATTAAGATCACATTCCAAGCCGGGGTAGGGGTGTAGTTTTAAGTAGTGTAGGAGTAGGATAGATCGATCGTTAATGAGTATGGCACAAACACATCTCAAAACCGAAGCTACCGGTATGCACAAGTTAAATTTAAAAAATTTAATAGGCCTAACTATAGCCTATATATTAGATATAGGACAATTAATTGTGCCTACATCTGCTCTGTTAGGGGCCAACATATTCGACCTATAGAGTGTTACTAATAGATCCAGTCAAACCTCCTACTCCTAGACATAGCTAATTTTCTGGTATTTCATATTAAATGTTATACCAGTAATAAAAATGGTACCGGTATTCTTCATGTAGACTCACTTTCACCCATTGTAGAGATGTCTTTAAATGATGTTAAAGCTTGATAGGATATCGTTTAGTTTTTTTAAAGCACTATGATATATCACGTAGTCCAGAAATGTTCTGTCAGAAATAGTTGACATGCCGTGCAACAGTGTTATGATGCAGAGAGGTGTCTCCATCAGGCGGCCATGTGAGAGACGGGGAGGGGCATATAGGCCCTACATCGATAATAACAGAATCTAATCCTGTTTAAGGAGGGTGTCCCTAAGTCTACCCAGCTCTGGCCTTAGCTGGGGAAAAGTAAAGCTGGCTGGTTATTGCGCTGGCCATACACTCAAACTTGTAAACGCTGCTTCAATTGCCCCAAGGGAACTTTACTTCCCCAAGACTCGCAATGCATCCTACGACCAGCAAGGTTCCAATTAATTTTTGTATGCTTTTTTTGTATTTAGACCCATAGTTACAACAGTGGCAGTATGGCTTTTTGTTTCAATTATCAATTTTTCAATTTTTTTAACAAGAGCTAAAATTGTTGATGTCAATGATATTGATATGTTTTAAGTACGGTACCGGTATGTTCATTTCATTGTCATCACTAAGTGTTATTTCAACTATTTCTGGAGCGGCATATTGTGTCCCTACTTATTATGATCCTTATTAGAAAATAAAATGAAACAAATAAAACGTGACATATTTTTCAGCTAAACATTAATACACAACTCTGAGATCTAAAATATTTGAATAAGTAAGTTATTAATAATTATTTGTTTATTAGAGAAAAAACAAATGGATGTTAAAGTCTATGAGTGGAATTATACAAAGAAAATTTAACACTCAAAAGAGCTAAAAGTCTGACTTAAACATGGTTTATGCGGCTTATCTGCGTGTCCATGTTGTTTATTTATTTATTTAGGCATTTTTATATAGCGCTTACCATAAAGCTCTAAGCACTTTACAATTATTAAAAACATGTAAACTAAGTAAAATAAAAATGAGACACTAGGATAGTAGCTACTATACTATAGAAACAATGAAAATGGCTATAAAACGAGGACACTTTGACTTTGACACGTTTTGGCCTATACTTCAGGATCAACCCGAAACAGAAAATGATGCAGGGCAAGGAGGGTGCATCACAGGTCATAGGCGGACCTAAACAGATGAGTTTTAAGTTTACAGTTTTTTAACGAAACTTGAATGAACATTCTAACAAAACAGATTGAAACTTGTAACAAAACTATATGAAAATAGTAATAAAACTATGTGAACAGAATAAGAAAGCTATATGAAGAATATTATTATAATATAACACTACGAAATAACCATAAAATATTTTTTTTTACATTTTATTTATAAAAATGAGGCTTCCCCGACGGGGAATCGAACCTATGTCTGCTGGGTGACGGTCGGAGATACTGACCACTACACTACCGAGGAGATGTTTACATTTGAACTTTGTATTTTATATTCATAATTTAATTTATCACATTCTGCGAATAATGTTGAGCGTTATCGGCAGACCGAAATCTGTGAATAACGGCGAGCGTTATCAGCACAGCTCTGTGAATAATCACTTCGTTAAAATAATGATTGAATTAATAATATTGTACAACATTAGTAAGTTGCACAGTTTACTTGATAGAATAGTGAACAAAATGGCATGAAGTGAAACCAAAAGGCAAAATCAAAATAATCAGTTAAATCAGTCTGATCAGATGAGGATGATTATTGAATTATAATTAGAAATTGAGTTGTCAATTGATGAATTTAGATTATATATTACTGCCTAAGTATGATTAGAATAATATAATTTAAAATAGCTGAAAACAAATAAATACTTTATTTGTAAGCATAAATATTAAGACTTGCAATACTAAATTCCTAACAGAGCTCTGTTATCTTTATTAGTGTTCCATTGTAATGTTGACTATTCGAAATACAGAGAAGGCATCCATTTTGTACATCGTTACTTCCGCTGTTTGTTAGATCCGGTTAGATATTGCGACTTAACGACAAAAAAGTGCGAAATTAGTAGAAATAAAAATACTTAAGAAAGACAACCACCAATTAAAATTTGTATATGACATAAACTATAAATTTCAGTGGAATACATACTAAGATTTAAAATTATTAAAATTTTTAATGAAAAAAATTAAGTCGTAAATAACAAAATGGGTCAATCACTTCAACGTCCTTGACCCATAGGGTTACGTGAAAGCCCGTCCAGCTAAGATAACATGTAACTTAGTCGTAATAAATTTGGAAGACGTTGTGAAAATAAATTATTTAGCATTTTTGAACCCTGTAATATTAATTTTTTAAAAGGCAGACATTTTCTAACCATCCGTCTGTGGGAGCGTGTTCAATGACTGCATTTTGCCACAGCTGAAGGCACACTTATCTATGAATTATGACACTCGCACACAACAGTAATTCAGTAATTGAAGTTGAGTTAAAACTTAAATACACAGCTGGTTGTCCACACAGCAGGTGGACCAGTGTCGTGCACACTCACACTACAAGCCAATCGTCTTGATTCAATGACTCTAGCTCTAGTCAGCAACTCTATAATAATTAATATAGCGCCCGAAGTATGAAATAATATCTAAATGGTAAATAACGGGGCTGCATGTAAGTGATTTATTTCGTGTGTAGTGGGATTTCAATAAACTCCACAGGACGGCATAGAGGGCCTACAATTTATTGATGTAATTATAGGAAACTCACTCTGGTAAGTGCTCACCACATGTATTTCATGTTTATTTATTGATGTAATTATAGGAAACTCACTCATGGTAAGTGCTCACCACATGTATTTCATGTCATAAATAAGGCATATACTTTACTCTACTATAGTTAGCTATAGGCTATAGGCTAAGACCACTCCGGGTGGGGGGGGGGGCATTTTAGGCCATTCTAAATGACCTCACGCAAATTTTGCCCATTTTTACCCCCCCCCCCCCCCCCGTCGTTCCCCCATCTTCACAAAATGCTAGACACCACCACAACCCCCTCCCCCCATCACAAACCTCTGCATCCCTCTTATTATACAAAAATTCTCTGTCCACTACTGTCCTTCACAAACATAAACAGATTCTCCTCCATGTCAGCCTGTACCTGAATCAGAGGCCATTTACCTGACCTCACATAGGTGGAGTGATTCTCTGTATAATGTTTGAAATGTCTGAATTGTAATTGAATGTTACCAAGTGCAATTTTTTTCATTATGTTCAGCTTTTAATGTGATTTCACATTGCTTTAACCCCCCACCCCCCAAAAAAAATAAAAAAATTGACCCCCCCCCCCTCTTTCCTCTCCCAGATGTGATTTTGACATAATTTATGGATGGCCCATAAAGAGTATTAATTTAAAGCCAATTATTATTAAAAATTTGTCTCATTTCATTTGTGACTTCAGTGTAGCCAATGCCAATTTGAATATAAGTTAAACTTAGACAAGACATAGAGACTCAAACTAGGTTTTATTAAGTTTAACACTGAGTGACACTAGTGAATTTACTGGCTGAAGCCTACAAATTTTTATAAAATTTCACTTATAAAAAAAAGTTATTTTTTTTACTAGTACTGGTTTGGCCACTCATATGCTAAAATAGGGCTACTACTACTAACCTAAACTAAAGACGGCCTTGTCCAAGAAAAAAATTACGCCTGGCATATGAAAAGGAAACATTGTTTTGACTTATAATTATTATTATTATTATTTTTAAGTGGTCTCATATAGCATGGTACCCCAGTCTAGGTCTAGGCTCACCGTGCTTCACATGATAATTAACAAAAAGAAAAAAGAAACACAATATTAAAAAACAGTTAAATAAAATTATTCATTTAAAAACAGCTTTGTAAAAAGATTGTCATCATTTAATTATAGTTGCTTATAATTGTATACACTAATTCACTAGGCATATACACTTTTGACACTATATTGATTTTATTAGGGCTTTGGCCTTTAAAATAGCAGCTCAAGTCCAAGTCCTAAGTAAGCAGTAACCACATCCCATTTCACTTTGGTTGCCCATACTAGCCATAGTCATCATTGACATTGATCGCCAGGCTAAGAACCCTTGATAATACCATCTGCTATTGCAAAGTCAGCAAAGCAAAGGTCACATGTTGGTAACTGCAAAGTTTGTCTGTTAATCTCACAATATTTCACTTGTTAATAGTGTCTTAATAATTGGGCTTAAACATTATGGATATCAGCATACTGAATATTAAGCACTGAAAGGGATATATTAAGGTTATTAAAAATGGGACCACCTCCTTAAAATAGGATTTGACGATAAGACCCCCTCCCCCAGGGTCTTAATGGTCGTCATAACATCAAATCTCTGTGTCTTTCGTTTGTAATTTTTTTTTAAAACTAGTAATAAACTTGAAAATGAACATCTGTGTTAAACCGCGGTAATAAATGCACTGTTGGCCTCTGTCAATATGGTTTCATCATCTTGAATCCTGTTATCACACACATGCGTGATAGTTTCACCTGCTGATAAAAACAGGTGTTCTTAACTTGACACTAAAGAGACACAGTATGTTTCAAAGTGTAGGAAAAATATAAAGAAAATTTAGACAATTAGAAGCTACTCAAAGTTTTGGATAAGGATAGTCATAATAGTCTTGAACAGGTACAAAAAATTATTTAAAATAAGTTTTTAACAGTAACCTTATCAGTTTTTCATGACTTAGGCTAAGGTCAGGTTTCCCAACCAGAAATATCCCTCGTTGGCCCCACACCAGGTGGTGTCCGATGACATTTTAAGGGGTGTAAGGAGAGGTGACTATAATTGGAATTTTTATTTTCAATTTTAAAATGCATTGATACTTTTGAAGGGGGTGTAAGTCTTAGTCAAACAATTAATAGGGGTGAAAAATTTAAAATATATGGGGAAACACCATACCACCATGTCTTTCTACAGGCTATATCTCCCCCCCCCCCCCCCCCCCCCCCNTTCCCTTCCCTATTAGGTTTTTCTGCAGTGTAATGGAAAAGATGGATGTTTCAGTAAAAAGAAATATTCAGTTGTAAAGTTATCATTCATAAGCCCTTCTAAATATGAGGTCATCATCATCCATAAGACACTCTAAATATGAGGTCATCATCATCCATAAGACACTCCAAGTGTGTGGTCAGCTGTCATAAGCACCATTAATTGTGAGGTCAGCAGTCATAAGCCCCTCTAAATGTGAGGTCAGCAGTCATAAGCACATCTAAATCAGAGGTCATCATTCATAAACCCTTCTAAATGTGAGGATCATTCATAAGCCCCTCTAAATGTGAGGTCATCATTCATAAGTCCCTGTAAATTTGAGGTCGTCATTCATAAGTCCCTCTTATTTTGAGGTCATCATTCATAAACCCATCTAAATGTGAGGTCATCATTAATAAGCCCCTCTAAAGGTGAGGTCATCATTCATAAGCCCCTCTAAAGGTGAGGTCATCATTCATAAGCCCCTCTTATTTTGAGGTCATCATTCATAAGTCCATCTAAATGTGAGGTCATCATTCATAAGCCCCTCTAAAGGTGAGGTCATCATTCATAAGCCCCTCTAAATTTGAGGTCATCATTCATAAGCCCATCAAATGTGAGGTCATCATTCATAAGTCCATCTAAATGTGAGGTCATCATTCATAAGCCCATCTAATTTGAGGTCATGATTCATAAGCCCATCTAATTTGAGGTCATCATTCATAAGCCCATCTAATGTGAGATCATCATTTATAAGCCCATCTAAATGTGAGGTCATCATTCATAAGCCCATCAAATGTGAGATTATCATTCATAAGCCCCTCAAAATGTGAGGTCATCATTCATAAGCCCATCTAATGTGAGGTCAACATTCATAAGTCCATCTAATGTGAGGTCAACATTCATAAGCCCATCTAATGTGAGGTCAACATTCATAAGCCCATCTAATCTGAGGTCAACATTCATAAGCCCATCTAAATGATTTATGTTTAAACAAATCTGAGAAAAAATGTCAATGTTAGGGTTCCAAAAGTACTGCGATTCTGTTGCTGCCCTTCATATCAGTCTGTCACTAAGAACAGTTTAGCTCTTAATAAAAAATCAATTTCTTTTGACAATTAAATATATTTATATGAAATAATAACTAAACATAAATATTTATACACGTTTTTTGAGCTCTCGGTTATATTAAAACCCATCTTAAACCCATCTAATGTGAGATCATCATGTATAAGCCCATCTAAATGTGAGGTCATCATTCATAAGCCCCTCTAAATGTGAGGTCATCATTCATAAGCCCCTCTAAATGTGAGGTCATCATTCATAAGCCCCTCTAAATTTGAGGTCATCATTCATAAGCCCATCAAATGTGAGATCATCATTCATAAGTCCATCTAAATGTGAGGTCATGATTCATAAGCCCATCTAATTTGAGGTCATGATTCATAAGCCCATCTAATTTGAGGTCATCATTCATAAGCCCATCTAATGTGAGATCATCATTTATAAGCCCATCTAAATGTGAGGTCATCATTCATAAGCCCATCAAATGTGAGATTATCATTCATAAGCCCCTCAAAATGTGAGGTCATCATTCATAAGCCCATCTAATGTGAGGTCAACAGTCATAAGTCCATCTAATGTGAGGTCAACATTCATAAGCCCATCTAATGTGAGGTCAACATTCATAAGCCCATCTAATGTGAGGTCAACATTCATAAGCCCATCTAATGTGAGGTCAACATTCATAAGCCCATCAAAATGTGAGTTCAACATTCTTAAACCCATCTAATGTGAGATCATCATGTATAAGCCCATCTAAATGTTAGGTCATCATTCATAAGCCCCTCTAAATGTGAGGTCATCATTCATAAGCCCCTCTAAATGTGAGGTCATCATTCATACGTCCCTCTAAATTTGAGGTCATCATTCGTAAGCTCATCTAAATGTGAGGTCATCATTCATAAGCCCATCAAATATGAGATCATCATTCATAAGCCCCTCTAAATGTGAGGTCATCATTCATAAGCCCATCAAATGTGAGATCATCATTCATAAGCCCCTCTAAATGTGAGGTCATCATTCATAAGCCCCTCTAAATTTGAGGTCATCATTCGTAAGCCCATCTAATGTGAGGTCATCATTCATAAGCCCCTCTTATTTTGAGGTCATCATTCATAAGCCCATCTAAATGTGAGTTCATCATTCATAAGCCCCTCTAAATGTGAGGTCATCATTCATAAGCCCATCTAATGTGAAGTCATCATTCATAAGCCCATCTAATGTGAGGTCAACATTCATAAGCCCATCTTATGTGAGGACAACATTCATAAGCCCATCTAATGTGAGGTCAACATTCATAAGCCCATCTTATGTTAGGTCAACATTCATAAGCCCATCTAATGTTAGGTCATCATTCATAAGCCTATCTTATGTTAGGTCATCATTCATAAGCCCATCTAATGTGAGGACAACATTCATAAGCCCATCTAATGTGAGGTCAACATTCATAAGCCCATCTAATGTGAGGTCAACATTCATAAGCCCATCAAAATGTGAGGTCAACATTCTTAAACCCATCTAATGTGAGATCATCATGTATAAGCCCATCTAAATGTGAGGTCATCATTCATAAGCCCCTCTAAATGTGAGGTCATCATTCATAAGCCCCTCTAAATGTGAGGTCATCATTCATAAGTCCCTCTAAATTTGAGGTCATCATTCGTAAGCTCATCTAAATGTGAGGTCATCATTCATAAGCCCATCTAATGTGAGGTCAACATTCATAAGCCCCTCTAAATGTGAGGTCATCATTCATAAGCCCATCAAATGTGAGATCATCATTCATAAGCCCCTCTAAATGTGAGGTCATCATTCATAAGCCCCTCTAAATGTGAGGTCATCATTCATAAGTCCCTCTAAATGTGAGGTCATCATTCATAAGTCCCTCTAAATTTGAGGTCATCATTCGTAAGCCCATCAAATGTGAGGTCATCATTCATAAGCCCCTCTTATTTTGAGGTCATCATTCATAAGCCCATCTAAATGTGAGTTCATCATTCATAAGCCCCTCTAAATGTGAGGTCATCATTCATAAGCCCATCTAATGTGAAGTCATCATTCATAAGCCCATCTAATGTGAGGTCAACATTCATAAGCCCATCTTATGTGAGGACAACATTCATAAGCCCATCTAATGTGAGGTCAACATTCATAAGCCCATCTTATGTTAGGTCAACATTCATAAGCCCATCTAATGTTAGGTCATCATTCATAAGCCCATCTTATGTTAGGTCATCATTCATAAGCCCATCTAATGTGAGGACAACATTCATAAGCCCATCTAATGTGAGGTCAAAATTCATAAGCCCATCTAATGTGAGGTCAACATTCATAAGCCCATCTAATGTGAGGTCAACATTCACAAGCCCATCTAATGTGAGGTCAACATTCATAAGCCCATCTAATGTGAGGTCAACATTCATAAGCCCATCTAATCTGAGGTCAACATTCATAAGCCCATCTAAATGATTTATGTTTAAACAAATCTGAGAAAAAATGTCAATGTTAGGGTTCCAAAAGTACTGCGATTCTGTTGCTGCCCTTCATATCAGTCTGTCACTAAGAACAGTTTAGCTCTTAATAAAAAATCAATTTCTTTTGACAATTAAATATATTTATATGAAATAATAACTAAACATACATATTTATACACGTTTTTTGAGCTCTCGGTTATATTAAAACACTTTGAATGGTAGGATTGAAGGGAATAGAGTGACCTGACTGGGGTCATGGTGAAAAATTGTAGTCGGCAAAGAAGAAAGATTAAATAGAGCAATGACTTTAAAAGAGTAGATTTTCCTCATATCAAAGCTGTAATGGTGTTTAAAGAAGGGGAGTGGCTTTACAAGACAATTATAAATTCCATGCACACGTTCACATGCCTTGAAATATACCAAACAAATGAGGTGATAGAGCAATGTTCAACAACTGTTGTCATTGAGTCCTCTTATCTCCACAACTACGTGTGATATATGGAGGTGTGTCCGTGACGAAGGTATATCAGCTCATCTGATTGGTAGCCCGTTAATATTATCAATTGCTGATTCATGCACTATTGTGATGCATGATGAAATTGCCTGGCTTGTGATCTTTTGAAGTTAGAAGGACTTACGATTACTTACATTGCTTAGTCATGCGACCAGATACTTGCCAGATACAACATAGACATTGCCGACGTCAGTAAAACTAGCCTCTCTGGCAAAGGTGAACTCACAGAAAGGCTATGTTTTCTTCTGGAGCAGACGCGACCCTGAAGCAAGGCGAGATGCTGGATTTGGCTTTGCTATCAAAACCGCTCTTGCTACCAAGCTCCCAAGCTCTTCAAAAGCTATCAATGACCGTCTCATGACGATGAAACTCCCCCTCTGCCATGGAAAGAAGTCTGCCACTTTTAGTCAGTGCATATGCACCCACCACGACAAACACAGAAGAGACCAAAGATAAGTTTTATGAAGACCAGAACACTGTCATCTCCTCCACACCGACTGCTGACGCAACTCATCATCTTGGATATTTCAATGCACGTGTCAGCAGTGACTACATGTACCTCCTTGGAAGGGGGGTGATGGGAAAGTATGGTGTTGGAAAGTACAACAGCAACGGCCTACTGGTACTCCAGACCTTTTCGTTGTTCATCCGTCGAAGTCGACAAGGACCATCGAATCATCCGGTTAGGGGCGGGCCGGGGGGGGGGGGGTGGGATTACGGTGGGCTCTTAGGTGGCTTGTTAGACCGATCCTTGCACGGAATAATCTATGACACCGTGGGCATGGAATAGTTGCTTCAGACGATGACCTAATGTTGCTCTTTCGGACAAGCCTGCGTGTCTCAGCTGTGGTTATTCTCTTAGCTTCATGGGATTTAGCCCCCTTCTTGACAGCAGCTCTCCATCTGGCTCTGTCCTGGGCTGTCTGCACCCATTGAGTAGTGTTTATGCTGAAGGCCTTTAGTGCCACTTTCAGTGAGTTTTTGTAACGCTTTCTTTGGCCTCCTTGGGAGCGCTTGCCTATCGTGAGTTCTCCAAAGAATATTTGTTTCGGGAGCCGGTGGTCTGCCATACGGGCTACGTGTCCCATCCAACGGAGCTGAGACTGCATCAGAGTGGTGAAGATACTAGGTAGGTTCGCTCTAGCGAGGACCTCGGTGTCGGGGACTTTGTCTTGCCACCTGATGTCGAGGAGTTTCCTGAGGCAGGTAGTGTGAAAATGATTCAGTTTCTTGGCGTGACGCTGGTAGACAGTCCACGTTTCACATCCATAAAGCAGTGTCGGGAGGACTGCTGCGCTATAGACCTTGAGCTTTGTTTCTCGACTGATACCTCTCCTGTCCCAAACAGTGCTGCGGAGCCTGCCAAATAGGGCACTAGCTTTGGCGAGTCTGCCATTCATTTCATCATCCATAACGACAGATCTAGAGAGGGTGCTGCCCAGACCTATGCTTAACACGGCCTTCTAATAACAAACACCATCTTCAGCCTCTCTAGGCGCAACACTCCTCAGCACTGTTTGGGACAGAAGAGGTATCAGACGATAAACGAAGGTCAAGGCCTATAGCGCAGCAGTCCTCTCGACATTATTCTACGGATGTGAAACATGGACAGTTCACCAACGTCGCACATAAAAAAAACTAAATCATTTTAACACAACCTGCCTCAGGAAACACCTTGGCATCAGGTGGCAAGACAAAGTGCCTGACACGGAGGTCCTCGCTGGAGCGAACCTTCCTATCATCTTCACCAAACTGATGCAATCTCAACTCCGTATGGAAGACAACCGGCTCCCTAAACAGCTATTCTTCTGAGAACTCACGCTAGGCAAGCGCTCCCAAGGAGGTCAAACAAAAGGGTTACAAAGACTGACTGGAAGGGACACTTAAGGCCTTCAGTATCAACCCTACTGAATGGGCGCAGACAGCCCAGGACAGAGCCGGGTGGCGATCAGCTGTCAAGAAACGGGCTCACTCTCATGAAGCCAGAAGGAGAGCCACAGCTGAGACACGTAGGCTAGCCCGAAACAAGCAACCTTATAAATCACCGACTGCAGCAGCTATCCACTGCCCGCGGTGCCAGAGACTATTCCGAGCACGGATCGGACTAGCAAGCCACCTACGAACTCATCATGAACTCCCCCCCCCCCCCAACTTGGTGGCCAGATGGTCCCAGTCGATGTCGACCGACGAACGACAGTCGTGCAACCAGGGCTTAGTCATGCCACCATTTGTTACTGTTTAGCAAGAAATCCACTTATGAATTAGAATCTAACCCGTTAAACTGTTATGAGAATGACCTTCACATTATTTTGTGTAAATGAGTGTGTTGTCATGGTAACTGTATTCTCCAAACCACAATTATTAGTTGCTTCTACTTAAACGACGGTGTTTTTTTGTGTTTTTTTACATTTCTTTTCCTTTTCTTGTTTTAGTCGCCATCGAGCCACCTGCAGCCATTCTGTTATGAGCATAGCGAATTCATTCAAAGTGAAATATGTGTAGTTGTTGGCAGACTTTGATAACCCAGATCTCTGGTATACGTCTCATTTCGTCACACCTAACGTCATGCAGGGGGTTGCCTTATTGTTATTATTGTGCTATTTTGAATTGCGGGTGAAAAAAACTGACACCGTCACAAGTTCTAAAATGTACATACACGTTTTTACACCGTTTTACACGGATTCTCATATTTTTACGACTCCGCTTTAGCGCATACGCAAAAGAAACGGGTTTGGGGACTGGCTCACAAGTTTGAGGACCACTGTGAAACTAAAGTTAGCGTGACACTAGCCATCCGGGCGGACCACTGTCTTCATAAACAACACCAACAACCCTGGAGTGTGGTCGGTGGCGTAACGAGGTCGATATCTTGTTTTGTTAGAGATACCCCAGAAACGGGTACTTAGTCTCTGCGTCCTCGGAGCTGCAGTTGCATAAAGCGTCACATTGATAAAGCTTATAGGTACAAGGTCAAGTGGTCTGTTGGAAATGCTAGACAGTCATTGGCCATGTTATAATTGCGTGGGATTGCAGGGGGTTGGTGGCCGCTGATAGTCTCGGGTTTCCTTTGAACTGCAAGTGTTTGCTACTCATCAATACTGATTGATTTGATATTTAGATCGCGCCGGTATCCTATTTCTCCTCTATCTACCCGATTATTTGCTATATTCTTTTCTACCCCTCCTCCTTTTTCAATCTCCTATCCTCGATGTCCACTAAATATCATCATCACTCTCTTACATCCCCGCAACTCTTCATATCCCCCACTCCCTCTCTCCTATCCTGTACAGCACAGCTCCCTTTTCTCTCCACCCTCTCTCCTATCCTGTACAGCACAGCTCCCTTTTCTCTCCACCCTCTCTATCCTGTACAGCACAGCTCCCTTTTCTCTCCACCCTCTCTATCCTATCCTGTACAGCACAGCTCCCTTTTCTCTCCACCCTCTCTCCTATCCTGTACAGCACAGCTCCCTTTTCTCTCCACCCTCTCTATCCTATCCTGTACAGCACAGCTCCCTTTTCTCTCCACCATCTCTCCTATCCTGTACAGCACAGCTCCCTTTTCTCTCCACCCTCTCTATCCTATCCTGTACAGCACAGCTCCCTTTTCTCTCCACCCTCTCTATCCTATATACAGTATTTTCTCCGCTATACTCACTCCCTCTCTCTACCTCTCTCACTGCCCCTCACTCTCTCTCATATAACCACCACTTTCTCTCACTCTTTCATATAACCATCACTCTCTCATATAACCATCACTTTCTCTCACTCTCTCATATAACCACCACTTTCTCTCACTCTCTCATATAACCATCACTTTCTCTCACTCTCTCATATAACCACCACTTTCTCTCACTCTCTCATATAACCACCACTTTCTCTCACTCTCTCATATAACCACCACTTTCTCTCACTCTCTCATATAACCACCACTTTCTCTCACTCTCTCATATAACCACCACTTTCTCTCACTCTCTCATATAACCACCACTTTCTCTCACTCTCTCATATAACCACCACTTTCTCTCACTCTCTCATATAACCACCACTTTCTCTCACTCTCTCATATAACCACCACTTTCTCTCACTCTCTCATATAACCACCACTTTCTCTCAGGAACGTCATTTCAGGCTTTTTTCATTGGGGGGGGGGGGTAAAAGGGGGGGGGGCAAAACCAATTCTTGGCCGGCTTGTTGAGTTATCACTGGAGGCGCCACAGTACATATCAATTTAAATAAAAAATGCACATTCAGGACGCCCCTGTCCTACCCAAATGACGCCTCCTGCTTGCTCCCCTATACTCCACATCTCTTTCCACTATCACCATCTCTTTCCTCTAATCTCTCCTAAAATGTCAATCTTCTCTATCCTACTATTCACCGATCTCGCCCTCTCCGCCTGCCCCCCGTCTCCTGTCTCTTCTGTATTCATCTTGTCTCTTCTGTACGTTCCTGTAATTATCCTTAATGAGATGTATTTTAAAAAGGCGGTCATGCCTTATAAAGGGTAATGACTGCTTCTATTTTAAGAGCGTCTCCTTGTTTATTCCCCGTCAAGTACAATACAGAATTCAACTATCTTGATTGCTTATCATTTGCTGGAAAAACGTATTATCTCAAAGATACCCCCAAACAAAAACATTATCTCAAAGATACCCCCAAACAAAAACATATTATCTCAAAGATATCCCCAAACAAAAACATTATCTCAAAGATACCCCCAAACAAAAACATTATCTCAAAGATACCCCCAAACAAAAACATACAATTTCATTGATACAACCCCAAAAACATTCTATCTCACAGATACTCGCAAACAAAAACATACCATCTGGGCGTTAGTAGGGTAGTTTATATATATATTGGTTTGCCTTATCGTCACTTATTGTATAAATGGACGGTGGTTAACTTGTCAGATCACGTGGTGTTTAGACCAATTGTCGCAGTTGACTGAAGATGATATCTCTTCATATAGAAAACGCGTTATTGGTTGAGAGATGCCATTAAAAATACAACTACCATGAATTACCATCGCACATCCATACAAATGACCACCCCATCATTTCCCAAGACCACAGCCAGTCCTTACAAAAAACCACTGCCAGTCCTTACCAATGACCACTGCCAATCCTTACAACTGACCACTGTCAATCCTTACAAATGAACACTATCAATACTTACAAATGACCACTATCAATACTTACAACTGACCACTGCCAGTCCTTACAAATGACCACTGCCAATCCTTACAAACGACCACTATCAATACTTACAACTGACCACTACCAATCCTTACAAATGACCACTGCCAATCCTTACAAATGACCACTGCCAATCCTTACAAATGACCACTGCCAATCCTCACTAATGACCACTGCCAATCCTTACAAATGACCACTGCCAATCCTTACAAATGACCACTGCCAATACTTACAAATGACCACTGCCAATCCTTACAAATGACCACTGCCAATCCTTACAAATGACCACTGCCAATCCTTACAAATGACCACTGCCAATACCTACAAATGACTACTGCCAATCCTTACAAATGACCACTGCCAATACGTACAAATGACTACTGCAAATACTTACAAATGACCACTGCCAATACTTACAAAGGATCACTGCCAATCCTTACAAATGGCCACTGCCAAGCCCTAAAAAAGGATCACCACCAATCCTTACAGATGACCACATAACCAAAAACATATGTAAACATTCGTATACTATAGAGCGGAGTAACACAAGATTCTCCAAAGTTTCTCAAGCAGTGTCAAATGTACCCCGGAGGCAACAAGGTCACGTGGTTCCAGTCATCCTTTCATGTGACAAGTGACCGATGTTTCAGGTCACACAATTTATTGATCATTTTTAGATGTACTGACGTTGGGTACATGGCTTATCACAAGGAGTGGGTAGGGGTTGGTATTTAGCCTGACCGTTTCACATTCACGGAACCTCTACCAGAGGCGTACCGAGGATATGTTAAAAAAAAAAAAAAAAAGAAAAAGTTGGGAGCGGGGAGCCCTCAGAATTGGTTGGTCGCCTAATAAATTTTAAATAGATATAATACAAATAATTTATATTTGCTTATTAAGTTGGTTTATCTGTATTGAATCGACTAAAATGTCCCACGCTACTCTGCTGTCTTGGTATAGTATAGTATTTGGTTTATCTTGATTATATATTTACAAAAAAAAAAAAAAGAAGATTTCCCAAGCTTTCTACAGGCCCAATTTTCATATCTAGAACTTTTTACTCAAGAAATTTGTTCTGAACATAAATTTGGTAGAGCGGAATTTTGTCCTAAATTTAAATTTGTAAAACAGATATTATTTATTATTATTGTTCCAAATAAATGTGTTTTTTCTAGGGGAAGTGTGAGTGAGATATGGGGACAAATAAACTTGTTCTTGAAATTGATCTTTGGTGGGGTTTTTCCCCCTATTATTTCATCTCGAAGCACATAACAGTTAAAAAACAACAACTCCAGTTGAACAAATTTCTTTCTCACAAATTTCAGGTAATCCAAAATGTTGGTTCTTGCCGTGGGCGCCCGTAAGTCCTTGTAGGCATCTGCCTTTCCACAGGCACGCATAACTACTGGGAAAGATAAGTGAGCTGTAGCAGAATTGTGATTTGAATGAAGTAAAAACCCTTCCTTCAGTTACGAATGATAATTTCAGACTGATTCCATAAAGAGTTCTAATTATAGTTGACCGTTTTTAAACAAAGACGTTTGGATTGAAAACTTCAATAACGCCATTATCTGTTCTGAGTTTGTGTTGCTTCACCTTACCAGTCCGCCACTTGCTTCTTGTTACCTGATTGCGGTGCCAATTTTGATTTCAATTTTTGGTTTTATGGCACATGTTTTCGGCAATAACAATAACACCCATAACAACCCCACCCCCCTTTTTTTTTTTAATTAGAAAAAAAAAATTCTTAAAAAAATTTTTTTTTTTGACAAACGGGAAAAAAGTTAAACCTTTGTACTAAATTGTACAGGCCCCAGTTTTTGTTGTTGTAAAATGGTATCGGGGGTAGGGGCGTGCATCCACCTCTGCTCCTCCACGGGCCACGTTACAGGCCTGAGACTTCTGTCGATCGTGTGACTTATTGGACCAGTTTGAGAAGCCTCGCTGCCGATAGTCTTAAAATAACTATTTAAAGTCCATCACCCGATAACATCAAAGACTGGCTGCTTACGTCACCCAGTTGGACCTTGAACTCTTTAAAAAAAAAATGGTTTATAAAAAAAAAAGTTGGTATGAAGGTGTTCATATAAACAGACACCAGTTGTGAATGGATCACATGTTGGGCTTGTCATTATCCGAAGATAGACACATCCGTATACCGCCTACCGGATATAAGCCACACAAAGGTCGACCAAACGATGGTGTGGTATTCACACGTTGAAGTACTCTGGCGGTAGGTAAGTATTGGTAGTACAGTGAGTAGTGCATTGTGATTGGTTCATGTCTACACATGTCTATAGAGGGTTGAAAGAGAGCCACAATTGGGGTCGACTTTAGGGTCATGGACTTATCAGAACTTATCATTTGATCCTATACCATCACTTCATCAGGACTTATCATTTGTTACTATACCGTCAATTCATCAGGACTTATTATTTGCTCCTATACCATCAATTCATCAGCACTTATCATTTTTTCCTATACCATCAATTCAGAGAAATTATCATTTGATCCTATACCATCAATTCATCAGAACTTATCATTTGATCCTATACCATCAATTCATCAGGACTTATCATTTGTTCATATACCATCAAGAAATTTTTAGGATATCCTCGACGAGCATACCGGGAAAAAATGATCAAAATTAAATGTGGTAATTTATATTTATAAAGGGAAAAAACGAGTGAGGAATGGGGAAAATGCAAAGTTTTTAAGCTAAAATTTATGTTTGTTAGTTTTTTTCCCCTTCAACAAATTTCTTTTTGATCACACTTCCTTTCAACAGTTTTCCTTGGAACAAATTTCTTTTTGATCACACTTCCTTTCAACAGTTTTCCTTGGAACAAATTTCTTTTTGATCACACTTCCTTTCAACAGTTTTCCTTGGAACAAATTTCTTTTTGATCACACTTCCTTTCAACAGTTTTCCTTGGAACAAATTTTTTTTTGATCACACTTCCTTTCAACAGTTTTCCTTGGAACAAATTTCTTAAATTTCTTTCGCACAAATTTCTGGTAAAATTTTTATCAGCGGCGTTGGCGCCCGGTATGTCGCACCTTCCTTGGGTCGCCCGGTATGTCGCACCTTCCTAGGGTCGCCCGGTATGTCGCACCTTCCTAGGGTCGCCCGGTATGTCGCACCTTCCTAGGGTCGCCCGGTATGTCGCACCTTCCTAGGGTCGCCCGGTATGTCGCACCTTCCTAGGGCCGCCCGGTATGTCGCACCTTCCTAGGGTCGCCCGGTATGTCGCACCTTCCTAGGGTCGGCCGGTATGTCGCACCTTCCTAGGGTCGCCCGATATGTCGCACCTTCCTAGGGTCGGCCGGTATGTCGCACCTTCCTAGGGTCGCCCCACGTACATTGTAAAATGTATACTTTGGGTAAAGCCAAATGTTTCCTTGTACCATTATGCCATGATGTTGTCTTCTTTCCTCAAGGCGTGAAGACAAATGTTGTAGAGCAAAGCATGGCGTTAAAAAAACCTGGACGTTTTCTATGCAACTATCGTTGGGACGTGATGAACCGAAAATGTTCCATTTTTGTCCCCAAAATGGGCGTAAATTTATGTTAAACGCTCCTGTCCTGCCATGTTTAGTTTTAATTTATCTAAAATAGTAAACGATGTCTTGTTTTAAAGCATTAAAATGTGTTACAAACGTGTTGTAACACTAGATAGTTACAAACATCATTGCAGTCCTTCCTGCAGCCGGTGACACCACGGGGAGTCCCGTTTGATATTGTCACCGTTGAATCTTTTGGGCAGCCCTGTGGTAGATATGTTTTTTTTTTTTTTAAAAGGAGGGTGGGGGATATTATCTTTACTAAACCCCGGATCTCTAAAACAAAACTGAAGAGGGTGGTTTATTTTCATTAAAGAGGTTTTGGTGTTCTGGCCAAGGGGGAAAGAAGAACATATGTAATATTTAATATGGAGCATTGTTTGTAACACATGTCCGGTTGATTCGTTCAGACCATCAAGTGCGAGCGAAAAATAAAATATATCCGGCCCAATCGAAAAGAATAAAACATGCATAGTAATTAAATACAAAGTCAAATATGTGTGTGAACGACAGTTGGACATTGACTTTACCTTGACCTATATGACTTTAGCACGACCTTAGCTCTAAAGTGTCGGATGAGTTCTGAGGTCAGTACATATTGTTTCAATAAATGCACTATAGTAAGTTAAAATCGCAACAGCCGTGCGATGGCAGCTGACTGTTCGCACACACTTTAAGCCGAGTCAGCAAATCATTCATCACGGTGCTTACTTTAAGGAAACACATATTCTAATAGGCTCATTTGTTAGTAGGTCACGTGACGTGGGGTGGGGGGGGGGCGAGAGTATGTTTTGAATCTCGTTAATGGTATATTGACTGACGTTTCTTGTTGATAGTATGTGATGGCTGCAGTGGCGGAGAAAAAAGGCGGAGACAAAAGAGGGGAATCTGAAGGTAGGGACGTTACTTTGATTGCCGGAAGGGCCGTGCGAAAATAAATAGTGGGGGGGGGGGTCAAAGAGTGCAAACGCCCAGTCAGAGTCCTGGAGATAATACGTGTTTGCCCCCCCCCCAACCATCCCATTTGTTTTAGTGGTAGGTAGCAGTGTCTTCCGTGAGGCTGTTTACTCCGTCTGTGGTAGTTTCTCACGTTGTAGGTAGCAGTGTCTTCAGTGAGGCTGTTTACTCCGTCTGTGGTAGTTTCTCACGTTGTAGGTAGCAGTGTCTTCAGTGAGGCTGTTTACTCCGTCTGTGGTAGTTTCTCACGTTGTAGGTAGTAGTGTCTTCAGTGAGGCTGTTTACTCCGTCTGTGGTAGTTTCTCACGTTGTAGGTAGCAGTGTCTTCAGTGAGGCTGTTTACTCCGTCTGTGGTAGTTTCTCACGTTGTAGGTAGCAGTGTCTTCAGTGAGGCTGTTTACTCCGTCTGTGGTAGTTTCTCACGTTGTAGGTAGTAGTGTCTTCAGTGAGGCTGTTTACTCCGTCTGTGGTAGTTTCTCACGTTGTAGGTAGCAGTGTCTTCAGTGAGGCTGTTTACTCCGTCTGTGGTAGTTTCTCACGTTGTAGGTAGCAGTGTCTTCAGTGAGGCTGTTTACTCCGTCTATGGTAGTTTCTCACGTTGTAGGTAGCAGTGTCTTCCGTGAGGCTGTTTACTCCGTCTGTGGTAGTTTCTCACGTTGTAGGTAGCAGTGTCTTCAGAGAGGCTGTTTACTCCGTCTGTGGTAGCTTCTCACCCACGTCTTATTTCAACATGTAACGAATGTGAGTCACTGCACAAACAATGGTCTCCTTCTTAAAGAATATGGAACAAATCAAGTGACATGATGACGGTGGGGTTGGTCCAATCCAATTCGACTTGATTATGGTTTTCAGGGTTGGGGGTCAAGGCCGTGCAGAAGAATTCTGGCCCCCCCCCCACAGTTTTCCAAATAATTCTATGAAAACCCCTGCCCATGGGCCCCGTATGATTTGCCTCGGCTTCTGCACGGCGCTGGGACATAAGGGTGTTAGTATAGGTCGGGTGGTCATTGATTGATAGCACCCTTTCAATAGGAATGGAGTGGCCAGCAGACAACGAGGCCAGGAAAGTCACCATGGCCTCGTGAAGTAGACCATATTCTAATCAGGTTGTTAGCGGTGGAAGTGAAGGTTGTTAGCGGTGGAAGTGAAGGTTGTTGGCGGTGGGAGTGAAGGTTGTTGGCGGTGGAAGTGAAGGTTGTTGGCGGTGGGAGTGAAGGTTGTTGGCGGTGGAAGTGAAGGTTGTTGGCGGTGGGAGTGAAGGTTGTTGGCGGTGGAAGTGAAGGTTGTTGGCGGTGGGAGTGAAGGTTGTTGGCGGTGGAAGTGAAGGTTGTTGGCGGTGGAAGTGAAGGTTGTTGGCGGTGGAAGTGAAGGTTGTTGGCGGTGGAAGTGGAGGTTGTTGGCGGTGGAAGTGGAGGTTGTTGGGGGTGGAAGTGGAGGTTGTGGCGGTGGAAGGGAAGGTTGTTGGCGGTGGGAGTGAAGGTTGTTGGCGGTGGGAGTGAAGGTTGTTGGCGGTGGGAGTGAAGGTTGTTGGCGGTGGAAGTGGAGGTCGTTGGCGGTGGAAGTGGAGGTCGTAGGCGGTGGAATTGAAGGTTGTTGGCGGTGGAAGTGAAGGCTGCTGGCGGTGGAAGAGAAGGCTGTTGGCGGTGGAAGTGAAGGTTGTTGGCGGTTGAAGTGAAGGTTGTTACTTAGTCCATGCTTTCAAGTGAGACCGATGGTATTATTAAAACTACTGACATAGTATGTGACTTAATGTAATGAATCGCACCAGACTTATTGTGTGACGAGGTGAATTTTGTAACCTTTGAGCCATAGAAGATGTAAATGTTCATACCATCGCCCTTCCTCTTAGTCCACGGCTTGCACACTCGAGTGGAATGTACGAATCAGAGCATGGCAAACTCAGTGCTGAAAATAAACATTTAAAAGGAATGGAAAAATATTTTCCATTAACCAACTGTCTTTCATCATTGCTTTGCTGCCAACGTCAGGGTTACCTGAATGTGCTTCGGTGGATTGTTCTTTGTTAGACTTCATAACGTGGTTTTAATTGTCATGATTTAACCTTGGTTCGCTTGAACCTGCTGAGTTAGACCCCAAGTCGGAAAATGCATGGTTTTAAGGGGTTGTTTTAAACTTTTGCTGTTATCTCAAAAATGTTGGCTGTTAGGAAGAGTCACAGGCTTGTGTTCGATTTGAAGTGACCACCTCGTTATACGGTAGTCGATTGAGTGCTTCTCTCTTCATATAAGCAGATGAACGCTAAGTGGGTCAAGTATAACGGCTTTTCTGTGATGGTTTTATGGGCGGATCGTTAAATGGCAGTTTGCAACTCACTCTAAGCACCCCGTGTGGACGGCGGCACATGGCGTGTAAAAGTGAATGTTGCCCTGATAAAATGGGCCGCATCACGTGTCCATCGATTTCTTGTTGGCTGTGTAGCAGATGTGGAATGAAGACAGTAGCTCCGTATCTATGCTCTTGTACCACAAGTGACCATTAGACACACACGTGCCAATGACACACACCTTAAGTCCATGCATGACGTTGAATAGCCCGTCACCCAATGCAGACGTGCCATTCATTCGTGACACACGCACTAGACATGTACAACACATGCACTACACACGCACTACTTTTTGTTCTCTGCCCAGATTTCGTTTAAGCACGAGACTTTCACCGTGCCAATAAATCATGATCATTTAATACCCACTATCCGGTCTATCCAGTAACATATTTATCGAGCGGGCACAGGTCACGCGGCGGGCGCGGGTCACACGGCGGGCACAGGTCACACGGTGGGCACAGGTCACGCGGCGGGCACAGGTCACGCGGCGGGCACAGGTCACACGTCGGTCGCAGGTCATGCAGGGCTTCTCACAACCTAAAATACATCTCCCAACCTACTACACAATCTCCCTACCTACAACATATCTCCCAATTTAAGATAGATGCCCCTAGCTGTCCTTTGAATTCCTTTATGAGCAATGCCAGCCGCATTATTCTGTGCTCTTTGAATTTTATTCCTTTATGAGCAGATGAATATATTTGATGGTATTTGTTTTAACGTGTCCTGGTACTCTTATCTGATCTACTCTAATGAACATGACCAGAACCCTACATTTGAGACAATGGGCTGTGGGGGTGTTCAGTTTAGAGTAGTGGTCCACACCAAGTCCACCCAATCAACCTCACTGATTTGTATGTGTTGTAATTACCTTAGTTTACCAAGAATAAGAAGACAGAAGACCAAACTGTCGTAAAGGATGAATGTAATTTGGTGTGTGGATTGAGTCTGCTCAAACAGTGCGGTACCCGGGTGTCTACCTAGATAGAACACTAACTTTGGAAAATCACATTAACATGCTTTGCAAGGCGATTTTTCTAGAGCTGAACAGGATTAGTCATATCAGATCTTTCTTAACGTTCCATGCATCAAAGAGGCTGATGTCTGCATTCGTGGTATCATGCATGGACTACTGCAATGCTCTCATTGTGAGTCTTCCAGCTACGCTCCTGGATAAAATTCAAAGAGCACAGAATAATGCGGCTGGCATTGTTATTCACAAAACGCTAATTCGACCTTGCTAAAACTCTTCTGAGAGAGCTGCAGGGGCTGCCGGTCCGCGCTCGCATACAGTACAAAATTGCAACTCTGTGCTACCGCTGCTTACACGACCTGGCGCCGTCCTATCTCAAAGCACTCATGACGCCTTATGTACCCAAACGACAGCTCCACACATCCGATTGTGGCAATATCGATACCGCGTGATCGCCTTGAGACTTACGGAAAGCGCACTTTGGCATTTGATTGCCGCACAATTTGGAACGCCCTTCCTGTCGCTTTCAGAAACAGCCAGACACTGGAGTCCTTTAAAACCGATTTAAAAACACATCTATTTCGCAAACACCTTCTGGGGTGATGTTGTCTACCATCTTTTTTCCAGTTAATGTATATTGGCTTGTGTTGCTTTTGGTTAAAAGGGTTAAAAGACTTTGACTTGGTATGCTCGTGTGTAGTTTTTATATTGTTGCGTTTGCTTTTAAATGTGGTAAATTATAGATTGTTTTTATTTCTCTCTCTCTTTTTTTAAAATATGGTTGACTTTGTACCGCGCTTCGAGCTTTTGGGGATGAAGCGTGTTTTCAAATAAACTTTATTATTATTATTATAGTAATTATATAATGAGAAGAAAAACGTTGTTTTGTGTCTAAATGCTATAGACAAAGACAGTGTCCGTATTCCTTTAAAATAATGGTCTTCAGCAAAACAAAAAACACAAAAAAACATGAAAAATTCTAAAACAGGCCTACTGCTAAGTAGACCTGAGCACATTTCATGAAGTAGCCATCTCAGTTACATGGTCTACTATCGCCTTGTGCAGTATAAAAATAGAAGGCCATACATGTTCTACCATTATCTTATAGGGCATACAAATAGAAGGCCATACATGTTCTACCATCATCTTATAGGGCATACAAATAGAAGGCCATACATGTTCTACCATCATCTTATAGGGCATACAAATAGAAGGCCATACATGTTCTACCATTATCTTATACAGTATAGAAATAGAAGGCTACCCAATCATTAGAGTCCGTCATGATTTGTGGTATTCTCAAAGAAAATATTGCCAAATAAATCAATCAAATGCTAGGCCCGTATAATATTACTATGTAAAACATCAAATGCTAGGCCCATATAATATTACTATGTAAAACATCAAATGCTAGGCCCATATAATATTACTATGTAAAACATCAAATGCTAGGCCCATATAATATTACTATGGAAAACATCAAATGGTTGGGCCCAGATAATATTACTATGGAAAACATCAAATGGTTGGCCCAGAAAATATTACTATGGAAAACATCAAGACTGGACAAAGCCTTTAAAAAAATTATTAACAATGAAAAAAAAAATCTACTCACCACTCATTGTCTACATTTTTAGCTTACAAATCTACTAGATGTGATAATCTTTCTAATATAAAATCTGTGTACTAATTAAATTAAATAAAGTTTGCAAAGACAAGACACAATTATTGTACTATTCAATTTTGGTGACCTAGGATTTTTCATATTGATTAATCAATAGTCCAGTTAAATAGTCTTCAATGGGTCAAAATATAAAAATTAAATTTTTTTTTAACGCTGAAATTCTTAAGATAAATGAAATATTCTAAAACAAATTATATCTTTTATTTCTGTTAGAGATACTTTGGTTTTATATACAGTTTACGTCCATAATCATGTTTAGAAATGGCAGATATTAAGTAAACTTCATGTTTATCCTACTTTTCCATTTTTTCTTCCATTCTGAAGTAAATCTACCAAACAGACAAGTGTGTGATCCCAGCTGTGTTTGTTGTCACCTGTGACAGTGAGAGACACATCTAGAAATGTTACGTTTACAGGCCCGTGTCGGCAGCCTTCATCATGTGGCTGCCACGTCCATGGCCCGAGCCACCACTGCCACTTCCATCCATGGTGGCAGTTTGTCAAAAACATTGCCAGACATTCGGACGCAGTCGACACAAGCCAAATCAGAGATTAAACCCATCAAAAAGCTTATGGTTGCCAACAGGGGTAGGTAGTTATTCTAAAGAGAAATAAGGGATGTGTAGTTATTCTAGAGAGAATAAGGGATGTGTAGTTATTCTAAAGAGAAATAAGGGATGTGTAGTTATTCTAGAGAGAAATAAGGGATGTGTAGTTATTCTAAAGAGAAATAAGGGATGTGTAGTTATTCTAAAGAGAAATAAGGGATGTGTAGTTATTCTAAAGAGAATAAGGGATGTGTAGTTATTCTAGAGAGAAATAAGGGATGTGTAGTTATTCTAAAGAGAAATAAGGGATGTGTAGTTATTCTAAAGAGAATAAGGGATGTGTAGTTATTCTAAAGAGAAATAAGGGATGTGTAGTTATTCTAAAGAGAAATAAGGGATGTGTAGTTATTCTAAAGAGAAATAAGGGATGTGTAGTTATTCTAAAGAGAAATAAGGGATGTGTAGTTATTCTAAAGAGAAATAAGTGATGTGTAGTTATTCTAAAGAGAAATAAGGGATGTGTAGTTATTCTAAAGAGAAATAAGGGATGTGTAGTTATTCTAAAGAGAATAAGGGATGTGTAGTTATTCTAAAGAGAATAAGGGATGTGTAGTTATTCTAAAGAGAATAAGGGATGTGTAGTTATTCTAAAGAGAAATAAGGGATGTGTAGTTATTCTAAAGAGAATAAGGGATGTGTAGTTATTCTAAAGAGAATAAGGGATGTGTAGTTATTCTAAAGAGAATAAGGGATGTGTAGTTATTCTAGAGAGAAATAAGGGATGTGTAGTTATTCTAAAGAGAATAAGGGATGTGTAGTTATTCTAAAGAGAAATAAGGGATGTGTAGTTATTCTAAAGAGAAATAAGGGATGTGTAGTTATTCTAAAGAGAATAAGGGATGTGTAGTTATTCTAAAGAGAATAAGGGATGTGTAGTTATTCTAAAGAGAAATAAGGGATGTGTAGTTATTCTAAAGAGAAATAAGGGATGTGTAGTTATTCTAAAGAGAAATAAGGGATGTATAGTTATTCTAAAGAGAATAAGGGATGTGTAGTTATTCTAGAGAGAAATAAGGGATGTGTAGTTATTCTAAAGAGAAATAAGGGATGTGTAGTTATTCTAAAGAGAATAAGGGATGTGTAGTTATTCTAAAGAGAAATAAGGGATGTGTAGTTATTCTAAAGAGAAATAAGGGATGTGTAGTTATTCTAAAGAGAAATAAGGGATGTGTAGTTATTCTAAAGAGAATAAGGGATGTGTAGTTATTCTAAAGAGAATAAGGGATGTGTAGTTATTCTAAAGAGAAATAAGGCATGTGTAGTTATTCTAAAGAGAATAAGGGATGTGTAGTTATTCTAAAGAGAAATAAGGGATGTGTAGTTATTCTAAAGAGAAATAAGGGATGTGTAGTTATTCTAAAGAGAATAAGGGATGTGTAGTTATTCTAAAGAGAATAAGGGATGTGTAGTTATTCTAAAGAGAATAAGGGATGTGTAGTTATTCTAGAGAGAATAAGGGATGTGTAGTTATTCTAAAGAGAATAAGGGATGTGTAGTTATTCTAGAGAGAATAAGGGATGTGTAGTTATTCTAAAGAGAATAAGGGATGTGTAGTTATTCTAGAGAGAATAAGGGATGTGTAGTTATTCTAGAGAGAATAAGGGATGTGTAGTTATTCTAGAGAGAAGTAAGGGTTGTGAAGTTATTCTAGAGAGAAGTAAATGTTGTGAAGTTATTCTAGAGAGAAGTAAAGGTTGTGAATTTATTCTAGAGAGAAGTAAATGTTGTGAAGTTATTCTAGAGAGAAGTAAAGGTTGTGCAGTTATTCTAGAGTAGGCCTGCACAGCTCAAAATGTAAGGTGGGTCGTCATACTTTTTGAAAAACTTGTGCGAGCCAAACGATAATAAGATGGACAAAAGCTATTAAGAAAATAATGATCAGTGGGCCGTATGTTGTGCAGGCCTGTTCTAGAGAGAAGTCAGGGGTATGTAGTTATTCTAAAGAGATATGAGGGTTGTGAAGTCATTCTGGAGAGAAGTAACGGTTATGTTATTATAGTAAAGAGATCTAAGAGGTGAATAGTTATCCTAGAGACAAGTCAGGGGTAGTTACACTAGAGACAGCAGACAGGGGTATAAATTCAGCAGTGCTGAAAATGTCCCTTTGCCAAGTGGGTTCAGACACACTCTAGCATGCAATAAGGGACTTAAAGGATCCATGAGGAAAAGAAATGAATACCTCACTTTATTTCAATCTTATAATACGGTCTGTTACCCATGGCTTTCATCTGGGCCTTTTATTTCTAAACTTAATTTAAAATGAGACTTTGCAAGGGACATTGGTGACATATTAGAGTTCCAAACTAAGGTTAGGGGGCTGAGAATTTGAAATGTCTGATTTGGACATTTTTTGGTCACTAAAAAAATTTCAAATCGAAAAACTGATAAAATTTTTTAACATTAATTTCATTTTAACTTCAAATCCTACTTGGAATCACATAACAGAGGTAGAATTGTTGACCCTAAGTTGAAGTCAAATATTTCCTCAGCCTTGGCACTATTTAATAGTACTCACCTTTATGCCCCAAGCTTTAAAGACAAGCCTTATGCTTAAACCTAAGGCATATATGTCAGCTGCTTTAAATAATACTATATAAGATTCATTTGTTTAAATTAGTGTAGGTTGTCTTCACATATTCAAGGTTGCATTATAATATATATTTTCTTCTGTGTGTGTCAATTTAACCAGGTGAAATTGCCATCCGTGTGTTTCGTGCCTGCACGGAAATGGACATTAAAACTGTGGCAATCTACTCTGAACAAGATGTCAATCAGATGCACAGACAGAAGTCCGATGAGTCATACCTGATCGGGAAAGGGCTTCCCCCAGTAGCAGCATACCTCAATATACCTGAGATTATCCACATAGCACAGGTGAGTGGATGGCTGATCCTTTATCCGAGCCGTAGTTCATCCATTTACCCAGCAGATGTTGATTGTGCGCTTCTCTTTGAAAAGACAGCACAACCTTCAAATTGGTTCTCTAGTTATTTATTTTAGTTGTTTTTATTGCATTTTAAAAGTAAAAGGGAATGAACTTAAACAATTTAATGCTGATAAATTTAAAAAATTTTTTTTTTTATAGAAAATGGTTTCTAAGATCTTGTTTGTTTATTGTTTTTAAAAAATTGTTTTTGTTTCTTTGTCTTTGTTTATTGTTTTTATTTAAGCCTTCAGTGCGAGATTCAAGAACACTTACCTTTTGTAGTGACATTCAATATTTGCACCCTTGACATCCTGGCAACTGTAAATCAATCAAATTTATTTTGAATCTACAGGAAAATGATGTGGATGCTATCCATCCAGGTTACGGTTTCTTGTCGGAGAGATCGGACTTTGCCAAGGCCTGTGTGGATGCAGGGATAAAATTCATTGGTCCTTCCCCTGAAGTAGTTCAAAGAATGGGAGATAAGGTAGAGGCAAGGAAAGCTGCCTCAGATGCAGGTAATGTCCCTTGTTGTGGTCCGCAAGTAAACACATTTTTGAGCTAACGTTTTTTTTTGTGGGTTGGGGTCATTGACCTTCTTCCTCAGACTTTCAGGTATAAAATATACCATTTTCTGGGTGGGTTAGATTTTATGACAAAAGAGGGTTGTTCAAAAAATATATGTCCAAGCCCACTGCCTATCTCAGCTGTTTGCAACGCCATAAAAGGCTGTCAGGTGTGTCACAACATTCAAAGTCATCAAAATGATGTTGGATGCTGGTAAAGTGGTTATTCTAAGGAGAGTTCAAAACATTCCATCCATGGTAACTGTATTGTGGAAAAGAGCAAGGATAATTGTATTTTATATCATAATTTCATCTTTATGCCAAGGTGTGTTATTTGCTCGTCTTATATATTTGTATCTATATCAGACCTGTTTACTCTCAAACTCTTAAAATCGTACAATATCATCACAAAATCGTTCAATACATTATCTTAATAGTAAAAAAATAAACATACAGTATATATAATGTATACACCTCAAAATCATACATTGTACACCAAAATCGTAAGAGTAAACAGGTCTGCTATACATGTCATCATAATTTTGAGGTGTGTCTTTTGCCTATAATATAACATAGTAATGTCTACTTCCCAGGTGTCCGTGTTGTGCCAGGCACCCCAGGGCCTGTTGAGTCTGCTGAGGCTGCCTTGGAATTCTGTAAACAACATGGGCTGCCAGTTATCTTTAAGGCAGCGTATGGTGGAGGGGGAAGAGGAATGAGAGTGGTCAGGAATTTGCAAGTAAGAACTCATCTCCCAAAACTTTAGCCCTACTGGTTACGCTGCAACTGCAGATATGAGCCCAAAATTTCAAAAATGAATAAATGGAAAGTGTACATCCAGGTTTTGTCACCAAAATCCACTACGGATATTAAGTGTATTTTAATTAAGTAAAACAGCCTAAAGAGACATCGAATTTTATATGTGGGGAAAAAAAAACATCGGATAGTTAACTAAAAGTAGCAGTACCATAGAGAAATGTCAGCACCGGGCCTGTCTTGACATCCCTACCATAGAGAAATGTCAGCACCAGGCCTGTCTTGACATCCCTACCATAGAGAAATGTCAGCACCGGGCCTGTCTTGACATCCCTACCATAGAGAAATGTCAGCACCAGGCCTGTCTTGACATCCCTACCATAGAGAAATGTCAGCACCGGGCCTGTCTTGACATCCCTACCATAGAGAAATGTCAGCACCAGGCCTGTCTTGACATCCCTACCATAGAGAAATGTCAGCACCGGGCCTGTCTTGACATCCCTACCATAGAGAAATGTCAGCACCAGGCCTGTCTTGACATCCCTACCATAGAGAAATGTCAGCACCGGGCCTGTCTTGACATCCCTACCATAGAGAAATGTCAGCACCAGGCCTGTCTTGACATCCCTACCATAGAGAAATGTCAGCACCGGGCCTGTCTTGACATCCCTACCATAGAGAAATGTCAGCACCGGGCCTGTCTTGACATCCCTACCATAGAGAAATTTCAGCACCGGGCCTGTCTTGACATCCCTACCATAGAGAAATGTCAGCACGGGGCCTGTCTTGACATCCCTACCATAGAGAAATGTCAGCACCGGGCCTGTCTTGACATCCCTACCATAGAGAAATGTCAGCACCGGGCCTGTCTTGACATCCCTACCATAGAGAAATGTCAGCACCGGGCCTGTCTTGACATCCCTACCATAGAGAAATGTCAGCACCGGGCCTGTCTTGACATCCTTAAAAACATTGATCCAGATTGAATGGTAATTTTTTTTAAATGTCCATTGACAGGATGTAACTGAGAATTTTAACAGAGCCTACTCAGAGGCACTTTCAGCTTTTGGGAATGGTGCTCTTTTCTTGGAGAAGTTCATTGAAAGGCCTCGTCACATTGAAGTGCAGATTTTAGGTTCGTAGCTACGGTGAACCTTTATCACATAACGTTAAGTAATTTTTGTAAACAGAATCAATGAAATATTATTATCTCTTAACGATCTGAGACGAAATGAAATATTATTATCTCTAAACTATCTCAGACAAAATAAAATATCATATCTAAACTGTCTTCAAAAGTTTTAACATGACAAGTTAATAAGCAAGTAAAGATCAGTCAGTGGGTCCTGTAGTACTGTCTGCTGGTGATCTACCTGAAACTTACAACACAAACTAACAGTCCCGTAGTACTGTCTGCTGGTGATCTACCTGAAACTTACAACACAAATTATTGATGACTTTTAAAGCATGGATTGGTTCAATTTTGTTGTTGAAAAGCAAAATAAACCTTTTATTAAAAAACTTATCTGATATGAACAATTAATTTTTTAAGTAAGGCCACACATCTTAAATTTGTAAGTAAGCGCCTCTTGTTGGTAATGCTTTGGAATTTTTATAGGTGAAAATCGGTTATAAAAAAATAATTCCAGGTGACAGGGTCGGCAATGTCATCCATCTTTATGAACGAGACTGCTCCGTACAACGTCGCCATCAAAAAGTTGTTGAGATAGCTCCGGCACCACACCTGGATGAAACACTTAGAAACAAAATGAACAGTGATGCCGTCAAACTGGCCCAGTTTGTGGGCTACGAGAATGCCGGGACCACAGAGTTTTTGCTCGACAAGAATGGAGAGTACTACTTCATAGAGGTCAATGCCAGGCTGCAAGTGGAACACACTGTAACAGAACAAGTCACTGGGTGAGATTGTTTTTTTATGACTTCTGTTGACTTGAAAAGAAAAGTAAATGTTGACATGTCCATTATGTGCAAGGAAGATCGAATCTTCAAATGTTCAAATAGTCAATTACTTGTAAGTAATATAAGATAACATTATTGGAATTTCATGGGAAAAGGGAGCAATATCTAAAGACTGGAGAGAGGGACATCTTGTAGGGCTCCAAGAGAAAGGTCATCTAATAGATTGTTCCAACTATAGAGACATCATACTGTCATGTACAATTAATAATTGCAAACAGAATTGCTTATAAAGGATTTATAAGAAAAACGTTGTTTTTATGGGTTGTTTAATTGCTGTTTGGTGATACAGTTGGCATCTGGGGCAACTTATCTCCACTTGGTTCTGTTCACTTGAACGTAAAGGTTTATTTTAGTTTTCATGTTTGCAAATCAATTTCAGTGAAAACTGGACTTATAAATCTCATGAATAAAAAGATTATTTTTGTTGTTGTTGTTCTAACAACTGTTTAATTCCAATCGTCCTCCAGAGTTGACCTTGTCCAGTCACAGATAAGAATAGCTGAAGGCTATACTCTTCCTGAACTGAATCTCACCCAGGACAGGATCCATCTCAGTGGATGTGCCATTCAGTGCAGGATGACCACTGAAGACCCAGCCCGCAGCTTCCAGCCGGACACAGGAAGAATCGAAGTACTTTTATGCTTTTAAACATGTTTAAAAGAAAATGAGGGGGTGGGGGGGGGTGGGGGGGCGCACTTCTTTCAAAAAAGTTATTTTAAAATACAGTATAAAACTCTGAAATTTATCTTCATCGAAAGGCTACGGAAGTGAATTATAATTCCAAGTTTGGTCAATAAAAAAAGGCAAAACTTTTATTATCCCAGCTAAAAGCATAATGTACAAGTTTTTACCTTAATACAACAAAAGTGGATGTAATGCAATCCCGCCTACGGGTTAATACCTTTTTCCTTGAAATCAATTCTTACCTTGAAATTTGTTGCAGGTCACTTGAATTATCCTTAAGCTAGCATCAATGATGTATTTAACAATAAAGCTAATAGTAGCGTCAATGATGTATTTAACAATAAAACTAATAGTAGCGTCAATGATGTACTTAACAATAAAACTAATAGTAGCGTCAATGATGTTACTTAACAATAAAACTAATAGTAGCATCAATGATGTACTTAACAATAAAACTAATAGTAGCATCAATGATGTGCTTAACAATAAAACTAATAGTAGCATCAATGATGTTACTTAACAATAAAACTAATAGTAGCGTCAATGATGTACTTAACAATAAAACTAATAGTAGCGTCAATGATGTACTTAACAATAAAACTAATAGTAGCGTCAATGATGTACTTAACAATAAAACTAATAGTAGCGTCAATGATATATTTAACAATAAAACTAATAGTAGCGTCAATGATGTATTTAACAATAAAACTAATAGTAGCGTCAATGATGTACTTAACAATAAAACTAATAGTAGCGTCAATGATGTATTTAACAATAAAACTAATAGTAGCGTCAATGATGTACTTAACAATAAAACTAATAGTAGCGTCAATGATGTACTTAACAATAAAACTAATAGTAGCATCAATGATGTACTTAACAATAAAACTAATAGTAGCGTCAATGATGTATTTAACAATAAAACTAATAGTAGCATCAATGATGTACTTAACAATAAAACTAATAGTAGCGTCAATGATGTATTTAACAATAAAACTAATAGTAGCATCAATGATGTATTTAACAATAAAACTAATAGTAGCGTCAATGATGTACTTAACAATAAAACTAATAGTAGCATCAATGATGTACTTAACAATAAAACTAATAGTAGCATCAATGATGTATTTAACAATAAAACTAATAGTAGCGTCTATGATGTATTTAACAATAAAACTAATAGTAGCGTCAATGATGTATTTAACAATAAAACTAATAGTAGCGTCAATGATGTATTTAACAATAAAACTAATAGTAGCGTCAATGATGTATTTAACAATAAAACTAATAGTAGCGTCAATGATGTATTTAACAATAAAACTAATAGTTGCATCAATGATGTACTTAACAATAAAACTAATAGAAGCGTCAATGATGTATTTAACAATAAAACTAATAGTAGCGTCAATGATGTATTTATTAATAAAACTAATAGTAGCATCAATGATGTACTTAACAATAAAACTAATAGTAGCGTCAATGATGTACTTAACAATAAAACTAATAGTAGCATCAATGATGTATTTAACAATAAAACTAATAGTAGCATCAATGATGTATTTAACAATAAAACTAATAGTAGCGTCAATGATGTATTTAACAATAAAACTAATAGTAGTGTCTATGATGTACTTAACAATAAAACTAATAGTAGCGTCAATGATGTACTTAACAATAAAACTAATAGTAGCATCAATGATGTACTTAACAATAAAACTAATAGTAGCATCAATGATGTATTTAACAATAAAACTAATAGTAGCATCAATGATGTATTTAACAATAAAACTAATAGTAGCATCAATGATGTATTTAACAATAAAACTAATAGTAGCGTCAATGATGTACTTAACAATAAAACTAATAGTAGCGTCAATTATGTATTTAACAATAAAACTAATAGTAGCATCAATGATGTACTTAACAATAAAACTAATAGTAGCATCAATGATGTATTTAACAATAAAACTAATAGTAGCATCAATGATGTATTTAACAATAAAACTAATAGTAGCATCAATGATGTACTTAACAATAAAACTAATAGTAGCATCAATGATGGATTTAACAATAAAACTAATAGTAGCATCAATGATGTACTTAACAATAAAACTAATAGTAGCATCAATGAAGTATTTAACAATAAAACTAATAGTAGCATCAATGATGTATTTAACAATAAAACTAATAGTAGCGTCAATGATGTATTTAACAATAAAACTAATAGTAGCATCAAAAAAAGTATAGATTTATTGATGGATTTACGATAAGGTAAAGAGATGGCTTGAGGCTATTTACACAGTATTAATTATAGGATGAAAGGCTAACCTTTTTTCTTTCAACTCAGGTGTTTCGTAGTGGTGAAGGAATGGGCATCAGGCTGGACAGTGCTTCTGCCTTTGCCGGTGCTGTTATCTCACCTTATTACGACTCGCTGTTGGTCAAAGTTATTGCTCATGCCAGGGATCACCCAGCCGCATGTGCTAAAATGTTGCGTGCTCTCAGGGAGTTTCGCATCAGAGGGGTCAAGGTGAATACAAATCAAACCGATTCAACTTTCCAGTTTGTTGTATATTTTTTATTTATGGGTTTAGCATAATAAAATAAACAAATTTTGGACCAAAATGTATAAAGTTTATATGAGTTTGCAAGTTGGCATTTACCCGTACTTTGTTTGCCATCTGGCATCTACCATACCATTTCCCATAAATAGATTTCCAATGTGGGTTGAAGCTTAAGTGGCTCTAGGAAATCCAGTGTGGCAAGGTGCGTTTAGTGGTTGAAATGTGACTGGAAGGAGGACAGTTTAGAATTGATGGATACACGGAAAAGTCACAAGCAAAACTTTACAATAACATGTAGATCCTAGCACAACACGCTTTCCATTATTACCATATATATTTTTTTAAATATATTTTTATATATTATGTAATTTTATGTTCTATCTCTGATTCTTTATGTTTTATGTGGAGAATCGGGTCACGTCTCTAAAAATGTGTAAAAAATTTGTTGAACATTTTATTGTGACATACAAAAGAATAATTTTTAAAAAGTTATAAAAAATGTGTATTTGTTAGGGCTCATTTAAACATTCAATATTTATATTTTTATTACTATTTAAATTGCAAGCAAGAAATCCTGATGTAAACACTGGATTATACTTAATTACTTTAAAATTTTATGGTGCTTTTCAGTGAGCCTTGTGGCAAGTATTAAATTACCTCCCTTAACATGATGAACTTTCAGACAAACATCCCCTTCTTGCTCAATGTGCTGCAAAATGAAACATTCCTCAAAGGAGCGGTGGACACCTACTTCATTGACGAAAACCCCCAGTTGTTCCACTTTGCCGCCAGTCAGAACAGGGCACAAAAGCTTCTCCATTACTTGGGTAACATCATGGTCAACGGCCCATCCACTCCACTGGGTACCACCATGAAGCCATCTGATGTTGTCCCCACCGTACCGGCTGTGCCTCTTGGTAAGTTAACACCCACATTTGTATACAGTGATATTAAAATTAAAGAAATACTCTGTCCATCATATTTATTTGCCCTAGGGGAAAGTGAGGAAATCGGGTTGTAAATGAAAATAGGTGGTGTAAAGGGCCTTTTTTAGGGTGTGTAATAGGAATGATAATTAAATCATGTTGTAAATAACCATGAGACAAATAAATGACAAAAATGTTATTGAGATGCACATCCTCCACCTTGCCCAAATCAATCCCATCATTGCAAATGGTGTTACCATTCTCAGTTCCTTGCTATGTGGTTCATTTAAAGTGAATGAATTTTTTTAAACTTAAGTGTTAATGATTGCATTATACATTTTCAGCACATAAATAAACCAATTTGAACACACAACATTTATAATAAATTATTTCAAACATCCATTCAGTGAGGTCTCTTAGCCAAATTGGGGACTTATTAGTTCTCATTAAGATGTGTGACTTCAGAGGGAGCATGCTGGTAATTTGTACAGATTGGGGAACAAAAGAATTACATGGCCCAATCAACAGGGGTGTTGAAAAAAAAAATTTAAACGTAGTAATTTGAAAATAAATCCATTCTATATTTTCCTGATGTTTAAAGACAAAAACTAAAAGGTTGTCATGTGGAAATGATCACCTTTCAACAAAAATAATGGACATAGCACGCTTGAAACATCCACCGATTATTTCAATAAAAGCTACAAGTTGATGACTATAACACTTTAAATAATTAAATATCTCTCTCAACTATTATTAAGTTATTGGTGCATTGAGTTGATAGTGTGCAACTCATATTGTAGATGGTAGTGGGGAAATTAACATCCACTGCACAGAAAGGCTGGGAACTGCTCCGCCAAACAATTGGGGATAGACTAAAAGCTGTAAATAAATGATGCTTATAAGGCAGAAGTCACTGGTTTTAAACAATTGTTTTCATCCACATTTTCTGGTCATTTCTGTCATTGTTTCAGGGAAGCAAGGCAAGGGTAAGATGAAAGTTGTCTTCATTCATCAAAGTCCCTATTTTTTTTTTCATTGTTCTTGATTTGACATTGGCACTCTGCATTTTGACTCTAATGAGAGTTTTTTTTCTCTCTTCAGAACTGATCATAAGATATCTCTTACAATAATGACTGAAACTAATAAATATAAAAAAAAATTTTTTTATTGATCAGGAGAAATATATTGCAACCACATAAAGGAATTAAAAGGAGCATTTCTTTTACAGATCAAAACAAACAGGCATGCACATATAGGGAAAAAAAACCCACACAGGCTTGAGCCCACATGGTGCATACATATTTAAATCATAGGAATGCAGTTTTAGCTTAATTTATCACCAAGCTGAGGAAATGAAAGATAATTTTTTTTAAGAAAAATTAATTTTGTTGGATGTATTTTTGATGGTTCGGAGTGAAAGGTCTTAGTTGCTGACTATTCATAGGTAGTGAGTCCTTTTACAAATCATAGGTAGTGAGTCCTTTTACAAAGTACTAAACGTTTTGCTGGGGTGTGGTGGCTGTGATGCTGGCCACCTGAACCTTTGTCTAGGTGTAAAAAAACAAAAACAATCAGAAACGTTCAACATTATGACACTTAACAGATCTGTAATGAGAATCATTTAAATCTAAGCATGTCGAGGGTCTAGTGATGTCTAACGCTTTATTTACTGAGTGTTTTAACCATGTCCACTGTATGAGCAATAATACTTAGGAATAGTACACATGTATGAATGAGAAATTGTGTCCTCATTATTTGTGGTCAGTTTGCTGTTTAGTCTGATCCTAGTAACCAGAAGTTGAACATTGTCCCCACCACCTGTGCAGTCTACTTGGCTTCTATGTTAAATTTGACTAATTTTAAATGAAAATTAAATTAAAGATATTATCTATGACAACATAACTGTGTACAATGATAAGTACCTAGGTTATATTTTAAACAAAAAAGGTAAGTAGGAAAAAGACATTAAAATGGCAGTACAATTTAAATAGACACAATGAAATCATTGGAATTTATGTACATTTTTTTCTCTCTTTAAAAAAAAAAAAGTAATTTATAGATATTTTGGAAAATATTATTTACTATTTAAGGCAACTTACAAATTTATGTGATGTATCCAATAACATATACACAAAGTATGTCAAGCATTCATTTACTCACAACTAATCTTGCTGCCTCATTAACATAATTATGTAAGGGTAAGAAAGCCTGTGAGATATTTTAACAAGGGCACATAATCAATAATAACCATTGGGTGCAGTCCTATTATTCTGCTGATGTGCCAAGTTATATTGTTAATTTACATTGTTGTTAAAATGACTTTAGACTCCATATATCTTGTGTATCCCATTGTATGAGCTGTAAAACTTGTGATTGTTATGTCACACAAAAATTGACGCCTTTCCTTTTATTTTGGGTTACTTCTGTTATAACAATTTGCCAACAATTTTTCTGAAAATGCTGCCTTGGGTTTCCTCCTGGTATTGTTTCCCTCTCTTATCTTTGTCATGCCTGGAACGTGTCCAGGTGGTTCTTTAATGCCTGAAGACTTTTTCACATATCTCCCTATTGTTTCTTTGGTTGTGTAAAAAAAAATGATTGATAGAATTTTGTTTTAATATTTTATTGGTAGAGAGGTCCTTTTTTTTTTTCCTTCAAATATTTTTTGTTGATAAATGTTGACATTCCTGTTTTCAAATCTTAATTTAGAAACATAAATAGGCTCTATATCTTTTAATTCCAAGTAAGCAAATAATCCAAATTTAGAATGAATAATTGAAATTTACAAATGAAGGGGAGAAAAAAATCTCAAAACTTTTACTAATTTTTATGAGGTTTTTTATCCAAATTTAATTTTTTTTTAGTATGTCCAAATTTTTTATGTCCACATTTTTTTATGTCCAAATTTTTATGTCCACATTTTTTATGTCCAATTTTTTTTATGTCCACATTTTTTATACCTTTTTTTTTAAATTTCAGTGGTCAAACCACCAGATGGTCTGAGAGAAATCATTGTCAAAAACGGTCCGGAAGCATTTGCTAAAAAAGTGCTGGAACACAAGGGTCTCTTACTGACGGACACCACCTTTAGAGATGCTCATCAATCGCTGCTGGCCACACGGGTCAGGACCTATGACCTCAAGAGGATATCCCCGTTCCTGGCCCACAATTTTACACCCCTGTACAGCACAGAAAACTGGGGAGGTTTGTGGACTTGCTTTCACCGGCCTCATTCACATGATTATTGTCTATTCTGAAAACAAGACTTCACTTCTGGTATCAAGTATCCAAATTTCATCATTAGACTTGATAATTTTGAAATATTTCACAGAAATGTGCGGGATCTCCATTTTGTTAAGTTTTCTTCCACATCATGTGTCATTAATTCTGTTCATAGAAGTTGTTCATTACGTTTGTCTATATAAATCACTTAAGTTAATTCAAATACTTAAGCTAATGCTAAGGCTCAGGTATTTTAATATTGATTTAAGTGAGCTTCATGGCACAGCAGCCGACACCATGACAGTAAATCATTTCATCAACTAGACACCAACAATCACACCATTAAATGTTGAAACATGGCCACATTTTATTGTTATTGATATTCACTTATTGGTGTTAGCCATGTCCCTTTATTAGTGCTTTAAACTAGAAAGACTGTCATTCCTTCCTGACATGCTCAGTAGAAGAGTCTGTAGATGTGTTCAAGTCTCCCATCTATGAATTGTAATTCAGCAGTTGAACACGCATTTATGGCACTTATATGGAATAGTTAAACTCAATTTTAAGATCTACACAAATTAGCAAGGTAAACCAGCCATTTAAAGATTCTCTGCAATTTTCATTTTTCAATTTCCAATGTAAACTTACCTTATGAGAAGAGGACTGAAGGAAGGTTCTATAGTTATGATTGATAATCACTTCTCATTGCCAGGTGCCACATTTGATGTTGCATTAAGATTTCTCCATGAATGCCCATGGGAAAGACTGAGAGAGTTGCGTCAGCTCGTCCCCAACATTCCATTCCAGATGTTGTTGCGAGGAGCCAACGCTGTTGGCTACACAAACTACCCAGACAATGTTGTGTATAGGTAGGTGCAGACTTTCATGGTTATGGTTATCAAACTACCCAGACAATGTTGTGTGTAGGTAGGTGCAGACTTTCATGGTTATGGTTATCAAACTACCCAGACAATGTTGTGTATAGGTAGGGGCAGACTTTCATGGTTATGGTTATCAAACTACCCAGACAATGTTGTGTATAGGTAGGGGCAGACTTTCATGGTTATGGTTATCAAACTACCCAGACAATTTGCTGGTCCAACAATTTGGAACACCCTTCCAGTCGATCTCAGAAACAATCAGACACTGGAGTCCTTTAAAACCGATTTAAAGACACATTTATTTCGCAAACACCTTCTGGGATGATTGTCTACCATATTTTCCATTTAATGCATATTAGCTGTGTTGCTCACGGTTGAAATGGGTTGAAAGACTTTGACATTGTATGCTTGTAATTGGTTTGTGTAGTGTTGCGTTTGTTTTAAATGTGGTAAATTATAGATTTTTTACTCTTGTACCACGCTACGAGCCTTTGGGGATGAAGCGTGTTTTTGAAATACACTTTATTATTATTATTATTAATGTTGTGTATAGGTAGGGGCAGACTTTCATGGTTATGGTTATCAAACTACCCAGACAATGTTGTGTATAGGTAGAGGCAGACTTTCATGGTTATGTTTATCAAACTACCCAGACAATATTGTTTATAGGTAGGTGCAGACTTTCATGGTTATGTTTATCAAACTACCCAGACAATATTGTTTATAGGTAGGTGCAGACTTTCATGGTTATTCTTTCTTAATGTCCCAAAGAATTTAATAAGTGAACAATATCAGAATGTTCAATTTCAGAAGAAACCATTAGTTAAGTTATGTTTTGAACATAATCATATTAAATTTTGTTTGCCCCTGTAGATTCTGTGACCTGGCTGTGAAGAATGGCATGGATATTTTCAGGATATTCGATTCCCTCAATTACGTACCAAACATAATTGTAGGGATGGAGGCTGCAGGAAATGCAGGTAACTAAAGTTTGGCATCTTCCCTGGCATACAAACTTGACATGAACCCATGACTGTATGAGTTTTTTGAACTACACCTTAAGAATAAGTTACCGTCCAACCCTATTTTGAACCAGACCTTAAGAATAAGTTACCGTCCAACCCTATTTTGAACCAGACCTTAAGAATAAGTTACTGTCCAACCCTATTTTGAACCAGACCTTAAGAATAAGTTACCGTCTAGCCCTGTTTTGAACCAGACCTTAAGAATAAGTTACAGTCCAACCCTATTTTGAACTAGACCTTAAGAATAAGTTACCGTCCAACCCTATTTTGAACTAGACTTTAAGAATAAGTTACCGTCCAACCCTATTAAATTCACTTGAGGCATAGGATCCATTGCCTGGAGTTTAATCCTTTGAGATTTCAGAGTTCAAGTAACATACATTGTCTTTACATTATGTTCAATGAACAGGTGGTGTTGTCGAGGCTGCCATCTCATACACTGGAGATGTGTCTGATCCCACAAAGAAAAAATATAACCTGGAGTACTACGTTAAACTGGCTGGTGAACTCATTAAAGCAGGCACACATGTTCTCTGTATTAAGGTAACACAGATCTAGCCTCAGGGATATGTCATGTTAAAACTTGTACCTTAAAAATGTGTGGCAATTTGGCTTAACAATTTACATACAGACACCTATTATTTCAGCTTAAAATAGTTACAGTGGGTTCACAATTTGTTTTTTTCAAGTGCTAAAAAGTTCATGAGAAAAAGTTTTTGAGACAAAACATCTTAATACAGAACTATATTTCTATGATCAGGACATGGCTGGCCTTTTGAAGCCAAGGGCTGCAACTCTGCTGATCAAGACCCTCAAGGATAAGTATCCCGATACACCAATTCATGTCCACTCCCATGACACTTCAGGTGCCGGTGTGGCTGCCATGCTGGCGGCGGCGTACGCTGGAGCAGATGTTGTTGATGTGGCCGTCGACTCGATGTCCGGTCTCACCTCACAGCCCAGCATGGGCGCAGTGGTGGCCTCCCTTGAAAACACTGAGTTTGATACAGGTATGAAACAATCAAAATCATCAGTTAACTACACGATATGCTGTTAACAAGCATCAGAGGGATCTTAAAAAAAAAAACAATACTTTTTCAATGCATTAAAATTTGTACAAGTAATACAATGCTACTTAGCTTGTCCTTCCAGATTTTTATACACACTAAAACAAAAACCCCACATTTTTGTGAGGTAGTAGAAATACGTTATACGATATGCATGAAAAGTAATGGTACTGAAACTCCTGCATCTTGAATGCATTGTGCATTTGTCAAAAGGACATAGCAGCGCATATCCCCAGTTGTAAAAAGGAAGATACGTTGGTCAGCTTTCGTTGAAAATGGATCTCAACCTCTTGAGAAACGCACATATATATTTAAGTTTCAGTACTGTTACTTCTGGCACATACTGTATAAAAGATGATATGTGAATTGTAGGCAGGGGCAAATCCACTTTGGTGGAGTGGGGGGGGGGGGGAAAGTGGAATTCATTAGTGAGATGTCCTTTGAAACAATTACATTATAGTCTTCCTCTATTCCTAAAGCTACAATCTATGGCAGCAGTAAAACAATCCATTAAAAATTAAATAGAAAATATTTTTTTCCAAATTAAGCTTAACCAAAGTGGTGGGCAATATTAAGAATATCAAAAACATAAACTAAACCTGTCAATGAAACTGATAGATTCGAAATTAGTATATTTATTTATTTATTTTTTTACTTGACTAAATGCTTTTAAAATTCTATTAAGTCACAGTTTGGCTTCTTATCGCATTGTTTCAAAGCACCCGCCTCAATAAAGCTATGTACTTGCAGGTCTCTCCTTGGACAACGTGTCTGCGTATTCAGCCTACTGGGAGCAGGCTCGTAACCTGTACGCACCATTCGAGTGCACAGCCACCATGAAAAGTGGAAATGCTGACATATACAAGAATGAAATACCCGGTTGGTCGCCAGATGTTGATTCCATCATTCACATTCTTTATTCCATTATTTTCAAAGACTTTTTTTTTACCTCTTCCCATATCTCACATCACTAACTTAATAAGTGAAAACAATTGAATACATGTATCCCAGAAATAGCTTGCCATTTGGTTGCAGATCAAGTCATATGGAAAAGAAACCATATCATTTCTTTCATATTCATTCATTGAATACCCCCCCCCCCACCAAATGTTNCTTTTTTTTTACCTCTTCCCATATCTCACATCACTAACTTAATAAGTGAAAACAATTGAATACATGTATCCCAGAAATAGCTTGCCATTTGGTTGCAGATCAAGTCATATGGAAAAGAAACCATATCATTTCTTTCATATTCATTCATTGAATACCCCCCCCCCACCAAATGTTAAAGAGTACCTGCTTAAATATGACTTATCAAATATAAGACCTGCTCCAACTCATGTCTTATGTCAGAGCAAAGTTGCCTCTGCCTGCTTGGAGCAAGTGGCTTTAACTAGAGTTGGGCAAGGGGTCGGGGAGGGGGGGGGGGCATTCAGTGAAAGTGTTCAATGAACAAAGACCTTTTAGACTTACCATTTTGTTTCTATTATGACACATGCAAACTGGTATTATGACTTTGATGTATGTCTGCTCAGGTGGTCAGTACACCAACCTCCAGTTCCAGGCCTTCAGTCTCGGTCTAGCTGACCAGTTCGAAGAGATCAAGAAGATGTATTCTGTCGCTAACATTTTACTCGGTGACCTACCCAAGGTTAGTCAAGGTCATTTTTTAAACCAAGTATCCATAATAGAAAATGAGTGTTTATGATGGAAACATGTGCTACGCTCGACAACGCCAACCCGTGACCATGCCAACCCGTGACCATGTCAACCCGTGACCATGTCAACCCGTGACCATGCCAACCTGTGACAACAAAAACTGAATAAAAAAAGTGAGAAGAAAAAACACAAGATCCTGAACAAAAACAAGAAAAACTCCAGAACACAAGAGAAAAGTCTCATTAGTTGATGTAATGATTAGTGTTGTGTATGTGTGCAATCTTTGTCTTTAGATTAGTGTTGTGTATGTGTGCAATCTTTGTCTTTAGATTAGTGTTGTGTATGTGTGCAATCTTTGTCTTTAGATTAGTGTTGTGAATGTGTGCAATCTTTGTCTTTAGATTAGTGTTGTGAATGTGTGCAATCTTTGTCTTTAGATTAGTGTTGTGAATGTGTGCAATCTTTGTCTTTAGATTAGTGTTGTGTATGTGTGCAATCTTTGTCTTTAGATTAGTGTTGTGAATGTGTGCAATCTTTGTCTTTAGATTAGTGTTGTGAATGTGTGCAATCTTTGTCTTTAGATTAGTGTTGTGAATGTGTGCAATCTTTGTCTTTAGATTAGTGTTGTGAATGTGTGCAATCTTTGTCTTTAGATTAGTGTTGTGAATGTGTGCAATCTTTGTCTTTAGATTAGTGTTGTGAATGTGTGCAATCTTTGTCTTTAGATTAGTGTTGTGAATGTGTGCAATCTTTGTCTTTAGATTAGTGTTGTGAATGTGTGCAATCTTTGTCTTTAGATTAGTGTTGTGAATGTGTGCAATCTTTGTCTTTAGATTAGTGTTGTGAATGTGTGCAATCTTTGTCTTTAGATTAGTGTTGTGAATGTGTGCAATCTTTGTCTTTAGATTAGTGTTGTGAATGTGTGCAATCTTTGTCTTTAGATTAGTGTTGTGAATGTGTGCAATCTTTGTCTTTAGATTAGTGTTGTGAATGTGTGCAATCTTTGTCTTTAGATTAGTGTTGTGAATGTGTGCAATCTTTGTCTTTAGATTAGTGTTGTGTATGTGTGCAATCTTTGTCTTTAGATCAGTGTTGTGTATGTGTGCAATCTTTGTCTTTAGATTAGTGTTGTGTATGTGTGCAATCTTTGTCTTTAGATTAGTGTTGTGTATGTGTGCAATCTTTGTCATTAGTGTTGTGTATGTGTGCAATCTTTGTCTTTAGATTAGTGTTGTGAATGTGTGCAATCTTTGTCTTTAGATTAGTGTTGTGAATGTGTGCAATCTTTGTCTTTAGATCAGTGTTGTGAATGTGTGCAATCTTTGTCTTTAGATCAGTGTTGTGAATGTGTGCAATCTTTGTCTTTAGATTAGTGTTGTGAATGTGTGCAATCTTTGTCTTTAGATTAGTGTTGTGAATGTGTGCAATCTTTGTCTTTAGATTAGTGTTGTGAATGTGTGCAATCTTTGTCTTTAGATTAGTGTTGTGAATGTGTGCAATCTTTGTCTTTAGATTAGTGTTGTGAATGTGTGCAATCTTTGTCTTTAGATTAGTGTTGTGAATGTGTGCAATCTTTGTCTTTAGATTAGTGTTGTGAATGTGTGCAATCCTTGTCTTTAGATTAGTGTTGTGAATGTGTGCAATCTTTGTCTTTAGATTAGTGTTGTGAATGTGTGCAATCTTTGTCTTTAAATTAGTGTTGTGAATGTGTGCAATTTAACCCCATGGTTTTAATAATTATTCCACTTCATCTGCCCTTGGCTCGGAGCGCTAGTTTTTTGATGTGTCACTTCAAGGTCATGCTGATAGTTTCATGAGCCGACAGCGAGTGACCATTGACTTATGATATCCTCCGCAGGTAACACCATCGTCGAAAGTGGTGGGTGACATGGCCCAGTTCATGGTACAGAACAAGCTGACGGCCAAGGATGTCCAGGAGAGAGCCTCGGAGTTGTCCTTGCCTTCATCGGTTGTGGAATACTTCCAGGGATACCTTGGGGAGCCACCTGGTGGATATCCTGAACCTCTGAGAACTCAGGTCTGCCGTCTGTTTAGTTGACCAATTGTTCATTTCTATTTTATTTAATAACTTGTGACCTCATGTTGGTCTGAGCTTTTCAGTGATTGTGTTATGGTTTGAAATGACAACACCAGTGTCCATGATATTTAACAAGCAGGGAAACACCACCCCCCCACCCCCTTTTTTTCCCCCCTGAGGGCGAATATCTCAAGCAATGGTTTGGGCAAATATTACCTGGACTAAGCTAATTTTTTGTCACTCATCTTGAAGGCTGTACTTATTGTCACTATGGTAATAAGGGGGTGAGACTGCAGTCAGGTTATAAAAATAAAAATTAGCGAAACAAAGTATGGAGAAAAAATGAAAAAAGAACGCAAGGAACGTGTCGGCAAGAAGGCGCCTTGGTCAGTAAACAAACAGTAAAAACAGAATTAAATAAAAATGGCTGAAATATGGTATCCGAGAGGACAGCAAGAGAAATGTCTCTACTCTTGAAGGCTGTACTTATTTTCACTTATCTTGAAGAGCGTACTTACATTTATTTTATATGATTTACAGGTGCTGAAAGGAGCTAAGAAAATAGAAGGCAGGCCAGGGGCTTCACTTCCTCCTGTAGACTTCCAGGAGATTAAGGATAATCTGGAGGATAAATATGGCAACTGGATCACAGAAGAGGATGTCATGAGTGCAGCATTATATCCTAAGGTAGGATGATGGTTTGGTTCAAACGTAGGACTAATGGGAGGGTACCCGAAATCTTCTTTGCTTATTTTGTAAGACAATTTTTTTTGTCATAGCCCAATATCTTCGAGCAATATTTTCATTTATTTCTTGAACATTTTATCCTGCATGAAAGAAAATAACTTCTTTTTATTTTTCTATAAAACTTTGCTTATAGATACTGAAATTTAGTTGCACTGTTAATATACTTGATATTTTTTTCCAAAGCACTGTTACCAGTAGGCCTATTTTTTCCTTAGAAAATAATTGATCTGTAAATTGTTAGGATAACTTTATCTATGATCTCTTGCTAGAACTTTGGAGCACTGGTCATTCTTATCACTTAGCAAATATGTTGATTGGTGTCATCATTTGGAGCACTGGTCATTCTTATCACTTAGCAAATATGTTGATTGGTTTCATCATTTGGAGCACTGGTCATTCTTATCACTTAGCAAATATGTTGATTGGTGTCATCATTTGGAGCACTGGTCATTCTTATCACTTAGCAAATATGTTGATTGGTGTCATCATTTGGAGCACTGGTCAATCTTATCACTTAGCAAATATGTTGATTGGTGTCATCATTTGGAGCACTGGTCATTCTTATCACTTAGCATATATGTTGATTGGTGTCATCATTTGGAGCACTGGTCATTCTTATCACTTAGCAAATATGTTGATTGGTGTCATCATTTTGTGTATGTTTGAAGGTAACTGATGAATATTTGGACTTCCGAAACAAATACGGACCTGTGGACAAGTTGGACACAAAGACTTTTCTGGTTGGTCCCAAAATTGCGTCAGAAACAGAGGTGAATACGATGTAAATAAGAAATGTCTTACAATGTGGAAACTGTTAACAGTGAATGAATTTTACAAATTGGATTGCGTTTAAAAAGAAATCTGCCCCCTTGTAATGAGATATAAACAGTATAATAAAATGACACAAAGATTGCATATAAATTGTTATGCAAATTCAATTTAAATAATTTGATTCAAAATATGCTGTTGATCACGTGATCAATTATTTTAACTGCCACGAATTTTAAATTAAATTAGTGTCTCAACTTTGCCTTTAAGAATGATCCTTTAAATTATTTTTATTAAATGTCAATGTTACATTTTTATACCCACCTCCCAATTTTATCTATTATAGTGTGTTTTAAAATATATTAGATATACAAGCTATTTTAAAAAGTGTAAGAATCTTTAAAACCACATGAGAATTTTAAATTATAGCTAAAGATATGATGAAAAGATGTGATGTAAAGATATTTTGAAAATTAAAATTTTTTGAACATTTAAAATGCCCCTATTGATATATTGTATAATAAATTTGATTGTCTTTAAATTTGTGATTATTGATACACAATTGCCAAGTAGAGTTAAGGAAACTAACTGCCTTTTAAAAATGACCAGGTGTTCCTAGAGAAAGGCAAAAACCTTTCCATCGTCACCTTAGCTGTTGGAGACCTCAGCAAGGCTGGTACCAGAGAAGTTTTCTTTGAGCTCAACGGACAGCTGAGATCAGTTAGAATCAAGGACATGGAGGCTCAAAAGGTGATTTCCCAATTCTTAAAACACTTATCTGAGATGGTTAATTTTCATGTCTGCCTGACTGACAACCCCAAGAGCTCCATGCTCATGTGGACTGATGACAAACTGATAACAAGGTGGACTTTGTGTTGGCCACAGGTCTCAAAAATATAACTGTCATAATACTATCTCATTCCAAAACAAAAATTCTAATCATTAAATGGCATGTTCTAAATAGTAAATCCTGTATAAATAAAAATCATACAATTTTCTTCATGATAAATTTGCTGAGTAGTCTTGGCATTTGTATTTTAAAAGCCTAAGTATTAAAGCTTACATACAAGCATAATTTTGAAGGCTTAGGCTAGGAAATAGGATAGTTAAAGAACACAGATAGTAAATCATTTTTATATGTTCTAATTTTTTGTTTATGTGTTCAGGAGATGCACGTACATCCCAAAGCTGTGAAAGGAGTGCTTGGATCCGTGGGTGCTCCCATGCCCGGCACTGTTATTGACATCAAGGTAAAAGAGGGCGATGAGGTGGAGAAGGGCCAAGCGCTACTGGTGTTGAGTGCGATGAAGATGGAGATGGTCGTCACTGCTCCTCTTCACGGCAAAGTCAAGCTGATTTCAGTCACAAAGAACATGAAGCTTGAAGGGGATGATTTACTGGTTGAAATCGAACCCAAATAGAGGAGCTCTTACTTTTTATGGACGCAATCTTGTGGACTCCCACCTGTTAAAAGACAACTTACATATTTAGAAAACCATCAGGTATCATCACAGGGAATTAAGAATAGTTTGATCATCATAGGTCATCTCACTAAAGAGAAATATTTTTCATCATCAATGTGTATGTATTGACAAAGGAATTAAGAATAGTTTGATTATCATAGGTCATCTCACTAAAGGGAAATATTTCTCATCATCAATGTGTATGTATTAACAAAGGAATTAAAAATAGTATGATCATCATAGGTCATCTCACTAAAGGGAACTATTTTTCATCATCAATGTATGTATTGACAAAGGAATTAAGAATATTTTGATTATCATGGTCATCTCACTAAGGGGAAATACTTCTCATCATCATTGTTTTGTAGTGAACTTATTGGAAGAAGGTTGCTTTAGAATTTCATGTTAACTGAGCTTGTGAATGGAGAAATTGAATTGGATTTTGTTGGATAAGGATTTTTATCCATGCACTGATCTTATGCATAAGTAGATTGGGAAATAAGATGAGCGGAAGTTTGAAATAGCTGAGAAGATGATGAAATACATTGCTCAGTTGAAATTAAACTGGAGGCATGTTATTAATTGGTGCTAAAATTTGATTTTGAAACATTTTTTAAAGAATGGTGCACCCCATCTAAGTCAGGACTAGTGTATAGTTGGCGTAGTTGTGTTGGCTACATTAATGACAAAGAATGGTGCACCCCATCTAAATCTGGACTAGTGTAGAGTTGGCGTAGTTGTGTTGGCTACATTAATGACAAAGAATGGTGCACCCCATCTAAGTCAGGACTAGTGTATAGTTGGCGTAGTTGTGTTGGCTACATTAATGACAAAGAATGGTGCACCCCATCTAAGTCAGGACTAGTGTATAGTTGGCGTAGTTGTGTTGGCTACATTAATGACAAAGAATGGCTGAAACATATTTTAGATGTACTTTAAAAAATGTAAAATTATTAAATAAGTACTGTTACATATTTTAAGCCATCAATTATGGGGATAAAATTAAGTTGTCATTTCTTGCACTGTCAGTTCAACCCAGACACAGCACAGTTTGGGAACCACTGAACAAATCCAAATATTTTTTTTAAAAAAGGCTTTAAATGTCCTTTGAAAAAAGAAAAAAAGGTTCTCTTAGTACTTGAAATTTATTTAGTTGGCATTTTTATAATTTTGCTTATGTAAGCTATTTTGTTTAAATCCTTTTTTTTTTTCGTATCCGGAAATTTGATCAAAAGAAATTTCGTCGACGGTAAATTGATAGATGGTAATTTGATTGAACGGAAATTTTGTCGAATCTTCTTTTCAGTTTTTACGTTAAAATTTTGCTTCAAACTTCTCTATGAACACATTATTTGGTTTACTATAGTATATTGCATTCAAAAAGAAATTTGACGAAAATTTTAACACTTGAACTGAAATAAAAGATTCAACCAAATTTCCTTTCAATCATATTTCCGTCTATCAATTTACCATTGATGAAATTTCTTTCGATCAAATTTCCGGTAACCTTTTTTGTGTGTGTATAACTTAAATGTTAAAAGTCCTCTTAATCCACCTTCCACATCTGTTCCTCAAACTTGCCATACATTTTGCCAACGTTTTTTTTTGAAGGCATAAAAATTGACATAACTAATACGAACATGAATAAGTTTGATGGACAAAATACACAAGGGTTCTTTATTTGATTGATGTTACACTCAAGACATCCCTTATTATAATATTATATATTTTTAAGAGCCTCTTAGGTATTTTTTTTTTTTTAAAAGTCCAAACATTCTCTTTATTGGTGCTTATGTGGATTCAGACCTGGTTTTATAAGTCCAAGCAGAAATTAGTGGATACAGTTGAGGATAATAAATGCAGGACAATTAGCTGATTAAAAAACACCATATAAATAACAGTGAGAACATGTGTTTTATATTTGAAACTGCTGCAAATGTTAATATCAGGTCTCTTTGTTTACCATATCTTAAAATATTGCTTCCAAAAAAAGAAAAATTTAAACTGCTTTTTCTTTTGTATTTAGCTGCACTTTTTTGTTGATTGCAATTTTTCTTTTAAAACAGCAATATGCTAATGAGATTATGCCTTGATCTTGTATCTGATATGGTATAAAACTGTTGACTATAGTCGAACCCATACCTTTGGGGGTGCAGTAGCGTAGTGGAAAACGATTGTCTGTGTGACTTTTCATAGGTAATAGTTATATTGCCCTGTGATAGCAGTGCGTTTGTTTGTTACTGATGGAGCTTTGATCTCAATAACACAGGGACCCACAAGTCTGTTGGATTGTCGATTGCGTGCCTTACAGAATACTTTAAGAATGCACTGAGAAATCACATTTGTTGGTTGGCAGTTTGGTGTTGCACATGTTACAGAGAGAATTTTTGGTTGATCTTTAGTTAGGATATCAACAGAGGAAATAGTTCAGAGTAAAGCAGATCAAGCAATGAAACTAAATATGAGGAAGGGTGACCCTTCACTGAAGAAAAGAAAAAAAATAGTTTTTGACATTCTTCTAAAAGTTTTACTTCAGCAAACAGTACCATATGAGATTTAGAGGAATATTTCACCTTTAAAATAAATAATGGATATAAAAGCTAGTTATTTTGTCATTCATAATCATTTAAATATGGTAAAATGATAGTTTATATTTGCTTTACATGCATACATCTGAGAGAGATATGTTTTAAAATGTCGAAAAAACTATTTTTGATGTTAGATTTGAGCTCAGCTTGATTAGCAACTAAGGACATGTAGAATTATTAGTTTTTAAATCACTGCTAAACTGAAGTAGTTTTATTTTCAAATATTTAAAAAATTTCACCACCAATGTGTGACAGAATTTAAGTTACATTTTTTTTTTTTTTTTGGAGCTCATTTTGTAAGATTTTGTTCTTCTTTCTTTCTTGTGTAAACCACAGACATACTTTAGTGTATTAACATAGTCGTCAGGGAGCTGTTTTACCAATTGATAGATTAGTTTGTATCTTTTACTGGTCATGAGTTCTGTATATTATTGTTTCAGTGAGTAACAATTAGGGCTACTCAATGTTGATCTAAAAATATGAAGCCATGAACTATTGCGTTTGGTTGTGTGTAAAAGGAAATAAAAGTCATATCAGATCAGAATGGTGATGAAATAGCGTATATGCTCATAGTTATGTTGGTATAAAGTGGAAATATTCAGATTAAAGATATGAATCCTTTACAATTAATTATATGTCAATTGATGTTACGTGTTGATTTTCAATCCTATCAGCAATGACTGTAACTTATCAGCAATGACTGTAACTTATTTCTGAGAAATAAGACTACATATAGAATAGTGATGTGTAATGTGTTGGATTGATGGGATGTTTACAGATGATAAAGAATCAATGCTCACTTTTATAAGATTCCTGAAAGATTCATTTTCATAGTTTGTCTTCGCCTGAGATATGGCCTCCACCTTCTTGGACTTGGCTGTTGTTTAATCGTTTTACGTACATAAATTACAGTTTTTTTATGCTAATCTTTGCTTCATTTGAAATGATTAATTGAAGAAATCACTAGAAAATTTGCTCAGTATAACCTCAGATATCATCTTTGCTCAGTAAAACCTCAGATATCATCTTTGCTCACTATAACCTCAGATATCATCTTTGCTCAGCCTTTTTTCCTTCACCTCCCATATAGACTCAACCTTCTTCCTTTTCTTAAAATTTTGAATTTAATTTTTATGATTTTTTAAAGTCATGCTATTTTGAATTTGGGAAATATTTTATGATTGTTTTTCCGGCCCTGAAGAATATGACTTGATGCATTCAGTATTAATTATGACTCAAAGTTTATGTGGCATTGGAATACATTGAACTGATTATGTGACCTAGCACACACTAACCAGGATGACTTAACTGGTTGATTGGGTTGTGAAAAGTTGGAATATCTAGGATTCAAATATATTTGTTATACAATTCTCATTGCAAAGTATTTAGTTGAGGAAAAATGACATCTTCCACCTTTAAACATAGAGTAGAAAAACAGATGTGCTGTCAAGATCTCCACAGATTGAGGAGCGCTACTTTTAACAAGAAACAACGTCATTTAGTTTTAGTCTTGGTAAACATGTAATACTTTGACTCCTGGAGTCTTCTAGAATTCTTTTTAGTTTTTGTGTTAATTATACTGTGGAATTCCGTATTTATTCTTTAAATTTTTTCCTCTGTAAATGTTTCACTTCATCTACCCTTGTTTTTCCCTCCTTTTTTAAAAATATTTATATATTTTGTAGAAGGCATGGCTTGGGACCTACAGTCTTTTTAAATCTTTATTTGATTCCAAGACTATTATACAATTATGTTAATTCTCAGTTTTTACTAACTCAACGTGTTATATGAATTTGGAATTATATGAATGTAGTCATTAAATGACTTAAAAATGCATTTTTTATTAATTGTTGCAACGAAATTATTGCCCTAATCATAAAAGTGACTCCTCAGTTTATCTTCCTGAATATTAAATCTGTAGATATTTGTATGGAATAATGCTTATTTTTTTCTTTGGTTATTATTCACCACATTAGGCATTTATAACTGAAAATAAAGCAGACAGGATTCAAGAAAGACCTTCATAAGATTTAGAATCTATTTGTCTGGAATAAATTTGATGTTAGTTACAAATCTTTGATTGCATTCTTTGACTCACATCAAATGAGATTTTGTAACAGATATGATATAATAAAACTATATATTAACAGATAAACGGTATGATATTGCTTTCTTATGGTAACATGCATTACATTTTGCACCTTTTGATGATGTTTATGTTTAACTTTTTAATTTATGCTAGCGTCATCAAATGGACTGGTCAAAATTGTTAGCCGAATCTATATATGGGGAGAATAAAATTATCAATATAAAAAGTATAAACTAAGTTGAGCAATAAATTGTTTATATCATCATTTATGAAACAAAAGGATTTCTTTGAAAAAGTTTTTGCTTCAGGTGTTTGAGAAATGTTTCATATTTGATTACAGTAATTAATTACAGCAAATTTATATCCACATCCATGTGCAGTTTTGAAAGCCTTTGTGGTCTGACATTTTTTAGCACAAGATAAAACAATAGATGACTAGGCCAAAATGACGTGCAAGACGTTTTCATATGCCTGCTAAGCCTCTTAGTTTCCAAGCATGTTGGGTGCGTTCCTCTATTACAGAGCTCCTGCAACCAGAGTGCCAAGCCAAATGTCTCTAAGAGGAGGAAAAGCTCAAAATATATGTAGGTACATAAATAAACCATGATGTTACAAAGGGGATGTTGAGAAGCTGTCAAGACAGATATGTGTCCAATACAGACTGTACCAGTACAGTAATATCGTCCCTTTTAGCATTAAGATGCCATTTTGAATATTGTTATTTAGAATATTTTTGCATATTTACTTTTCATATGAAGCGTAATTCTTAGAAAGGGCATACTGCGGGTGAAAAAAGTTACTGAGCTCTGCTCTTTTACACTGGACTTAAACAGTGTTTCTAGGCTAATAAGGAACACACTTTTTATGTCTATTCATCACACGTAGTCATTACCCCAATATTTTCACTTTTACCCCAGTTTGCCTACCCCTGGCTTAAAATTTGCAAGGTTTAGCACATAATGGAACCTAGAAATTACTGCATCAAAATCTCCACAGATAAATTTGGTTCACTTTCAATATTTAAATCACTATTAAAGATAAATCTCTATGAGCAAAAAAGAACTGGCTTGCTGTATCTAGAGTATTTACAATGACATTTAACGTGACCGTCAAAACACTTTGAAATGTTGGTCTGAACATTTTATTAGTAATTTTTATTTATTTAAATCTTAAAATTATATCGCAATACTTTGAAATGGGTTATAATATACATTAAACTAATGGGCTCCTTACCAAAGGAGGCAGGCTAGCACTCAGGTCTGATCTTGGTTTCTAATTCTAGTACATTCATGAACACTTAATAAAAAAATAAAAGTTCATATGAAATTAACCACTTCAAAACCTTTGGATGACAGCTCTTTTTATTGAGTATTAAAAAAACAGTTTATAGATTGTCCAAATATTTTTATTGTACAAGGCTGATACGGTTTTTCATTTGACCACAAAATGGATTTCTTGTGTAAAATTATGCCATAAAAGTGACTTGCGAGACATTGTTCTTTGTGTCCATACAACATTTTAACACCTGTTACCTTGAAAAAAGCCTCAAAATAATAGGCATGTCTCAGTGACATATTGCATAAACTATATGAGTAAATGTTAT